CACTAAGATGTCTCACAAGTCTGCGATGCATGGGATTCCGACATCACGGACCTGGAGTACGCTTTCAACTTTCTAAAAAAGGAAAAATCATAAAGTCAATCTTCTGAATTGGCTTTCCATACTCGGACTTAGAGGAAGGAGATCGCTCCTTGCATTAGGACTGTAGTACATTCTTCCAAAGCATCACACTGTTGCCTTGTCACTGGCGCAGACAAAACCCGGAAGAGGTAGGGGACCCGCTCCTGTGAGAGCCGAGAAGTGAACCGGATGTGACTGACTTAGGTACACTGAGACTATCGTATCTGAATGTTATAAATTAATCACTTTCATAACTTTTCATTCACCGCACAGAGATTTAAATATAGTGCAGTATAGTAAGTCCGTGGAGTAAGCAGTGAATATTTGGTAGTCTATCGAAACAAAAGGATATCAATTCTATAAGGAGTCATGTGCAACAAAACCAGGAAGCCACCCCTACATAGTCCGTGCTACACATAAGAAACTACAGTTCTCCCCGAGTGCCGACCTAATAGGAATCTCCTTCTTCTAATAAGTGATGGACACAATCTTGTTGTTGTACTGTGCTGGACGGTCCAGCACCAGATTCTGTGCCACCCACCGCCCAGCATCTTCTTTGCTAATAGCATAGCCGATGGCCTCGGTCTCCCGCCCAGTCTTGGGGTCTTCGATGCCCACACGGATCGGCTTCATCTTGAAGCCTTCGGGACCAACCATAAAGCTCGGGCGGACGATGGTGTAGTTCTCACCGCTCGCTACCAAGCGGTCCTCCATGATGATCTTGTCCTTGTGGGGAACCTTGAGCATGAAATGGTACATGGGCATCATGGCGATGGGGATGTCCCGGCCGAAGCGCGACATGCCGGTGGTGCTACAGGCAATGATGTGTGGCTTCCCTGTGGCACCATCCCGACGAAGCTGGGCAAGGGCCTCGACCAGAGCAGACATGCCTTTTTGGCAGACTTGTGGGTCATCGATGGTCATCCCGGACAACTTGGCACCGATCGTTGTGACTACAGTATCCACGAGCCTGCCGGGCGAAGCCAGTAGACATTGCGACAGAGCTGCCACATCGTGGGCGTTGCCTTGCACCACCTTCAAATTCGGATATGAAGCTGGCTGCAGGATGTCTGTAAGCTTGGAAGGGGTGCGGCAGAGAGCGATGCAGTTTCGGCCGGTTGCAAGGGTGTCCTGCAGCGCTGTCAGACCCACTCCGCCGCTGGCGCCGAAGAACGCAACGGTCTCGGTGCTGGTGCTGGTGCTGGAAGCCATTGTATTTGGTATTGATGTGATTGCTTTAGTTGGTCTGAGGAATTTCGCGTTGGGTCAATGATGATCTTTAAATGCTTGGATAAGTAGTTGGAAGCTTGGCTGTATGTTGGTGTTTGATTCATGCTTTGAAGCTGCGTGGTCTCATCATTTTATCTTCATCGCTGTCGACTATGGAGGGTCTACCCAGCTGTCGAAGTTGGGCCGAAGGGGACATCTAGTCGACCGAGAACAAGCGACAGTACGAACGCGAGGCGCCTCCTGCATGTCAGCTTTCTCGCATGGGCGCAACACTTGGGCTGGTCGTTCTGTGCGGGCCCCCTTGGCTTGGTGCCAACCTGTCTTGCTCGCTCTTTTTTCGGCCAGGATTCGCGGGGCTGGGCCGAGTCGACAAGCCTGGAAACGGACCTAGCTCATCAGCCTCAGCTACACGCTTACAGGTACGTGGGTACATAGAGCATCCGCCTGGGGCTAGGCCGAAGATGGTGGGATACTTCGACGCCCAGGTTAGAAGGATTCAGTGTCACGCATGGAGTCAGCTTGGTGTTAGCAACGGGCAGTCGGTCACTCTGCTCGCAAGGCATTTCCAGTCTGAACGACAAACAGTCTTCCGGGTATTGAGCAGATCAAGGTTGAAAATCCACAGAACCTATTCTTGGCTAGGTCTCTGGGGAGCCGGCTGAGTAGCGGTCTCAATGCCACAGTCGCCATCCGGGGTCGCTTCGGCGGCGGGTGCGCCTGGCGCGGCCAGCTCGGTGTCAGGCGCCGAGGGAAACGCGACGTCCTCCGCGCCACCAAGCAGTACAACCACCGCACCCGCGCCGCCAAAATTGCGGAGTTGTGTGGTATGCAGGTCTCGGAAGGTTCGCTGCAATAAAGAGTCGCCATGCGCAAACTGCCGCCGGGCCAATATTCCCTGCGTCTTCCCGTCTGCCGACCGCCCTCCGCGCTGGGCCCGGCGTCTTGAGCGCATCACCAGCAATGCCGCCGCAGGCGCTAAAGCGGGCAGCGATGCCGATCCGGCTACGGCTCAGGTAATGGAGAGGCTGCGAAACCTCGAGGGGCTTGTCAAGGAGCTCAGTGGCCAGCTGGAACAAGCCCACTCAGCTGCGCAATCCAACGCCGGTTCCGAGGGTAACTCGCCAGGCAACTCGGCACATGGCCGCGATGCAGACCATGCAGCTGCTCCATCTGGCCCAGGGTCTAGTAGTATTCAGAAGCAGTTTGGGAGGATGGTCATCAATGATCCCAGCCGAAGCCGTTATGTGAGTAGTGGCTTTTGGTCGCGTGTGAATGATGAGGTAGGTGTACCCGCTCGCTATGCTCTGCTTCAACCTTGGCCAACACTTGTTTAGCTCCACGGACTCAAGATGGACACTCGAGGCATCCCTGGCGATGATTCCGACAGTTCAGAAGACGACGAGTCGTCCCCGGGGAAAACATCTTCGACCCAGGAACTGGACCGGACGCCAGCAGAGCGCCATGCCTTCTTATTCCGGCACAACCTCAATGCGAATGGACCCGATCTGCGTGACTTCGAACCCCTTCCCTCACAAGTCCCATTCCTTCTGGATATATTCTCAGAGAACGTCAACGCTGTGGCTCAGATAGTACACATGCCCACGATAAGGAAGATGGCTCGGTATTCACGTGGCAATGATGCCTCAAACAAGACACTCGCAAATCAAGCTTTGATGTTTTCGATCTACTACGCCGCAATCACATCAATGGAAGACGAAGATGTGAGTCCCACTGAACTTTTGCCTTTGATATAACGAAGGGCAGCCAACTCATTTCATTCACCTAGGTTTTGGGCAATTTTGGTTCCACCAAGGCCGACCTCAATATGAAGTACCGCCTTGGACTAGAGCATGCACTTGCTAAAGCGGACTTCCTGAATGTGCCTGACACAGAATTAGTTCAGGCATTCGTGATTTTCCTCATGCTCAGCCGTCGGCATGATAGCCCGAGATTTGTCTGGATGATGACAGGTTTAGTTATTCGCATGGCGCAAGCTCTCGGACTGCATCGCGATGGCACAAATTTCCCTGACCTTTCACCCTTCGAGGTTGAGATGCGTAGACGCATCTGGTGGGCGCTCTGCAATATTGATACACGCTCGTCGGAGGACCAGGGAACCGACATGACCATCATTGACGGGAGTTTTGACACCAAGATACCCACAAACATTAACGACGAGGACTTAGGCCCGGACATAAAAACTTTCCCGACGGCACGGGAGGGGCTCACTGATTCGAGCTTCTCGATTGTGTGGTCCGAGATGAATATGATTGCCCGGCGTATGGCAGCGACCGGTCTTAAAGATGGCAATTTAGGGGACGTTGATGTTCTTTCGAATGCAATGTTCGAGATCCTAGAACGTGTGTGCGGCCAGTACTTAGATAAGGAGGGAAATATGTTATACTGGGCCGGCTTTGTTATAGTGCGGCTAGTCATTGCGAAGATGACACTTCTGACACACATGCCTGTCCTGTTCTCGGCACCGGACGCACACTCCTCCGACGAGATGAGGAACAAACTGCTCGTGGCAGCTATCGAGATCGCTGAGCATAATCATGCGTTGAACGCGGAACAGGCTGTCCGCCACTGGCGATGGATTTTCCAGACATATACCCACTGGTACGCGATCGTCTACATCTTGATCGAGGTATCTAACCGCCCGTGGTCGCCCACCGTCGAGCGCGCCTGGTCTGCTCTGCAAAGCCCGTGGCTGATCCCGGCCCAATCAAACGTGGACAAGAATCTACGCATCTGGGTGCCGTTGCGCAAGTTGATGGCAAAAGCCCAAAAACATCGCATTACTGAGATGGATAGGCTGCGTGGCGAATCGTGGAGTGTGCAGAAGCTGGAGGCCATGGACCGCGAACATCCGGTACCCGCAGTCGCGCCACCCTACTCTGCTGAGGCCGCCGCTGATCTCTTCCGTGAGAAGTGGCGTAGGTTGATACTTGAGAATCAGCACATTGGGAATAACGCATTGTCAGCTGGACAACCAACCAGAGAGGGCTCTGCAATATCAAGCTCATCTCGAGAAATGCCTGCAGGTCAGGCTCAGCGCGGCCTCCAGCCCCAATACCTGGGCGACCCTCAATTCACAAATGCCAAACTCCAGCCAGAATTCATATCTGCTGGACCAAGTCCAGTCGCGTCTGTCTCCGGTGTGGACATGGCGCCTTCGATGCCCTATCACAGCACGACGCCGTTCAGCCAACCAGCAACTGCAGGGCTGTCCTATGCGATGGAGTGGGGTGACGGCCGTAGTGCGGCCCCCTGGTTATGGGCTGATACCGATCCGACGGTGAACGTCTTCGAGAACTTGGATGTCGACGCGATGGATATCAACATGGATCTTGACAGCGAGGTTGATTGGTATACCTGGGTTGAATCGGCGAAAGGCATGGAGTGGAACGCCGGACAGGGTACCGGCGGTGCCCAGTAAGCTGGCCACATACCAAGGCATAAGACTTGTGTGTGGCAATTGAAACGACGCTGGGAGGTCTGGTTTCCACTCTGTATTATATTATGAAAGATACAGCTTCCCCAGCCTTAGCGCTCGCTTGCTTCCTGTCGCCCGCCTCCCTCCTCACCCGACCTGACTGGCTCTTCCGAGCAAGCTGTCCACGTGACCGTCCCGGTGTACAGACGCGGGCCGAACCCATGGGGTTCGTCGTTCTCTCTATGTGTGGCACTGCGGTAGTCGCGCGGGCTGTAGTCACTCCAGTGGTAGTCGCTCCCACGCCATCGCATCATCTCGACGGGCTGGCCCGCCGCGCTGAGGAAGCGGCCACCCGAAAGCGGCAGCCGCCACTTGACGGCCCACCGCAGGATGTCGTCGAGCTCGGCCTTGAGGTCCTCCGAGGTCTCAAAGTCCATGACCAGGGTCTGCAGGTTGGGCATGTGCTGAAACGCCAGGCCCCAGACGCGGTCCGCGAACGGATGGTTGCCGTCGCCCGCCCGCATGTCCTGGTGCATGCGCGCGTTGCCGGCCGTGCCGCGGAACGGGTTGATGGCGGGGAGGGTGTTGCTCTCCCAGTGCCACCAGTCGGCGCGGCGCACCGTGATGCGCAGGCGCTCGACGGGGCGCAGCCACGGCGTCGCGGTCGCGAGGTGCCAGAAGTGGTAGGGCGCGTTGGCGTCCTCGAGCCAGAACAGCTGCACGAAGAAGCGGACGGACCGCACGAGGTCGCGCTGCCGCAGGCCGCGCACCGGGGCCGGCCCGCTCAGCGCCTCCTCGAAATACGCCCGCAGCCCCGCGACCGAGCCGACGCCGTGGGGCGGGCCCCGCTCCAGGTAGAAGCGGTGCTCCCGCAGCATCAGCGGCAGCGCGTGCGTCTCGAGGTAGACGGCGCGGCAGGTGGCCAGCAGCGCCACGGCGACGGCCGTCGGCTCGGGGCAGTCGGGGCGGACCCAGTCGTAGCCGCGGCGGGTTTCGCGGCGGCGCCGGCCAGCATACCGGACCTCCTGGCCGTCGCCGATGGCCGTGAGGTACTCGGGCGTGGACGGGGGCTCTTCTCCATGGCGATAGCAGCGCGCGGAGAAGGTGGGGAGGCGAGCCTGGGCCTCGGGCGGACAGAACTCCTCCAGCGCGTAGCGGAAGATGTGGTCGCGGAGCTCGGCCGGGATGCGGCCGTATAGGGGGGACTGGCGTTGCGGGTGGACCTCTCGGGCTCCCAGCTGCTCAGCGAGAGTCACGGGTGCTGCATCGTCGCCCGCCGCACTTGCAGGCTCCATAGCCTTGACTTACTGTTGAGAACTGGGTGTAAGCGTAAAAATAGATTGAAGAGAACCTGCGCAAGACCGTTGGACTTTTTCGCAGGTTGATGAGTGTACAGAATGATGGTGGCCCTCTCGGTGGAGAGCTGGGCAGCCGGTGCTCCAGGCTGCAAGGGATGCATGAAACCGTTCCAAGGGTACATACAGCCTGCAGAAAGCATGCCAATTCTTCCCCGCGGCTTGTGCCACATAGGTGCGGCTCATTGAAATGACTTTACGTCGGGGCACATTATCGATGAAAAAGGACAATCTTTTGCCCATGGAATGCTCACTTTCGCCTTGGGTTGGCTGCAAGTCAATGTATGGTGTATCTCTCTAGCGTCCCATCGAAGGTCGCTCGCTTGATCTATCCTAATCGACAACAAAAGCAAGCGCTGCCAGAATACCGATCTATGAGAGGTGCCCTGGTCGAGTCGTTTGAAACTCGTCTGATATCCATGTCCAGATCGAGAGACAGGGGCCGCGACTCTGCTCCTGCTCAGCAGCATCATCCTTCTCACGAAGTAGATTCACTGTGTGCTCTCTAAGCCACCCCCCCCAGTCGAACATGTAGTCCACTTCTCCTCAAGACTGCAAAATGCTGCCGAGGTCACGCACTCATGTGCAACCACCCTCAGCGTCGTTGCACCTTATTCTTCGTACCATATAGCTGGCGTTCTCTCTTGACCACTCCTCATTGCCCAGGTCGGAGTCGTAACCGAATAGTAAACGGGATACGTCGTGATCCGAGATCTTATATATAAACCATATACCGGGAGTCGTTCTCCGACATCACCTCGCTGGCGCCATCTGCCTCGGCTTCAACGTCCGTAGGCCCAAGACCATGGTTTTTGTATCAATGGTTTGAGATTTGGGATCGTAGAAAGCTTGCACGTCCACCACGATCGAGGCCTTTGAACTTGCCACCTCCACAAGGCCGCGGAATTCGACTGATCCTCGGGGTGGGAAGGGCCTGACTGGGCGCCACACCCTCCGGAATTTCTGTCTCATGGCCTGCCATGCGCCAGTAGTAGTCGCCGATACTTCTTTGACGCCGTATATATCCTTGGCGCTGGGGATTTTCTGCTCGGAGCCTTCTGGCGCGGGCCTGGAGAAGGGCCTGATCGCCTGCGGAAACCCCTTGCCGGATGCCTCCTGAGCCGTGCCTTCTGGCGGTGGCGCAGAGGGAGTGGAGCCTGCGGCGGCGCCGTCGGCTGTCTGCCGTTTTGTCGTGGGTGCCAAGTCTTTCGTCTCTGCCGACTTGGACTCGAGCGAGTTCGTATCCGGGACGGGGGGAGGGGGCCTGGACTGGGTTTTCCCGATGTGTTGGCGCAGCCGGTCCAATGTTTGCTCGAGCTGGGAGGAGGGATCCGGTTTGGCATCATAACCCAAATACTTGGCCATGGTCCAAAAGTTGTGTTTGGCGAGAGTGGTGCTGAAGCTCCACAGGGACAGGGTGGCGGCGGTGGGCATGAGGGTTCGCTGTAGCTTGAAAACAGTGGCAGAGTCGACGGGTTGGGTCGCAATCGAGATACCGTCGTCATCCCAGCATATCCTGATCAGGCGTTAGCATGCAGGCTCTAGACAGCAGAGTGGAACGCGGCGGTTCTTCCTTACCCTTGGCGCTCGAATGTAGGGGGCGGCCGTTGAGGATAGTTGACATCGAACCAGGTCCTCGTGAGCTTCCAGTCCTTGCCAAAGTCCCGGGAGATGATGGGATGCCCCTCAATAGCCTTGCGCACATACTGGGCCAGGGTATATTTGACGTCGGTGATCTGTTTGGGGTCGCGACTCAGCTGGGCAAACTGCTTCCACTCGGGATCGGAGCCCCTGTACGGCCTCGGCTCGATCATGTGGGTGGTGCCGGGAAGCGGGATGAAGAAGGAAGCGTCGGTCTCCTCGATCTCCTTCTCCAGCAGTTTCCGCTCCTTGGCGGACATGTTGGCATACTGCTCATCGAGCCACTTGCCCAGGATGCTGAAGACGGAGGTGGTGTAGATCTGGTAGCAGGCGTAGTAGATGGCAGCGGAGCCGAGAAATATCCAGGGCCTGAACCACTTCCGGCGTATCTTGACGCGCTGCAGCTGTATACTGTCGGGCCCGGGGCGAACGTTGGGTGGAAGACGTCGCGCGCCGGGCCGGAACAGGTTCTGCTTCGTGCGCAGCAGCCGCAACATGGTGGCGGGTTGCTACGGCACGCCTGCAATGGCGGCCGTCCTAGAGGCGAGGGCTATCGCGGTGGTTGGCGGAACGATGGACTGGCAGCGTGGGAGGTAATGTCGAAGGACGGAACTGGGCACGCGCGCACGCACGCACGAGGCCAGCGAGATGCGAGCAGGCGGGCGGGTGCAGTGGATGGGCCGGCAGGCGCAGGAACCGGGCCAGATTCCGGTGGCCAGATGGTTACAACAGTGGGGTGGATGACTGGAGACGGGACAGATGCATCCGGTCGAGCCGTGTATTGCAGTTCAGTCCCGGCGACAGTGACGGTAGATTGCTCGTGGATAATAAGTGATGGCGGGCGTCAGGCGGCTCGCAGCCTCACGTCGACTGAGGCCCGCGCAGGACGGGGCGGGTGACTCTGACGGGGGGGCAAACGTAGTTAACTGTGACCTTAGGCAGTATGCGACTCAGACGAGGCCTAGGAGTCGGTACCTAGGTACGGTTTAGTTACACCTGCAGGGAGACAAGGCACAAGCTACAGTGACCAAGGCCAGCGGGCCACACTGCCACAGCACACAGTTCCAGCAGAGTGGTACAGACTGTATTGGATGGAAACAGCCATGGCCCCTAGAAAGGCCCATGTAGGCCGTGTAAGGGCGTGCGAGAGGCCCCCCACGACCAGCCTGGAGTTGTGGACAGCACCGTGCGAAAGAGCAACGTCGGGTTGACACACGTACGGTACGGCCTTCGAGAACGGCGCATGATGGAACTGATGTGCATCGCATCACGTGTTGGCCCAAGAGCTAGCTCGACGGTCCCAGACCAGCCCCAGACCCAGCATTACGTCTCATCTGCAGCTCCCACCCCCCAAGGCCTCCAGCTTGGGCATCGTGATAGCTCGACGACGTCCGCATTCTAGGCATCCCACCAGCGGCCCCCAGGGATCCATCATTGCACACCATGAAGCTCGCCAGCTTCTTACTACCAGCCATCGCTGGCCTGGTCTCGGCGAGCCCGCCAGAAGCTGAGGCCTACATCCTCCAGTCGCGCCCTTCACAGCCCGGCAGCGCGCCCTCGATATCCTCCCTCGTCGCCCAGTCCATCCTGCACCAGCGGCTCGGCCTCGACCAACCCCTGAGCGACGACCTCGACGAGCAGGACTACCACACCATCCACCGTTTCGGCAAGACCCCCCAGCGCCTGTTCGCCGACGCCGCCAGCCATGGCCCGCATCAGCTGGTCGTCCTGGTCAGGAACGCCGAGAGCGACAACACCAAGGCCTTGAAGAAGGCCGTCGCCAGCCATGGCCCCGCCTTCACTGCTCCTCATCTCGGCCGCCTACCCTCGAGCTACCTGCCCCAGTGGACGAGGAAACAATGCGCCCTCGAGGACGCCCTCGATATCGCCAGCCGCAAGTGCTGGACACACGGCCCCGTCCTCTACCTCGAGTACGACGCCGCCAACGACCAGAAGGACCTCAAGCTTCTGTCCCAGAGCATCGCCAAGCTGCAGTCCGCGGCCGAGAAGATGGAGACGGCCATCATCCTCGTCCCCGCCGGCGCCGACGAGCTTCGCCGCCGCGAGTTCGAGATCGAGCACGTCTTCAACGAGGCCGCCGACTTTGCCGCCACCGGTGCCGCCGCCGCCGCCGCCTCGTCCTCGACCTCTTCCCCCGCCAAGGACCAGTCCTTCAAGCCGCACCCCTTCGTGGCCGCCAAGGGCCCCATCCAGGCCTGCTACACCTCCCTGAACGCCTGCGAGACCGCCACGGGCGGGTGCAGCGGCCACGGCGAGTGCCGCAACAAGTTCGGCAAGGATGCCGCCTCGGCCTGCTTCTCGTGTCACTGCCAGAAGACGTACGGCGGCGTCGGCGGTCAGAGCGTGTGGTGGTGGGGCGGCGCCGCCTGCCAGAAGCAGGACGTCAGCGTCCCTTTTTGGATCTTCACCGGCTTCACCATCTTCTTGGTCGGTGCTGTCGGGTTCAGCATCAGCCTGCTGTTCAGCGTTGGCGAGGAGAAGCTGCCGGGTGTGATCGGAGCTGGTGTTTCGCGGGGGTCCAAGTGAGAGCATCATAGCAGAGAGCGAACGGGCCGACGCAACGGGCTCGTATCATGAGCTGGGATAGACGTCAGCCGGATGTCAAGCGGTTTGTGGCCGTGTTGTAAGCATCGGTATTCAGTGGATAAGGCTGGTGTATCATAGTGTACGGATACCAGGGCCAACGGCGGACGGCGTGCATTTCGACCCTGAGAGTCGTGGATAGGTATTTTCTTTACTTTAGAACATCTGAATCAAACAAGTCAACACTAGATACGCACTGGTTATGGCCCGCTCGTCGTGACGTTCTCCGTGGTACGTGCATCTATTGGGTATCATTTGTTATAAATTTACATCTCCATCTGGTCCACCTGTCGCAGAGGCGTCGTGCCCAGACTCTCCAGCCCTCTGCCTGGGGTATCCGTCGACTTGGCCTGATCCAGCAGCGATTTGGCGGCCGCCACGGTCCCGTTCGCGCCCCCGTCCTCCGGCACCACCACGTCGCCGCCCATCAGGGACCGGTACCTCTCGCCGGCCTCGTTGAGCAGCTGCGGGACCTCGGGCTCGCGGCGCTCGATGCCCTCGCGCTCGCGCCGGAGCTCCTCGATGCGGGCCCGCGCCCCGCGCAGCTCGGCCTCCTGCCGGCCCATCTTCTCCTGGAAGGCGGCGAGCAGCACGCTCAGGTCGGGCAGCGGCGCGATCTTGGGGGGCGTGGGCATGGGGCCGGCGCCGTCGCGGAGCCCGAGCCGGCGGCGCTGCTGCTCGCGCTCGTCGGCCAGCCCGTCCATGCCGGCGCGCGTCTGCGCGGCCTCGTAGGCGGCCCGGCGCTCGGCCTCGCTGTCGTCCGACGTGTCGTCGTCGTCGGCGCCCTCGGCGGTGGCGATCATGGAGGCCATGTCGGCGCGCTTCTGGCGGCGGGCGGCCCGCTCGGCCTTGGAGCCCAGCGACAGGCCGCCGTCCTCGACGAAGAAGGAGTCGTCCTCGTCCAGGTTGTCGTCGGCCACCAGGCGCTTCTCCTTCTTCTGCGAGAGGGCCTGCGGCTGCCGCTTGGATAGCACCGACATGTACGACTCGCCGGCGCCGCGGTCGTCGTCCGACAGCGAGATGAAGTCCTCGGCCCCGGCCTGCTGAGCCAGCCGCGCGCGCCGCTCCTTCTTCTCGCGCACCTGGGCCTCGGTGAGAATGGCGGTGGGCTCGGCTGCTGGCGCCGTTTCAACCAGAGTCGCGCCCTCGAGCTCGGAGGGGTCGAGAGACATCTCCACGTCATCCTCCGCTATTTGTAATGACCCAATGTCCGCCGGCGCGTTTGGCGTTGCGCTCTGCAACTCGGACAGATATTCCTTGCTGTAGCGCGGCCGGTCCTCTTCTGTCTCCATGGAGCGTAAGGGCAGGCGATTGTTCCTTGTGATCCCCTTTTTCTTGTAAGCCCCGGTTTCCGAGCCCGCCGTGTCCCTAGCATCGGAGTCATCCCCTCCCAGTATCATGGCGTCGTCATCCCCCCCAGCAGCCTCGGTGCTTGCGCCGAACGACAGCTTCGAGTTGGGTGCGCGCTTCTTTATCTTGGATGAGGCACTCCTCCCGCCGAGCGATGGCCGTACGACCAGTGGCGCACCGCCGTCTTCGTCATCTTCGGTCGAGTCCTTGGGGCCGTCGTCGGACAGGTTGATGGTCTTGCGCAGTGAGGACTGCTTGAAGGGCCGCGATTTGAAGGTCGGCTGGAGCGCGGGCCCTTGGTCGAAGTCTTGGGATGCCGAGGGCGAAGCGACCGAGGGCGCGGAGGCGTCATCGTCGTCTTGATCCTGCACGGTGATCTTTCGGGCTTTCCGCTTGGCGCCAAACGCACTCATGGTGATGGTATGCTGCCGAGTTGGCCGCTGTGCTCGTGAGCATAGGCGGCGCTGAAGCTCGAGGTTGACGTCTGGTTTCTTATCGGGCATCCAACGCAACTTATCGATAACAAGGCACTTATCGAAAATTGTCGGTTTAGGCTAGCAGCTTCTAGGCAAGGCTGAGCGCCGTAGCTCCAGCGGCTCCAGCGGCCCCAGCGGTTCCCAGGTAGCCCAGCCTGCGCCCGCCTGGCGTCGCGACCGACTTGGAATCTCCCGTCCGCGACAAGAAACATCCCACCTCGACATTGCCAATTTTCTCCAGTATCATACCACAAGATGGCTCCCGCCCAGCCAGAGCTGAAGAAGGTCGGTCGCAGCCGTCCCGCACAATCCAGCGTCCCATGTTCGTCTCCGTGAAGGCGTGCTAACCAACGGCTGAAACAGTACCTCGACAAGAAGCTGTTCGTCCAGCTCAACGGCAGCCGCAAGGTCATTGGCGTGCTCCGGGGATACGATGTACGTGCTGGACCCTAACCATACATCACGCTACCGCGTAGTGGCTGTAGCGGTTGTTGCTGACATATCGTCCAGGTCTTCCTGAACATTGTCCTCGACGACGCCGTCGAAGAGAAGGCTGGTGGAGAGAAGGAACGGTTGGGCATGGTTGTACGTTTCACACCCAATCCTCTCACGTCTGCACTCCTGGTTCAGCCGACTAACTAGCCTCCAATAGGTCATCCGCGGAAACTCGGTCGTCATGTTGGAAGCCCTCGAGAGGATCGGCGGTGGAGACCGGGACAGAGGACAACAAGGACATCACTGAAGTATTGGGGGGGCTGCATGTTGATTAGGCCGGCGAGCCTATATGATACCACAAGACCGATGGTACCGGATGGATCCCGTATGCGCGAAATCGGAGTTGCCACACCGACCGGCCGGTACGCTTGGAGAGGTCACGGTCACAGGGCTAGGCAGAACGCCCGAGTGCCAGGCTATGCTCGATGAGAGGGCCGACTTGTCCCTCACGAGGTTCCTGGCCGGGTTCACTGCTCGTTGATGTCCAGTTGGCAATATAGAAAGGCATTCGAGAACAAGCTTGGGCCGTCTCGCTTTGCACAGCTAGTGAAATAGCACGACTACATCCTGCCATACCTTGCGTTCACGTTTTGAAGTACCAATTTCTTGCCCATGCATATACCTCGTGAAAGTTTCAATTATCCCGTCGAATGCTTCGGACTCTCAGAATCATGCTCCTTTGCGTCGGAATGCACATCAGCTTCATTTACCTTGATGCTTTCAACGGTGTTTTTTGTCCACATAATTCAACATCAACCGGTAAAGTCTCAACAAAGCATGAGTTCCGATTTCGAAAATTCGAACTCTTCCCTTTTACAGTTGTACCGAGGTCATCAACCTCATGGGCGATTCATCCAAGTTTCTAAAGTTGAGCACTTCCAAAAGGGACCTTGTCCGGTTCTTTCCATCGTATCATGCGAATGTACTGTGCAATCGAAGCCAAAATAAGATTCAACGCGTATGGGGGCAGTAAGAGCCTCAAGGATTCTAGCGCCCAGAAGAACAAAGGGCCGTCGCGTTCTCTGTATTTGAAGAACTAGTCCACATCGTTGATTATCTTCAAAAACGTCGCAAAGCAAGAGATTGGAAATCCAACCAAATTTGCAAACCTAGACCTCATGATTCCTATCAATTGAGATCATGTTCGAAGATATGGTTACACATCTTCTCGTCAAGTAGTCTGCAGACAAGTCTAGGCTAATATCATTCGTCGTAACCAACGGTTCAATGTGCCTATGGCTGTGTTGAAGACAGTATGCTACTCATGTATATGTATCTGGTTCAAATCAGGCCTACTATGGTAGCTCGCCACCGACCGACAGTGGACTTGGTGGCAAGCTGGTGTGGCTTCCGACAGTTCGTGAAGAAATCAGATGCAGCTTCGCTAGAAGTTGGCAAACACTGCGGTTGGGGCTAGCAATGTGTCACGGCAGTGCATTAGGTCTACAGAAGGTCCGATGAGATACCGAACAGTATCCGCTATATAATCCCTATCTTGTCCCTCTTCCTTGAAAGAGTACAAGATTCAGTCTCTTGATGAATTGAACCATACGTTTGGACTTCTGATTATACCTGACCTCACAACCCCTTTGACACAATGGTACTTGACCCAGGGCAAGATAGGCATAGACACATCTGTTCAGGACCACAGTTACAAGAAAGACGAACGGGGGGTAACGTCGGGTACTGAAATCTGCAGCAAAGTCCTAGATTTTGGAGACCGGAGACTGTTTTTGAAGTATCGGGAGGTGAGAGGAAAGAGGAGCGGGGTTGAGATTATTGACTTCAGTTCCTATTCGATAAGCAATAAACACTGCTACCCGTCGGTAACGAGTATGCACTTTTCATACCTTTGAATGGCGTCGAGGTAGCTGATATTGTAAACCTCTTCCTGTTCCCGGGATACTGAATCGCGGACGTCTTGTCGCATGCTTAGGTTTGCTTTCCCTACAAGCTGCCTCGAGATAAGTGAAAGGGATATGCTGGCTTCAGGCAGAAGAGGTTTGTTGTCAGGTAGGTATGATTTTGGTAAGAGCGTAGTCGCTACATTGATCTGATTGTCGTCAACTCGCTTTGGCACCAAGGCTGAGAAGTGGAATGTCGAGTTGCGAAGAATTCTTGAACAGTGATAGGGAGGAATTGTTACAAAACGGGCTTAAGAATCTGGAGAGGATGATATTACAACGTAGCTGTAATGTTCATCATGAAGAGACAGAGACCAAGTCCCCTCGCGCCGATTATCATCAGAGTAAAATGAGACTCATTCCGCACACCAAAAGCTGTACTATAATACTACTCAATCTCCCCGAATCGCTCCAATTGCCCTCAAGGTGTCCCAAGTTCGTCGCCATTTGCAATCTCACGGCAAGCTCACGGCGATGTCACGATCGCCGGGCAGTGCAATGGAAGAAGACGGGAGATATGCTGCCGAAGGGTCTGAGGCGGCATCTAGACTCGTGTGATCCCAGAATATGAGCCTGTGGCAACTGTCCATGATTCCTCCGGTTTCCAAGCACCCAGTACGCCATAGACGCTGCTTCAGTACGCTCGAAATCATGTCACAGCGTTTACCCCTGTCTAGTCGAATAAAACCACTCACAGTGGCTTCCAGAACCGCGGATTGTCACTTCACGCCTCTCCGCATGTATTCGTACAAGGATGACAGCGCACCCATACCTGTCTACCACTGTTCATATTGGACGGGATTTTTGCAAACCGAAGAATCCCATGTAAGGAGTGTTTGCAAATGTCAACACACATGCAGAACACAACGGTGGTGCTGTCAAGGTGCTATTCCGGTTTTCAGGGACGAGATAAGCTCTTCAGGGGGTGTTCCCCTGACCCAATTAAGCCGTTAGTTTCCTTTGTTCGGATGCCCCTATTCACACCAGTCCATGATCTCACACACAGCCTACCCATAAGAAATACGACATATCTATGGCAAGGTAATGTGAGTTTCAGTGATGCTTCTCGGTGCTACCAAGTTTGAATCTGTGACAGGGCCGCCTTGGGGATTATTGTCCGACATTCTCAAGTGATCACGAAAAATTGGCGATGCAAGGCACGATCATTAACCACCAATCATTGGACGCTCAGATATTCAGCGTGGCTGCAGATCATTCATCTGACCTGGGGTGGTAAAGCTTGGATGGATCCTGAGGTTGAGGACAAGAGAGAATGAGATGAATGACAAAGATCATGCTTCCAAATCACGATCTTGTCTTTGTCTCAGGGTTAGTGAGCCGAGCGATTAGGGCGGTTGAGGTGGTTGACTTTGAAGAGGATGGACGAATGAGGTGAGGGTAGCTAAGCCTCACCGGTGACTGTCTGAAAGATGTAGCAGAGAAGCTTAAATGCTGCGATGCGGCCCAGCTTCCTTCTGCGGATCATGGTTCCCTGGCAATACTAAGATTCTACTATGCTCATGGTGGACCTATCGCGGATCAGTGATCAGCGCCCAGCGATAGGCGAAGCGTGCAGCATCGGCTCACATATCCTGTGCCGAACCCTACAGGTTGGGATCTTGGGACAGTCCGATCATGGATCAAGTCGCCGAACGTTGTAGCTGACCCCTGACCGCATGATGTTTGACCTTGGAGAAAATCCCCGGCGCGGGTCTTGGCAAGTGTATGAGAGTTGACAGCGGCAGGGGTCCGTAACTGTCTCATGGCTCGGTGGCCGCCTTGCGCATGGGCCAGATCAAGGGGGACCCACACCTTCGGGCGCCCAAATTCTAGCGCCAAAGCCAAAATCCTCTTATTCCGACTTCACATCGAGAATCCGTGACGGAACGTACTAAGAGCGCCCTATAGTCAACAGATCATTGGTGTATACTCCATGACGCACCCACAGTGTAAAACAAACCACTTTCAATGAGCCAAGGCAATTTCTCGGCTGTGCGCTGGGTCACTACTCTACCTGCGAAGCGGCTGAGAAATCATGTTGTAACTAGCTTAGCAACTCATCTGGTCTGATGTCCTCAGGTAAGGGTAGTTGTGATGCAAGATTCGGCTTCATCCGACCTGGCCTGCGACATCTCCAGCTGCTCAGCCACCACGCGACTGGGCATGCTATGGTCGAGCTCCATCTGGATGTGAACCTGGCCCAGACCCAAGAGCCAGATAGACTCATTCCTTGTAGACCCACAAAAGGCTGATGCTTCTATGATCTCACTCTAGGTGCAGGTCGATCCCGAATGATATGTATTCCCGTTCTTGGCGTCTTAAACAAGGGTTGGTATGTCGGTAGGTTAGATCCTAGACGTTATAGGTCCCACAACACAGACCCTCCTTGCCTCCCCATACACGGCAGCCATGGGTCATGTTAGCGCCAAAACCTAAACATGCTTCGTCTCGGCTGCTTCTAGGTAACGCTCAGTGCCATTGCCGAGTGGTGTCTAGTCTGGACCTGACCGATCTGGTATCCACCCGATGTGCTCTGTTCCAGACGATCCTTGTGGTTCGTTATGAGTTGCGAGAGCAACCTTCGGAACCTTGGGCCGATCAGGGAACTGAGCCACTCAGTCTTGGCCTTATTTTCCTTTGGTCACCTATACCTTGGCTACTTTAGAGTTGTGATGCGTGAAATCGTTTGTACATAAATGTCGTCCTCGGGCATCAGCTTCTAGAACCTCCATCACAGCCAGTCTCGTCTCATTCTTTACACGACGGTTCGAGTCCTTCTGTCTCTCATTCTTCATTTCTAGTTTCGTCGGCTCGGCCCGCCTCCTCCTTTTTCAAAATGCCTTTCTCTATCTCTTTGCGGCAGGCCGCAGTCGCCATTCTCCTGGCAAACTCTGTCGCTACTGCGCAGTTCAGTGACAACACCAACGACGAGCTCACTGCCAGATCGGATCTCCAGGACAAGCGAGGTCTCTACGACTACGTTGACAGCATTGTCAAGCGTGTGGGCGGTGGTGATCCCTTCGCTTCAGCAGCCGCAGCCGATCCCGCTGGTATGTTATATTCTAATCGAAATTCTTTTGGCTCCAGTGTCTAATCAATTGCACAGCTGCAGCATCTGGCACGGCTGCCGCCCCAGCTCCCCCTGCTGGTACGCCGCCTCCGCCTCCAGCGCCGCCGGCCAACGGTTAGTCTATACCTCGCACCACGATGACAGATAAAGAAGTCTTCCTGGTGATTCGATAATGGGAGGGATGTTCTGACTTCTTTTGCAGGAGCTGCCCCTCCACCGCCTCCGGCAAACGGTGCCGCACCGCCTCCCCCTCCGCCAGCAGCGTAAGTTTGCACGTACTCGTCTGAGTATATCACTCTCCTAAACGGTATCCTAGAAATGGCACATCACCTCCTCCACCCCCGCCTCCGCCGCCTCCAGCGTATGTCGCATTGCCCAATTCATTTCGATCGATTTATTAACTAATATCAACAGCAACGGAACTGCTCCTCCTCCACCACCGCCTCCCCCGGCAGCCAATGGGTAAGCTTTCCAGCCCGTGTACAGCGAAGAACTCTACTTACACCAAATGGATCAGAACCGCCCCTCCTCCTCCTCCGCCAGCGGCTAATGGTGCTGCCCCTCCTCCCCCTCCTGGCGCAAATGGTACGTGTTTCTGACTGGTGCCATGCTAGTGATTCTATACTTACAAAGTAATCTCAGGTACTGCACCACCACCGCCTGCTCTAGCCGCTGCCGCTCCTCCTCCTCCGCCACCGGCCGCAAACGGTACGGCACCACCACCTCCTCCACCAGCGGCCGCCCCTCCTGCAGCGTAAGTGACAATGACGGCACGATACTATGCCTTCAGCTAAAAGAGTCATACAGTTCCGGAGCTCCTCCGCCACCGCCTGCCAAGGCTGATGCCGGTGCTCCTCCCGCTGCTGCTCCTCCGCCTCCTCCTGCCGGGTAAGTGACGGTGCCTGTCCTTCCAATGATCATGTAGCTAATGGGACTCATAGAAACGCTACCGCGCCGCCGCCGCCTCCCGCCAACGGTGTTGCTCCCCCACCACCTCCTGCCAACGGTGCTGCCCCGCCACCGCCGCCTGCCGCTGGGTATGTTACACCTCACGCCCTGATATGAGACGTACAAAACTAATGCGAGGGAAATAGAAACGCCACCGCAGCTGCACCTCCTCCTGCTAAGGACGCCAAAGCTACCAAAGCAAATGGAAAGGGTAAGGGTGCTGCCGTAGCCCCTCCTGCTGCCTCTGCCCCCGCTGCTGCCCCTCCGGCCGCTCCCCCGGCTGCTCCCCCGGCTGCTCCCCCGGCTGCTCCTCCGGCTGCATCTGCTCCGGTTGCTGCCCCTGCTGCTCCCCCAGCTGCGTCCGCTCCAGCTGCGGCGAAAGGCAACGTTGCCGCCGCCGCCGCGCCAGCTGCCAAGAAGAACGCCAAGACCAACTTGAGGTTTGCTCGACGGGCATTGGCCCTCTAGTTGTGCCAGCCGCTCTCGTTCAATATGAATGAGTTGGAATTGCTCGATACACCTTCGTCGACGAACTCTCAAGAGAGAGACTGCAACTGTTCTATTCTGGCCTGGGGCTGCCTACACTAGGTGTGGAGGCTTTTTGGACGATTCAGAGAAAGGCTGGAAATTTCCTGGACTTCTTTTTGCATGCATCATTATACCCACACACTCATTTTAAACTGGAAAGGAGGCGTTGGTGCAAGGACTTGGCACTACATGTATGAATATGAAAATCACCAAATGGCCAAAACAAAGGACCATCCATATACGACTTAGACAATTCAATGTAAATTGATGTATACTATTCACTAACGTGTTTTTGTGGCTCTGCTGTAGGTGATTCTCTGGTTCAGGCAACAGTTAATCAGCAAGCTAACCACGAGTATAACTGGCTTATCATCACTGAGAGTCAGGTCTGATAAGTGCTTCCCCCTTTGATGGAGACTACTATGTATGATCTGAGGGAGGCGCTGGTGAACGTGTCAATGATGAACGAGAAATATAGGCTAGACTTGAGTTTCGTGCGTTACCGGGTCAGATCACCAACAAGCAGAACTTCATGTGAGACCAGTACCCTCTTTTCTTCTATTCTGTTTTATATACGTTTTAAATGGAACATACGACTGTAAGCGGTAAGAAACATAGATTGTATAACTGCCCACTCTTCTGAAACCTTGTTGACGCTGGATAGTATTAGCTTGCTTACTTAGTATCGTAATTAGAGAGTACTTCTTCAACTCTACCATACCAGAACTCGTCCCACTACCTCCTAGGCACGGACTAGGGAAATTCCAACGTACGGCTCAACTCAATCAATGACCATAAGCCCGAACCTTGAGGAGCCTGCTTTACTGTAAGAACTCGCCTTTGGTCTTGGCAAGTTGCTCGTCATAGTATGGCTGAAAAGCTAACCATCCCTTCTCTGGTCCACCGACTTCCTTTACTGCATACTGTGCTTCTTCGTCGTTCACAAACTTTTTCCGATAACCTGCAGCGGAAGCGGCATCTGCAAGTAGCTGTGCATGGCATGTCTTGTCCAGACTGATGAACCAAAATGCAGCTTCGTCGACTGATTGGCCAACGGTCAGCAAGCCGTGATTCTGTAGTATGACTGCCTTTCCAGTGCCCAAAGCCGTTGCGATGCGGTCACCTTCCTCACGGTCGACTACCACTCCGCCAAAGTTGTCATAAACTGAGTGGCTTTTGTAAAAACGCAGAGAGTCTTGTGTGATCATCTCCAGTTCGCGACCGAACACAGAGAATGCTTTGCCATGAACGCTGTGGGCGTGACACGCGGCATTCGCATCCGGACGAGACCTATGAATTGCTGAGTGGATCGTGAAAGCGGCGGTGTTTATGGGTTCGTCGCCCTCTACAACCAGTCCATCCTCATCAACCAAGATGAGATCTGATACTTTTATCAGAGAAAAGTGCATGGACAGGGGGTTCAACCCTATAGATGGTTGTCAGCTATGACCACTCAAAGCTTTTGATCGTGGGTGCTTACAGAAATGATCTGTGAGGATGGGGTCTCGAACCGAGATATGTCCAGCTACTCCCTCGTCGAACCCACGATCTGCAAAGACACGAAACACAGCAGCCAGGTGCTGCTTCCTGTACAAACGCTCTTCTTCCAGAGATGCGAACTGTGGGTACTTCCTGATCTTCAAGTTCCTCCCGTCCTTCGCCTTTCCCATCGATTGCACTTGTGGTGGGCCAGACTTCTGCTCTGTGCTGGTCAATTTTTGGCTCTGCACCGAGTCTTCGACTCGGTCGTCAGAAGATAGGTTGACGATCGAGGGAGTCATATTACGGAGTCAATTCTTACTGATGGAAATAGGGTTCAATTATGTCAACATTCATCGAAGGGAGATTGTTGTCGCGGTCAAGTAATCTGGACTGACGCGATGTCGCCACTTGCACTAACCCCGCTTCAAGTGTTTCTATCCCGTCGGTCTGGCAATCGGCTGACTCGAGACTGGATGGTTCGTCTCACCGAGCGTACTTGTGAGTTAGATTCCTGAAATGCGACAGCAAATAATCGGTCAGCCCCTATTCCAGTACGGTTCGGAACCCAAACTGGGGGTAGCTGCTTCACATTTTAAGCATTGACACTAGATATATTTCACCACCTTAGGTACTACAGTTACTGTTGGGCTCGATGGCTCGAAATCGCTACCACCCTCTTGGTGCAACTCGACATGTGTTTAGTCGAACAGTGGGATGTTATCTCTTATGCATGGCGTTAGCAGTGACTACCCAGGCATGGTTGCACGAACATTACTCTTAATAATGCACGGGATGTGCCTTTTGCTGGTTACGGTGGCGGTGTCTTCTGCTGCGGCCTGAAGCGGGCCTTTGCATAGCCCCACCACAGATCTGGAGGCCTACGCACACCGAAGATTTCACTCATCAAGCCAACTGTCGAACCCGATGTATTACATCAGCGTCTGTCTTCGCTCTTGCTGCTTGGAATTTGATGTTTGCTTGACCACGGCCAGTCCGGCGCGTTGCTACAGACATGTGCTATCAGCTTGTAGAGCTATATAGTCAGTGCAGATGTCTTTATTATCAGCATGCCGTCGACAGATGCGGTTCTTATGGGCGTCGTGGCCATGGCATCACGAGGCGAACCATTCATGTAGGCTACGCCTGCCAGATTCACACTCCAAGCTGCCACTATGAAGTAGCAGGGGCCCCGAATACTGCGGGTCAGAAACAGGTTGCAGCCAAACATATCATACGGAAGTCATCATCAAAAGCGGAGTCTCAGCCCCCTATCACGCTTAAAAAGGCCATTGAGAAGATTCGGAAAGCTGAGAATGATCCCTTGCCACCATTACCGCAGGAGCCGCAGTTGCTTGTCCATGAAGGGCACACAACTAGGCCCCGAACAGGGTCAGCAGTTGAACCAGTGTCTCCAGACAATGAACAGAATTCAACACGACCCCAGAGCGACTATACGCAGCGTAATCAAAACATTGTTCAAGAACTACATGTAGAAAATGCAGCGAAATCCTCTACATTCTCTGACCCCACGCAAGAACAACGGCAAGATCAAGTTCCCGACTCGGTTATAGCCAGCCAGGTTGAGTCTCAACATCATCCGATCGATATAGAGACGTCAGACGATGATTACTCTACCATTATGACATCTCTTTTTGATGTAAATGTTGGCGTATCTAGCATGGCATCTGCGCAGGTTCCGGAGCCGCTTAATGCCATAGATATTCTGTCAGATGGGTTAGTGTACGACAGTCACCTTCAATACCTGTGGCCGCAATTCTTCTTGCGATCAAATTCCTTAGCATCTGCGCATCAGCAGATAACGCGCCTTATCTTGCGTTATAGCTTGGATTTACAGAACCTTGCAAAAGACCCTGAGTATTGTGAGAACTCGACCGAAACACTACAGGTAGCAAGGTTTGTTGAGCAATCGAAACGGATAGTTGCTCAAAATATTTGCAACCATTTGCGACAACAAGGCTTGGATGGACTTACTATTAAGCGCAATTACTACGAAAGCGACGACCTTGAGAAGCATCCGGACGAAGTGCAAGAACCTTGCATTTCCGAGCAAGTGGAGCCGCTGAAATTCAAACCGTTCCAAGATTTCTTGTTCCACACGGATCCTTTCTACAGCTTCAGGGAGAATATTAGGCTACTGGTGGAGGAGCCTCTCTTGCTTCCTCTACATATTCGCCTATTCGACTCCGCCCGAAAATGGTTTGACAATGTATGCTCCTCAATTCTCATATCTGAAATCCCGCCAGCGAAGCAGAGAGTATACTACGCCTGCGTAAGTCCGAGCTCTGGTACAGAAGGTGTGAACAGTACTGACGGATCCCAGCGCTGTGGGCAACTGCTTTACGACGACTACCTTGAGTCACGATCTGGTGCGCTGGATGAGTTGAAGCTTCTGTTAGATCAATACGGATTTGTTTCCAAGGCGGCAGCGGACCTGGAGGCCAATAGACCGAGACGGAGTGCTTTGCATGTCCCCAGTAATAAACCAACTCGAGTCAAGTCTTCTCGGAACAAGTACTGCGACATTCGTCTACCGCAATACTGGCAGAATCAAACCCGCAATGAACTGGGAAAGTGTCGCCCCCGGCCAGCCTCACTGCAAACTGACGACCATCACAACTTCATTCTCGCGTGCGTTCCATTTGGGCGTCTGATATCGAAACTGTATCAATCTGAAGTCTGTACTATTGACTCAGACCAGGATTTTTTCTCCCTCTTACGGTTTACGTACATGAGTAGCCGAAGCTGGCACCCATTCTCATTTATTCGCAGGGTTAAGGCTATACGCTTCGTCCAGGTAGGCTCACAAATGTCCTCCGTAGCCCCACACTGACGAGTTCGACTTGAACCTAACCTGCCTGAGTCACAGTTCGAGGTTTACCGCACAGGTCTTACCGACATCAGGTCTCACCCAACGCTACCTCCAAGCAACTTGAAGAGCCAATACGTCTATGACCCAATGCCAGCCGACCTCATGCCGCCTATTGGGTCAAATCTTCTCGTACACCTCTTGGAGCACCCGACGCATGCAGGTGTGCTTCCGGACTTGTACAAGAGAATCCCCAAAAAGCTGCGAGAGAGACTCGTGCCCTGCCCTCAGAAAGGGGCTTCAGTAGGTTGGGGGCTAGCTTTCGTCGAGGGTATAGACACATTTGCGTTTTTCCTATCGGGTTGCGTTGGGTTCTTACTGTGTCTTCTAGTAGCTGTCGCCTGGACAATGGTAAAGAACGATGTGCAGGGCGGCTTTGGAGTTGGCGCCTTCCTATTGACCTTCAGGGTCTTTTGTGGCGGGCTGCTTCATTCATCTGTTTCCAGAAGTGACAGCCACGAAAGTCATCATAGTTGAGTGTTACAGCTTATGCTCTGTAACAAAGTGGCTATATGACGTATATTAGTTTGAAATATATGGCATGTAATAGGCTTAATTGATAGGTGTGGAGCAAACCTTCTTTCACAGGCGTGGGTAATTTGTACTACGTGGGTATATACGATGTCCGGTGGTTTTATGATAGGAATAATACGTGAGCCAGAATCGAAGCGATGTACCAGCAATGTGGATCTATTTCAAAAATACATGGATTTTGTGGTTCTGTAGCTGGACTTTCACCACAGATGTGCACACTGCACGGATCTACCCGTAATGTAGTCAATCCTTCGGATGTTCGGAACCGGCGGCACAGCCACTTGTCAGCAGAAATGGCCCGTCGCATGGCTTCCACAATAGGTGCTTCGTAATCCTCGTAATCCTCAACTCATTCAATAGAGAATCAAGCTGTTAGAAAAATTCGTCTCGAGAATGCCCGACATCATGAACTCATCCACTCCCACGACTTATGCCGGTGGCGAAGCACAGGCTGACCCAGCATCGTCGCCTAAGCAGGCGTCAGACCCGCAGATGTCGCATGAAGCCAATGTAATAATCGAGAATAGTGAACGACATAGCAGTCCTACAATCGAGTTGCCCACACAGCCGTCTCCAAGCACACAGAAGTTGACCGGCAATGACATTGTCCTGGTAATGGCTCCCCTTTGTCTATCAGTCCTCCTATCTTCCCTCGACCTTACCATCGTCACACCAGCGATTCCTGCTATCGGTAAGTGGCACTCACAATCGTCTTGCAATTCCTCAAGCGGTAGACTTCGAACAAGAAGAAGTTCGACAATAGGATATGTTCTGGATTTCAGCCACAATGCGCATCTTGCGAGGCCGCCTCAAATATGATGATCTTGCTGACCATTTCACACTCAGTGAATCACTTCCAAGCAGTATCGGGATACATCTGGGTCGGGGGAGCCTTCATCCTCGCAAACACAGCAATGACGCCTGTTTGGGGATCAGTCTCGGACATATATGGCCGCAAGCCGATCATGTTAATCGCAATGGCCGTATTCCTCGGAGGAAGTCTGCTATGCGCCTTGGCACCAACTATGGAATCTTTGATCGCGGGCCGTGCCATCCAAGGCATCGGAGCGTCTGGTATGAGCACGATGGTAAACGTAATCATATGTGACACCTTCTCTCTTAGAGATCGTGGCTTGTATCTTGCCGTTACGTCTATCGTTTGGGCAGTGGGAAGCGCAGTTGGGCCTGTGATCGGTGGTGTGTTCAGCACCCGACTAGAGTAAGTGACCTCTCTTCTTGTTGGAAAGTAATGCAGTCGATCTGACGGCGATAAGCTGGAGGTGGTGTTTCTGGATTAACAGTAAGTTCATCCAATTGACAAAGTGACGCCAAGCTAATCGAAACAAAGTGCCTATTGGTGCGGTTGTCCTCGTTATGCTGGCAGTTTTCTTGAAAGTGCCCTCGGCCAATACACCAATCGCTGCCGGTCTCAAAGCGATTGACTGGACGGGAAGCGCGCTCATTGTCGGCTCCGCCCTTATGATTCTTCTTGGGCTCCAATTCGGAGGCGTAACTCACCCTTGGTCATCTGTCACCGTCATCTCACTCATCGTCTTCGGCAGCGCTGTTGTAGGGATCTTCATCATCAACGAGTGGAGATTTGCTATTAACCCGGTCATACCTCTTCGTTTATTCTCCAATAGATCGTCCGTGGCGGCATTTACAGTTTTTTCCTGCAACTTCTATATTCTGATTGGGCTTTCTTATTACCTGCCGTTATATTCCCAGTCAGTACTCGGAGCAGATGCATTGGGCTCCGGGCTTCACCTCTTACCGTTGATCGTGTCGAGCTCCTTGACAGCCGCGTGTACAGGTGCTTTCATCCAGAGGACTGGTATCTATCTACCGGTGATGTACGTGGCCCAGGTAATCTTAACACTTGGCGCGGGGCTCTTTCTCAATCTGGAGTATGGCGAAGGGTTGACGAAGATGTTCATTTTCGAGATAATTACAGGTGTGGGAGTCGGGATGAATATGGAGCCGCCTCTACTTGCTGCACAAGCTGCCTCGAGAGAGTCGGACACTGCTGCCGTCATAGCCACCATGGGCTTTATCCGTTCAATCGCAACGGCTGTAGCCATTGTCGTCGGTGGTGTTGTCTTCCAGAACAAGATGGCTTCGTCCAACAGTGACTTGGTCAAAAATATTGGTGCCGAACTCGCTGCGGCATTTTATGGGAACGAAGCCACTGCTAATGTTGAACAAATTGGGTCTTTACCAGCTGTGGAACAAGACACGGTGAGACAAGTATACTACAACGCGTTAAAGGCAGTATGGATAGTAGTAAGTGATTATTCGCTCATAACATTTCTATGCATTGTCTAACGCGAACTAGTATGTCGCTGTGGCGGGCCTTTCATTTCTTTCAAATCTGTTTGTACGCGCTCACCATCTGAGTCGGGAGAGGAAAACTGTTCGTTTTGGGATTGATAGAACCAGGAGGAGTCATCAGGAAACGGAGAGTCCAGCGGGGCCTCACGGTATTGAATTAGTTCGCCTCAGGGACTGAGTCTTGCTGTTGAACACTTTATACCTCAGAGCAACCGAGGCTCTGTCAGTTATTATCAAGTGAGTCCTCAGCACTGAGGATGACAATGAATATGTACCACATCAAGGATAGAAAAGTTCGGGAAGGTTGCATGAAACAATTGCTACTTCATATTTATATCAAGGCTTCGAAACGAGTAGTACAATCGTTTGCTCAGATGAGAACCAACGGCAAACTCTATGCAGTCTTGTAGTGCTGAGTAAAATCGTATCTGAGATCCAAGGAATTGAGCCAAAGTTTCCTCGTCAACTCCTTGTCACCTTCAGCCTTCTTAGCGGCCATCATTACCGGATCTCGATCAATCATGGTATGCGGATCTGGGTCCGACACACGTCTAAAGTTGTCCTGTGAAACTGGGTCGATAATTTTCTTCCACTTCTCGATCCTCTTTTCGCTGTAGATGTCCAGAATTGATTCATCTGCCTTACCATCCCATATACCGGCCAAGCATTCGTAGAGGCCGCCAACATCAACAAAGCCTCCAGTAATCCCTTGGCCACCCCATCTGTTGCCCCAGAGTCAGATTCTCCGTTTTGTAAATTTCTATAGTCACCAAAGACTTACGGGTTACATATATGAGCTGCATCTGCAGCAAGCAGGACCCTTCCAACTCGAAATGATTGTGCGCATCGTTGGTGCATCTTGTATGGAGCCATGCTGACTAGCTTGTACTGGTCTGGTTTCGGGTGTCCGGGGAGAATCGTCTCGTATTTCCATGGCTGCCTTTTCTGTATCTCGTCCCACGTCAAGCCGGGTAGTTCTCCGTAAGTCACTCTGTAAAGCCCATCACGGCTAATCTTTGCTATCATCTGTACGCATGCATCGGTAAGCGGCTTTCAGAGCGTACAATTGGGCAACTTGGACATACAACAAAGTGCTCCGGGTGGATTATGAAGTTGCTGTTACTGAAGCCGTATTGTCCTTCGAAATCGTAGTACACCTAGGCAAATATTAGAATGCTTGCAATTTTGCGTGCAGCTAGCGGTGAAGATCGTGGGTCTGACTTACGTTCGTAGCAACAATCTGTTGATCCCAAGTAAACCCCGGAAACTCGTCAAACAGTGACTTGCGAACCTGGCTGGTAGCACCATCGCAACCAACGACGTAGTCGCCGTGCACGTTGACCTGTCCTTCCGGGGTTTCGGCCACAACCCAAGCCGAGTTTGCATCTTGACCTACATCTACGACTTTGTGCTGCCAGGAAACCTGGCCGTTGTACTTGGTAACGAACTCATCCAGCATCAATCGATCGAGTTCATCGAGAACGAGGCACGTTGTACGCAAATCTTCGCCATCAACATCCGCAAGGATGCTTCCATCCATCCCCGTGATGTAGGTGTGATCATCATATCTGCGCCATGCCATAGTGTTGAGTGTCATGCCCCGTCGACGGACCTCTTCCAGAATTCCTGCTCGCTTCAGATCCGGTATCGCCGGTGGTCCATAGATGGCTGCTCGTGGCCGCTCATCAAGTTTGTCGGAGGCTTCCAAGAGATGGACGGGGATCCCATGTTTTGCCAGAAGGAGGGACAGGAGCAAGCCTGAGGGGCCCGCTCCCACGACGACTACCTGTAATAAACATTTAGTACTATTATTTGTAGCCGTGGATCAAGCCGTTTCTCACCTTTTTAAAGGGATGTTCCATTGCTGCAAAAGAGAATGTTAATCAACAAAGAACCATTAAAAGTCATCTTGGGGAAGAGAACATATCGTTCCGAGTTTCGGTATCGGGCATAGAAGTAATGACGCAAAATACTGCCGGCCAACTTGGCTGCATGCCATGCAACTGGCCCATTTCCCCGCATCCGACTGTATAGGAGCGGATATATCCTAGGTTGTCGTTGAAACTGAGTGGGTTCTCCGCACGAGACCTAGCGTCTCGGCTGATGCGAGTCGAATCACTGGGGATGGCCGGCAGTGATGGAAGATCAACAGTGTCAGTGTCATCCAAAACACGGATTTTCCAATCAAGTGTTCAGTGAGAATCAGCTCTTTAAAAGCTCGCTCAACTTCATTCTATTATACTTCAGGCTCTGGGTATCATCTAATGTCTCTAATCAAAGTTATTCTACACCAATCGTACAATAGTGACTGACACGCGCTTTTTCGTCAGGATTTATGTTGACGCAGCCGGTACAGTTGTTTATAATAACAAAAAATCCATCTTTGATCATTGCATTCAAACATAGTCAACCGACCCATTCGTCTGCTTGGCAAGGGCGAACCGGCCCTTGCGTTTTTGATGAGTGTATTTGGACGATGCGATCAGCTGGATGACCGACGTAGCTGCCAGAATAAGTCCCAAGATCAGCGAGAGAATGCTGACAGTCCCACTGGCGGCGGCGATTATGATGAGAATAAAGTAGCCAAGCCAGACTAATGTCTTGAGGCAGGCGAAAACGAGTGCGATGACGGGGTTGAGTTTGCGCTTCACATATAAGCAAGCCTCCACGATGTTGATGACAATGTTGGCAGTGGCGACGACCAAGATAACAGCACCCTCAATTTTCGCAGCGTCAAGAACAACGTCTTGGGAGTATCCCGAGGAGCCGTAACTGTCTGTGATGTATTTGTTGGTTCGTGAGGCGGCGACCAAGGCTAGGATAGCGGCGATGATGAAGATGGCCGAGCATATGCACTGCAGGACCCAGCAAGGGACGAGAAGCTTCTTCGTCCAGATTCCTTCGTAGGTACGCATGGTGGGGTGGTTTCTTCGAAAATTGTAAATGTTGATAGCGTATACAGATATTGATCGATAATGGCGTGGTAATTAATCAATCCTCACAGACGGAAGGGAGATATGAACGGTATATATGCATCGATCGCCGTGATATGACATAAGTTACAGTAGACTGCGGCGCAGGAATCCAACCCGTAAATGAGGCTGTGTCTTCCTTCCCAAGTAGAAGGCAGCAACCTGGAAATGCGTGCCAATCATAGCGGAGCGTTTAGGCCGCCTTTTGGCCTTGAATGCTACGGCTGGATTGCTGATCACTGATTGTCGGGAGGCGCAGTATGGACAACCTTGTTCGACGCCGAGCTACGCCGCAAATCCCCACCATTGGCCTGTGGCGGGCGGCCTTGGCTTTGGCGTTGGCAGGCCCGTAGCGCATTGGTTAGGCGCCCCGCGCCCTGTTCCCCATCAGCCTTGGGCTGGTATCAGCATGAGCCCCAAAGCAAAGGCTCACGTGTGTGACTTTTCGCTGAAAGATCAGCAGAGTTTCGCGAAGAAGTTTCTTGTGCAAAACCGGCTGGCCTTTGAGATTGTAGCCAAGATCCGAAGGCTCTGGAGGCTCTCTGGTCGATCTGCCACCCAGCATTGTTCAGCCTCAGGCAGCCCGTGTGATAATGTCGATAATTCTTGTGGGACCGACCCTTGTTCTAGCCGAGTGGTATTACAATACACGGTCAACTTGAAGAAAAGAGAAGGCGGCACAGGTGCGCACTTGAGAAATAAAATTGGAAAATAAAAGGGCCTTGTTTGTATCTCAAGTTAGGTTCATGAACGATGTTCAACGTTATTGCGGACAAACATGACCAGACAGGTCGCTGAGCTTATAGATTCACTTGGTAGCACAATTTGACGATATATTCTCCAGAAGCAAAGCAACCACCGGCGGAGGGGCTAATTACATACTATATTACGTTACATCAGCAGTCTCTCTTGGGGATTGGAAGGCTCTTCGCGGGGATTACTTTGTGTTGAAACAGCCTTTTTATCTGACATGCAACCAGTCAGAACAGGGCTGCTGATTGTTTAGAAAGCAACCACGACTGGACAGCAGTTGAAGGGGTCGGCATGAGGATAAGACTGTGCCAAGGAACATGTGTCTCTAGCAAGCTCCCTAGAAACTCCAGCAAAAAAGGGCCTGCGCCCCCGTTCTTTTGGTCCTAGTGGTAGTGGTGGTGGTGGTGTCATCTGATTGTTGCCATTCATATTGTGACCTCCGCAGATAACTTATTCTTAGTCATCGATAGCTTGACGCGTCCTGGCTCCAGTTGATATATTCAAGCTAACACCTTTTCAGGAGTGTCGCGTCCCCAGCCTTGTAATCGCATGTTTTCTTTGGTCCTGCTTGAAGAGTGGTTGGAGAGGTTCAGCTCTTTACAGGGCAAGCCGATTGAAGTATGCCACGTAATTGCTGCATTTGACATAGGGCCATCCGTTTTTCTCCTTGAACGGCCCTAATGACAGTAAGTTAGCTTGACTTCTAGATACAACCTAGCAGTATGTTCTTAAGGTGGCAGTTTCCCAGACCCGACTGGCCGGATCGGCTTGGATCTTCGCTTGCAGCACACAATTCCACCAGGCACCATGCCGTGTCGCCGGGCTAGACCACTCATTGCAAGGGATTGGATTTCTCGCATCCTTTTCTTGTTCATTATCGAGTATGTGCATAGGGTTTGCATCATTCATCTGAATCCAGAGATCCTACCCTGGTGATGGTTTCTTTCGTTATGGAGCCAACATCAATTGGTGTCACGCAATTGGCTAGGCCCCACTTGGGCAGTCACATCATCGGTTTACAGTCTCCTTCTCGGTAAACGTCGCAGTATCACGCCATTCATAGACGGAATTCTGACATCGGCGCATGGATTGAGGCCATCATCGTAGTGACGAAGGAAGAGTTGATATTTGGAGACGATGCTGCTGCCCAGACCGCTCGTCCTCTTGGACGGGCCGTCCCTCATCGCTAGTCATAACGCCTACGTCTCGGCACACCTCAACCCGCTATTCAATTGACTATTCCATTGATGGTCTGAAGCCAAGATCTGTAGCCAAGATCTATAGCCACGATGTCAATCCCTCCAGTCCAATCAGGTGTGCCTGTGCTTGGCTCGGAGAAGGAAGGCAACTTCAGGGACGTAGACGCGAAGCTACCCCTAGAGACCTCCCGAAGCGACCAATCCGAGTCCGACGACGAGTCCTACAATGCCAAGAACCCGTTCCTCGACCCTGAAGTTGCTGCACATTGGAAGGCGGTTTACGAGGCGTCGAGGTACGAATCGCGCCACGAATTCGACCCAGATTTGACTTGGACAGCGGAAGAAGAAAAAAGGATTGTAAAGAAGCTGGACTGGCGCGTTTGTCTATGGGCAGTAAGATTTATCATTGAATACCTGGTCTGTATCCATCAAGCTAACTCCTCCCTCCCTCATTAAGTGTGTCATGTTCTTTGGCCTCCAAGTCGACCGTGGCAACCTCGTTCAAGCTGTGTCGGACACAATGCTCACCGATCTCAAACTGTCTACAGACGGTACGCCAGTAATCCAACTTGCCACAATCACAAACAGCACTGACCGTGGACTTAGACTATAACTATGGAAACACTGTCTTTTTGATCGCCTTTCTCCTTGCTGAACTCCCTTCCCAGTTGATCAGTAAGAAGATCGGACCTGATCGATGGATCCCAATGCAGATCTGCCTGTGGTCCCTGGTGGCAACGTTCCAATGCTTTCTAAAGGGGAGAGCCGACTTCCTCGCCACCCGTGCTCTGTTGGGAGCCCTAGAGGTAGGTTCACAAGTGATTCCTGGATGGAACGTGCAGTCTAATGTGTATACACCAGGGCGGCTTCATTCCCGATATAGTGCTTTGGTTGAGCTACTTTTATACGTCAAAAGAGCTGCCGATTCGCTTGAGGTTAGGGTTTTATCTCTATGAGCTATGTTATCCAAGGCTAACATGTTGGTAGTTACTTTTGGACTACATTATCAGTTACCTCTGTTGTTGCCTCACTTCTGGCATACGCTATTTTCCACCTGAGTGGTGTGGCTCGCTGGGCTGGATGGTAAGTATTTGGCAAGCCGTTATGCGGGTATATCACGACGCTGACACAGGACAGGCGTTGGCTGTTTTTGATTGAAGGGCTAGTCACTCTATTGGTAAGTAAATGGCCTTGAATCTGACCGATTTCTTTTGATAGTTTCGCGTGCTGAGTCAGCTCGAAATAGGTTGGCGTCGCTTCATTCTTTTACATGCCAGCCTCGGCCGTGCAGACCAAAACCTGGTTCCGCCCCAACGGATGGTTCACAGACCGCGAGACTGCTATCGTAGTCAACAGGGTCCTGCGCGACGACCCTTCGAAAGGCGACATGCACAATCGACAAGCGATCACACCTCGCCGACTGTGGGAGTCGATGAAAGACTACGACTTGTGGCCCATCTACCTGCTTGGCCTTGTGGCCTACATTCCTCAGGCCCCACAAACCAAATATATCACTCTGGTCTTGAAATCCTCCGGATTTGACACATTCACCACCAATTTGTTGACAATACCTGCTGTGAGTAAAGTTAACAATCTCACTTGGTACTACCACTGACCCTAAAACAGAGCGTTTTCCATATAATTACCCTGATCCTCCTTACTCGCCTATCAGAATGGGTCCAAGAACGATCACTGGTCTCAATGTTGCAATCGGTGTGGACCCTGCCCTGCGTTATCGCCCTGCGTGTCTGGCCAGGTATCATCACAGATCGCTGGGGAACGTACGCGGTCGTAACGACATTGCTCTCTTATCCGTACTGTCATGCAATTCTTGTAGCATGGACTTCCAAGAATTCGAACAACGTCGGAACGCGATCCGTGTCAGCTGCTCTATACAATGTATGTACGCTCTGTTTCTGATACTTGGGCCTTCGATGACTAACTGAATCATGTAGATGAATGTTCAACTGGGCAACGTCATTGCTAATTTTGTCTACATGGCTGATGATGCGCCTTTATACAAGAGGGGTAACAGTATTCTCATTGGTATCAATGTCCTCTGCATTGTCCTATTCATCCTCACCAAGTTGTACTATATGTGGAGGAACCAGCAACGTGATAAGGTTTGGAATGCCATGACCGAGGACGAGAGAAAGGACTATTTGCACAACACCAAATTGCAGGGTAGCCGGCGACTTGACTTTAGATTTGCACATTAAGATGCTAGAGAGGTTGCGCCTCATTATGCAAGTATACTGCTATGGATAGAATGCATAACTTGTGAATAGAGCAGGCAGTAGCATGGTCTCAAATATATCATGCATCAGTCCGGAGTGCAGTTGCTTTCTGGGTACGATAATGTGATAGACTGGCGAAAACATGTTTAACACATTGGTTGAACGTCAAGTTACCTCTGGAAGGAGATCGTGGACATGCCATGTAGGAGAAGGATTAATAAGCCGACGCTTGATTGGAGAACGGGCCGGAGAGTCGGACGGACCGTCGAATCCGTAGGCCCAAGCGGACCATGCAATGCGATGCTCCGCCGCTACTGTGGACTTAGCAATACATTGTTCGTCCTGTTTGTGCCTCATTACTATGTAGAGGACATAGCGCACGCCCGTGTGGACACCATTCAGATAATGACAGGAGTAGAATCCTATCTGCTCTATTTATAATCATTCTTCACAGCAGAGCTGTTCACTTGTTCATCCATGCTCGTTTTGTTGGCCAAATTGTTCGCTCAATTTGTAAGCATTCTCTTAAAAGCAGCACTTGAATATCGATGAACTACGAGTAAGGCCGCCACTGAACTCATAATGTCCCAACGAAGCATATTCGTTACCGGCGCTACTGGCAATCAAGGCCAGGGCGTAGTCCGCCATTGCCTCACTGCCACGTCTTTCGTAGTGTACGCAATGGTCCGTGACCCCTTCAGCCCGGAATCGCAGTCGCTCAAGTCCTCAGGGGCCATTATCGTGAGGGGAAATCTAGACGATGAGACCTCCTTGCTCAGTGCTTTTCAAGAGACGAGACCCACGGCGCTTTTCATCAACACGCCCCCAGGACCGGGTTCGCAACTACTTAGCCGTGCACGCAACTTGATCTCAGCTGCACAGGCAACGCCATCCATCAAGTCAGTCGTTCACAGCAAGTCCGCGGGCGTCGGACGCCACACATCATTCCCCGGCTGGGGCCCGGAGCTGCCGTCATATGATTATTGGGTGGCCAAGGACGAGATCGAGAACCTGGTCCGCGGCGCGGGCTTTGAGAATTGGACCATCGTGCGCCTGGCCACCTTCCTACAACTTTTCGTGCCGCCGTTGTCAAATCATCTGTTTCCAGAACTCTGGAGCGGACCCGGCGGGAAACGAGTTTTGAGGACCGCGTTGAAGCCGAAGACCAAAATCGACCTCGTCAACGGCAGTGATGTCGGGGCAGTAGTCGCGAAGGTACTATCCAGTCCAGAAGCTTATAGAGAAAGAGTGGTCGACCTTGCGGTTGAAGCCCTTACGGCAAGCGAGCTCGCCGAAAAGATCAATAAAAGCAAAAGTGAGCCCGTTGAGGTGGTTTACGAGGAAGAGGATGAGCTGGCAAAGAAGTTAGGACCCGGAGGTGAAAGACTAGTAGCAGCGCAGAAGATGTTCAACGTTCTAGGATGTTACATCGATGTCGAAAAGAACCGACAAGAGTTCCGGATGACAGGCGTCGAAGAATTCTTCACGAAGGCCCAAGGGTAGCTTAGAATGACAATCATCTGCATGGCTTATTCAACTCTGCTCTATTGATTAAGTGAAGTATGGTCTAAAGCGCTGCTGGCCCTTCTCTTGTCTTTCTATATTTTGTTTGGTACATCTGTATACAAGAATCCTACACCTATCGTACACACTCGGAACATTTGTTTCACACCTCCTTCTTGTCCTTAAACTCCCAGCGGTTAGGTGCTATATGGTAGGTCTCCATCTGGGGTTTGGTCAAATACGAGGGGCTTTTGACCATGAGATCCTCACCCTTCTGATTTTTGGGAAAGGTGATGACGTCTCTCACACTCTCGACGTCGCAAAGCATGGCAATGAAACGGTCCCATCCTAGGGCGAATCCTGCGTGTGGAGGGCAACCGGCTCTTAATGCCTCTAAGAGATGATTGAACCGGCTTATCCCACTCTCGGGCATCTGAAGAATATGCGTGAACACGTACTTTTGCATATCTGCCAGGTGTATACGGCGACTGCCTCCCCCTATTTCCACGCCGTTGAGTACAAGATCATAATGATCCGCTGTAGCCTTGAGCGGGTCGCTCCGCAGAAGCTCAGCATCCTTCAACGTCAAAGGTGCGGTAAAAGGGTGGTGGGTAGCCTTGAGGCCAGCAGCACCGCCTTGGCCTTCTCCAGGGGTATCATCTGGAGTGAAGAGAGGGAAATCGGTGATCCAGCAGAATTTCTGGCTGATGTCACGATCTAGGAAGCCTTCTTGTACAGCTGCATCGTAAATGGCCTTGCGGAGCCTGCCGAGGTCTGTAGAGCCTTCACCCTGGAATGGAACATCTTTCCGCGCATGGACGATAAGCAGATCGCCGTGCTCAAGAGCAGGCCAGTATTCCGTCTCCATCATGGCCATACCCCCCGCCCCTTCGTGACCGAATGCAGAAAGGCCATCAAGTGGCTTTGTCTCGTCGAAGATGAAGACGCCAGGCGTGCAAGACGGATCTATGTTGATAGTACTGTTGGAGATTCGGTCCATGAACCCACGAATGAATGCTTGGTTCTCGGCAAGGGTTCCTTTCAGTTTGAACTGAGCAGCTTCGACGATAGGAGTTTCCAGATTCGTGATCATGCTGGTGAAATTGTTCGTGACCAGATGGTCAATCCTTTGTATCTGAATTTATAAGCTGTTGCACAATCCCAAAGCATTCCTGACCGACTTACATGTCCAGCAATTCTAAGGTCAGGCTTGTCAATGCCAAAGTCTGACATCGCTCGCTGATACTTGATTCTCACGAAATTGCTATCGGGAATAGGCCACAGCGCCGAGCCCTCGTCGTGCAACGCGCTGTTGCCATAGCGTTCAGCTATTCTTGCCGGGTCAGTGTATTGTATACCATCAAGCTCCCTTGGCAGTGCCCTTGACTGAAGCATCCGGAATATGGCCTGAATGACGTCCTCGACAGTCTTCATGACATCCAAGCCAGTCGCAAAGCTCATTTCCATGTCCAGCTGTGCCGATTAGAAGACTATTTCGGAAGAGCTTGGCGATGTCAACGTACCTGGGTGAACTCGGGCTGCCTGTCGGCTCGCGAATCCTCGTCCCGGAAACACCGGGCGAACTGAAAGTAGTTCGAGGCACCACTCGCCATCAGGATCTGCTTATATTGCTGGGGGCTCTGGGGGAGAGCATAAGCAAGCCCAGGCCGACGGGTGGGAACCAGAAACTCCCTGGCGCCCTCGGGAGTGGACTTGAAAAGAATTGGCGTCTCATACTCGTTGAAACCTAGGCTTTCCAGGCACTGTCGAGCCGTAGAGTTGACCTTGGAGCGCAGGTGCAGTCGATCACGGAGCATAGGATCAAATCGCATTTGCAGGTGGCGAGCGGACAAGGGCCACACTGCATCCTGGGAGACTATGATATCCTTGGGGAAATCATTCAAGCTCTGGATCTGTGTCAACCGAAGTTCGAATTGCGACTCTGGACCCGCAAGGTTCGCATCTGCGCCAGGCCGCAGCTGAAGGATGCCGGTGGCGGCAACTGGACTATAGGCAGGTATATTTCGGAACTCCTTGTGGAGTACGGAAGCTGGGCCTCCTGCGTTTTTCGCATCAACGGCGGATACTATCTGCACATCAAACCCTTTTGGGGACTTCAAGTCGCAGAAGGTCAACTTCGCGGACTTGTCCCTCCTCTTGCCGAGGAATCCGTGCACAGTGACTGTATTGCCTGGCTTGAAATCTTTCTGTTCAGAAGCTGCAGGAAATGAAAAATAGCCTGTGCAGAAGTCAGTGACAACTCGTGCCGCTGCGGGTTGTTACTCAAGCGGACCTCGCAATTCTCCCTCTGGGGCTGCTGCTACAGACCCAGACGCAGGTACATGCTCTTGGCTAAACGGCCGTTTCTGGCGCACCTGGACGGGCGCAGGCGGCCACTGGGGCACTGCACGATTCAATAAAGCGAGCGGTCGCCCTTTGATGCAGGCAATGCATCGCAGGGCATTGTGGCGCGCGGCCAAAGGAGGAATTCTGACCATGGAGCCTCGAGTCTGGTCGCTCACGTGCGCATCGTATCAGATGTTCCCAAGCCAACCCAAACACTGATATCAAGCTAGGTAGCTCATGCCAAACCTCAGCCCGCAGAGAGGACCTTGAGCCGGGCTGCTGGGCTGCCCTGAGCTGGAGCCACCCCAATTGGGGCGGAAAAATCCAGCCCCGCCCCGGCGCAAAAAATCCCACCTGGGCAGTGGGTAGAAGAAGGTCCACTGAAGCTCGCGATTGACTGGATTTTTTCCTTTCCTCTTCATCCTTCCAATTCAAAACAATGTGAGTGCACCCTCTGCAAAGACTGATCGACGGCGTCTCTTCTAGACTTTTGCTGACCTCGTGCCGCTGCAGATGATGAAAGCCGCGTGTACCATATGATACGTACCGTCTTCTGAGCTTCAGAACTCTCCCTTCGGGGCTCAAGTGGTTCTGCTGTGACGAAGGCTGGGACTATGAAATAAGCGTTCGACACAACCGACCTTGTACAAAAACGGACGCGAGAACGGCATCTCTGATCCAAATTGAATCTGTGAAGGTCTGGGGTGGTCGTTCTTCTCCAGGGGTTGAAACAGCTGGGCGAAAACGTCCCGTGCCCTAGCTGTCAAGAGCCCTGGCTCAGGAAACGGCCCCAGTAGCGAAGGCTTCAAGCGTTTGTCACCAAGTGGGTGACCGACCGGCGGCTCCAAGCCAAAGAGTCATTTCTGTAAACGCGCGCAGCCCAACTGCGGCATTGAATACTTTGAAACGCCCGCCCAGGAGAACACAAGCGTGATAGAGGTGTTTCGACCAACGCCATGGCTCTACCAAGTGGTTAGCGACAAACTGTATTATAACAAGATTGTTTCACACCTTAACTGTACTTGTGTTCTGAGATGGACCCCTGGGCAAGGTATTCGACAGTCCACACATCATCGTCCACACATCATCGTCCCCATGACTATCTAGGTATTCAATAAAATCATTCTGAAAATATCTCCTTGGCCATGCCATCACCATGATTGTAACCTGTCCTCGGCGAGATTCCTGATGACCGGATCATCTACAGTTCGTCCGCAGCCTAGCTGCGAACTGTGGATCTTGGTGATTTTCGTGTAGTGACGCAACACGCACTTGAAATCGGCTACAAGCCCGTACCAAGTAGTTCGTTCATTTCATCCACCACACCGAAGGCTAGGTAGGGGAAAGAGAGAAGGGAGACGGCAGAGCGGCTCAGGTTTAGTTAGTTCGCATCCCCGCCAATGCGCCAGGGGGACGGGCAGCTAATGCCCACCCACGTCCTGCCGAGATGGCCCTCTCCCATTGGCTGGGCGTACGCCGTCGGTCGTCGTGGCAAGCCAGCCAGTGGCCCAGTTCAACTTCCACCTTGTCCGACCTCTCATTTCCCTGAGGCTCCGCCGGCGATCCCATTGGATCTCGAGAACGCTCTCTTGATTCGGGCATCTACGACTGCCTGATAGTTCAACCATTATCATTATCTCGACTACATATCTACGGCGACCCTCCGGGCCGGTAATAGACTTGGGCTGACGCAATGTCCCGCAGTGAATGCTGAATTGTTCTGGCCGAGCTGCTCATCACCCGCGCGCCGTTCGCCTGGCCTGGTGGTGCTCCCGAATCCGAAGCTAGGACGTGACGTCGCATCCCGGCCCGTCGTGATCCTCTCCTTTGTCCGACCGCAAACCTCGCGACAGTTGTTTGCCTTCGGATCGCTTCTCGTCTACCCGCTGGCCCTCGTCCCCGTAATACCTCCCACCCCATCACCTCGCGTTGGCGCATACGCCCATAGAACGACAAGACGAACACACCATGGCAAGCTCGTTTGAGAAGTCGGTCAAAGGGGCGACCAAGATAAAGGTCAGAGAGGCTTCGGAGAAGACGCGGGGGCACCACAGCCGCTTGCTTGCCTGTCAAATTGCTAATCGAGGGTTGCACAGGCCGCTCCGCCCAAGACGAAATACATCGAACACATCTTGATCGCGACACACGCCGGAGAAGCCGGCGTCGGGGAGGTCTTTAGGGCGTTGCAGTTCCGGTTGCGAGACTCAACATGGACCGTGGTGTTCAAGAGCTTGATTACGATACACCTCATGATCAGAGAGGGATCGCCCGACGCAACCTTGGCCTATCTCGCAAGGCATAGGAACATGCTTGCCCTGAGTTCCTTCACAGACGGTGCGTTCCTGCCTGCCGCCTCTGAGCAACGTCGCTTTTACTGACAGCGGAACGCAGCACAAACGCAGGGCCGTAACATAAGACATTATGCCGCATACCTGGCGGAGAGGGCCCGCGCCTACCGGGACACCAAGATCGACTGGGTTCGGACCAAAGAGACGCGGTTGGAGAAGCTGTCGGTGGAGAAGGGACTGCTCAGGGAGACCGAGGTTATCCAACACCAGATCACGGCGTTATTAAAATGCGACGTACGTGCCGAAGAAGGAGTGACGAATTGGGGTTAACCTGTGCTGACATGTTGTTACAGGTGCTCGATGAACCGGAGAACGAGATTACAATAACCGTCTTCCGACTCCTGGTCCTTGATCTACTGGCCTTATTCCAGGTGCTTAACCAGGCCATGATCAACATTCTGGGCCATTTCTTCGAGATGTCGAAACCCGACGCCGAACGGGCTATGGAGATCTACCGAACTTTTACCCGGCAGACTGACTATGTGGTGCAGTATCTCAGCAGAGCAAGGCAGTATGAACATCATACTAGAGTCGAAGTTCCCAAGCTGAAGCACGCACCGGTCAACCTTGGTCGCCAGCTCGAAGACTACCTCAAAGACGCCGACTTCGAAATACACAGGAGGCAGTATCTGGCAGAACTCGATGCTAAGAAGAAAGGTGGTTCGTCAGCCAAGACTACCAAGGGTGACGCATTAGCAGCAGGCAAGCTGTTTCCAGACTCAAACACGAACGGCGCTTCCTCGACGACGCCAGCTCAACCTGCTCAGGCAACCAAAGGTCCAGATCCTGACCTGATAGACTTTTTCGATTCCATAGAGCAGAATCAAACGCCACTAGCCGTCAACACGCAGCAGCATCAACAGCAGCAGATGGCACAGCCCAACATCGGCACCCAATGGGCATCGAACAGCCCATTCGATGCGGCACCCATGCAGACAGGACAGCCATTCCAAAGCAATGGGTTCTTGCCGCAGCCTACAGGCTTCGCTAACAACAGCCCATTTCAACAGCAGAACATGGGGGGATTCAGCAATCAGCAACAGGCTCCGCTGCAGCAACCAATCCAGCAGAACTTTACAGGTGCTGGATTCGGAGGTTACACTCCACAATCGAGTTTCTCGCCTGGCGGTCTCTCGTCAATACCGCAGGATTCGGTTGCTTCATTCCAGACTGGCAGCATGGCGCCCCCGATGCAGACAGGACTCCAGCCTAACCAACAAACAACAAATCCATTCCGCCAGTCAATGCTTATGGCGAACCCGACGGGCATGTCCAACCAGATGCCTCAGTTCTCCAATGTTACGAGTCCACCACCAGCTACACAACTTCAACGCCAATCTACAAATCCGTTCGCTCGATCGTCGCCAAGTACATCGTCATCGCCTTTCGCTAACCCCTCTTCCGGATCACCATTCCAGTCTCAGCCTCCACAGGCCCCTCAACAAGCGCCAGCACCGCTACAACCCATGGCGACCGGTACGAACCCATTCGCCAAGGGCTTCGGCGCCGGCGGCGCCTTGCAACAACAAACCCAGAGACCGCAGACGAGCGGTGCCTTGATGCCACAACCAACTGGCAGCACTAACCCGTTCCGCCAGGGTGCTCTCATGAACCACCAGACCGGCATGGGCTGGCAACACAACCAGGGGAGGATTGGTGGTGGCTTTGACGAAATTCAGTCTACACCAGTATTCCCGCGGCCAAGTACGGGGACCGCGTGGCAGGGGTAGAGCTGAGCAGAAACCGAGCACTCGGCAGGTTGGGAGAATGTCCATCTTGTCGTTTAACGCACCGTTCACGCCGCCTGGGTCGGAATTTGAAAGCCGCTGAAGTTTCAGATGCAAATGTACATTATCTCCTGAGGTGGGGGTCGGCGGCGCGCATCAAGCGAGGAGTTTGTTTGGATTTCCTTCGAGGTTTTCCTCCATGAGACAAGATAAATACAAACGAAGCACTGCAAAGTAATGAAGTCTTTTGATATGTGTGATGACGACTTGAGCCACGAAGATTCCCCATTGACTGCCTAAATCTGAACAACAAAGCTTGCAGTTTGTCTGCGTGCTCATGCTGGATGGTTCCCTGAAAATGCTTGCGCAGTGGCTCGTAATCCTACCCAAGGCTTCAGTGTCTTGTTTCAGCATCCCCCTCCGCCAATGACAGCAATGCACTCACCATTTGCTCTGTGATAAGAGATGGAGGTAATAAATCTAAGCACAGCATGAACATTAAATCAGCAGAAATAAGACCAGTCTTCGAGGACCTGTCGAGAAAACAGACGCTGGGTGATAATATCACGGCGACCCTCGGATAGTTAGGCAGACCGGGTGCTAAGACGATCTCATCGAGGTGGTTACGAGCCCACGCAATAACTCCATGTTCGCGGCATTTTATATCACGGTCTCAACTCTGTCCATGTTGTGACCAGAGCAGAGATAAATTTTGTTGCGTACATCAGCGTATGGCTTCCTGAACCCTCTCCTGCTCGGTCGAATGTTGCAAACGCCCGTGTCGATGCGGGCGGATATCAGCTCTACATTTGCAAATCCTCCATGATATCGTGTCACTACAGATTTATCAGCAGAAATGGAATGGACAATTCCTCACACAGAGGCCTTAGGCTATTCCGTAGTACGTGAAACTGAGTCTCACACTCACCATGGCAACCATGGGCAGCATCAACCACCACGCCATCGTGAACCTCTTCCTCATGACACCACGCGCGGTGGTGAACACAATGAAAATCTGGCAATCAAAAATTTCAAGGTCTGGGAAAGCACAAGGCCCGACCAGAGGACAGCCCGCGCCGCGATGTGCAATGCAGGCGGATCCGTCCTGGAGCGGGATCTGCTTGAGCGTCCCACTCCCCCTCAAGGTAAGTTTGAGGAGAAAAGAAGAAAAGGGCAAATAAGGCTGGAGGGTCACCGGATTTTGTACTTCCTGGGAGTGGGGCCCCTCAGGCGGTGGCAGAATGTAGGCGGTGGTCCGGGGCAGTTTGGGTACAGAGGAAGGTACAAGGGTATTGCTGTGAGTAGGAGGGAGGGCAGGTGCGGCATTGGCTTTGCATTTGGCCAGTCGCGCCATTGTTGTGCAAGTCTGGCTGTTTCAAACATCTGCCTGAGCTTCCATAATGTAGTGGTGGCCCTGGTCTCGATCGATTCCAGAACGTAGTAACCACGATAGGCATTGTAGGGGTTACAAGCCAGAAGTGCTACAACGCTGCAACGACAGCAAGCTCCTCAGCAATAGTACACCATGCACTCTACATCCGAGTTGCCAGACCCGTACTTCAATCTGAGGGATCCTTCCTCAGCCATGAGATGCAAACTTGAGTAGTCTGCTGCGTGCCCCCTGCGTAGGAAATAAGGGTAACGTGTGTCAAGCAAACGCCACGTCATTCAAAGTGAAGAGTCTAGCATCTGATAAAAAGTGAGCTGAGTCTTCTGGATTCTGTTTATTCAGCTACTTTGGACTTTTGTCACACATCACAGCTGCTAGGGAGATGAACCACGCACTTCTCATGCGGTGTCAGGTCACCTATGTCTAAAGCAACCACTCATCAAACCACCTCACAGCCTGAAGAAACGCTTGCTCCCGGGCGAATTTCTCAACCTTCTTGGAAGTGTCACATCGGACAGCAAAGCCATGGGCTGCTCCAGAGAACAGATTGATTTGGTATGGCTGTCCAACCTCCTTAAGGATTTGCTCGGACCTGTGCCTTTTCTCAGCAGGGAAAACGACTTCGATCTCAGCAGCTGCAATAGAGAGCGGACCGTTGATGCTTCTAAGTTCGTCTTCCTCGATGAAGGATGGGTGGCCCATGAATCCAACGTCGATTCCAGTTTTGTAGTGGCGGGCCAGGTACTGTAACAGGAAACCAGTCAGCAAGCAATATCTTGGTAAATCTTAGGCCTTGCGAATAACTTGCATACCTTAGCTCCTAGGCAGTACCCCAAAGCACCGATTTTGTTGTACCCATAGTCTTCCTTGAGGGTCTTGATAGCAGCCTGTACAATAGGATCAATGGCCTCTGGAGTATGTGGATTGTTGCCATCCGAGCCCTCGCTGAGCCATTTCATCCAGTCGGTCTTTTGATTGAGAGACATGGGATCACCGTTCCACAGGTCTATCACCATACAAAAATAACCATTGGCTGCCAGCTGGTCCGCCATCAACTGGCTATTGGGCCATATACCGAGAACATCGGGAAGATAGAGCAAAGCGATATTCTTGTGCTCCTTTCTCTCGTGTGGGGCGGCGATGTAAGCGCTCCATTGCGAAGCAATCTGAACACTTTGTCCTGCTGGGTCACCTCTATATGCGTCGTTGGTTAGCCAACCTTAATAAGAAACCCATGCATTCCTTGTGATGCTCACTCGTGTTTGACGCCAATACTACAACATTCTGCTGGGGGGTTCGACGCCATTGCACGGAATTGCTTCTAAAAGTCTGGCTTGCGATACTTCTCTGTGTTGTTAAATTTGTGGGTGTTGAAATTGAGCTACCGGTTGAGAAGACAGTCGCAATTTATGCTGCGCTCCGAATCGCTGCTTACATCTTGGAGCTTCGCGCTCTTCTCGGTTTACTGAGCCCTCAGCGATAGTTTGGCGTGCCGCATGACTCACTCGGCACCAGGGATTCGGGTTTGCAGTCTTACCTGGTCTGTAGGATTGCATGAGGCTGTCCTGGCTCCGCCTTTTTCCCAAAAGCGCAACTTTGATAGACTATTAAATGTTATAAAGCTACATCTACCTTGATTGAATAAGGGCAATTCCTGTCATCTGTTTCAAATGCCGAACGTTAGTTCTTCTTCTTCTTCTGTGCACGTAACTCGGCCCTCAGCTCCTGGACCTCGACGGCAAGGTCCTTAAGCATCCGCATCATCTCCATCTCATTGTCGTTGCTCCGATCCGGTTTCCCCTCTTGCTGTTCCGCCTTTTTCTTCGCAGCATTTCGATTCTTCGCACCATCACCTTCTGTTGCTGGACCAAGGGGCTGTGCTCGCGCCAGTTGAGAACTTGCACCAGCGAGCATCTGTACTTCCCTGGTCGGATTTCTCGATAGTGCCATCAGGTCTGAAGGGACTTGCCATCCAGAAGACTTTTGGGGTTGGCGACCAAGTTTCGCAACTCGGGTATTACTTGGAGATTTGCCACCGATGGACCGGCCCTGGCGTTTGTGGCTGCCTTCCATCGTCCAGAAACGCATGCTGTCAAGTTCGGCCGCACGCTTGGCACGCACATAGTCCTCCCAGCGTTCGAATGCCCATATTGAGATCATAATAGGAGCATGAGTAAGTTTCAGTAAGAAGATGCGGGCTTTTCTGGCACTTTGCTCGCTCGCAAAAATGAGAAACGGATGAGCCAGGATGGGCACAAGATTCTGTAGTTTATGTTAGAATGTCCGGCACACTGGGAGAATGAGGCATTGGTAACTTACTAGGGGCATGAAGAAGTATGTGAGTTTATTTGATGTGGACGCCTCGAGAACGTAAACCGAGTACACGTATAAATACTCCTCTCGACTTGAGTCAAGTACTTGACGCAGGCTATTGCTGATATGTGCCATCATACTGGTGATAAGCAATTGATTGGTAAGGCATACAACTAATAGACACACATCGATTAGCTTGCGGCTTGCGTCTTCGGTTGCACAGCGAACTAGTCGCGGCCGTGTAATGACTGCGCATCAACTTCTCATCGATGAATTGAAATCAAAACGGACTACTCACAGATTACCATGACGGGCAAACCCAGATATGGGGATATTTGAGAAGCAACGTCAAAGCCAACTACGCCGGCACCAAAGAATACTTTGAGGGTGGTAATGGATAGTTTGTCCAGTGGAAAGTGACCTCTTGCAAGCAAATAGAACGTGCTGAAGAAGCCGACGTAGATGATGAGGACGAAGCCTAGAAAGCGGACAAACTGCTTTCCCATCTCTTTAAGACATGGAAGCAGACTTCCATAGTACTTGTTCAAGCTCAGCAAACTGAATATGCGGGGCGTCAAGAACAGACTCATCAGGGCCAATGCCCCGAACGCAACTTCGCCTTTGACAAGTTCATCCCCGGTACCAAGCCCCACCATGCGGAGCACGAAAAATGTCGTGCCTATGCATATGATACCAATGTCCCATAAGCTCCAGATGTCCGTGCTGAAGAACTGAGCTCCGTTTTCAACGAACTGACCCCATTGCTCAGCTGCGTAGCCCGCAATGAACACATACAGCACGACCTCCCAGCCAGTCACGTACTTCTCAACGCGCTGCAGGCTGACAGCGTAGAATAGGGCTAGGAGCGTTAGAAAGAATACCATCTCAAATGCTTTCATGTATCTCGGCACGCGGAGCCGTGTCCAGGGATCAGCGCCCGGCGGTCCGTCTGTCATGTTGAGTAGAAGCCTTCGGTCTTGTGTCTGGTCACGGCGGTAGAAATGTGGCTTCTTGACCGTCTTAGCCGTGAGGGCGTCCCAGAAAACGACGTCACCACGCCAGATGGCATCCACCAGATCCTGTACACAGCGTTGCGACAGGAACTTCTTCGCGCTAGAAACCGCTGCTATCTCGAGAGTGTTCAGGTCCAGAAAAGGCTCCGAGAATGCGCAGGGCTCGCCATAGTTACAGACCTGTCGGTACTCGGTGAAGGTGGCACTGGAAGCGCGAGACTGCGCAGCACTACCGCTGGCATGGGTTTGCTCGTGCAGCAAAGCCGTGCGTTCGTGTGGGCTACTGCCACTTTTGCCCTTATGGACGGCGCCGTTTCTGCCCCGGCTATTCGAACCGCAGGCGGCTTCCTCATCCTCGTCCGGAGGTGCATATTTTCCGTCACTGAGTAATTCGAACAACAAGTAATCGAGGGTGTCCCGCTCAGACAGTCTCAGGACAAATTGCCAGGCAATAAGCTCACAAGCAAGTCCACGCGATGAGTTGATGCCGCAGTCATCGTCTGACTCGATGGCCACGAAATGGCCTTTGAGAGCAAGCAGAGCAGCAACCAAAGCAGGATGGTGCACTGATGTCGAGAGGTGATCGATGATTGGTTGCAGGGTTTTGATATGCTTGGTGCTGCGCAGGTCATCCCAGGTCAAGGGCGACTGGACAGCCTCGATGATGCAGCTGCTTGTGTATCAATATACGTGTTTGCGAAATTCTCCATACCAGAAGTATTGAGGCGAAGTGAACGAGATGGCGAAGCCAACGTACAATGATAGTTTCCGGGCGATCTCTCCAAAGCTTTCATCGTTTCTGATATCAGGCACCACGAGAGTGGTACCCGCTGAGTCTTGGATGGCTCCCATATCTAATTTCCTTAGGGCTCAAGTGCTAGCACGTCTATCAAGGCCAGCATGTCTAGGTGATATAGACGCGAGAACAGAAATGGTTTAACAATGAACAACAACGACAACTTTATTCATCGATTGGATATATCTGCTCGTGTAGCTGGTTCGAGATTTTTTGGGGGTGACCTGATATCTGGGTCGAATCCGTTTGTTGCGCTCTTCAGGGATACCGTGGCCACCTGGTGATCTGTGTTTAAGATGATCCTCATTCATTCGCGTAACAGCAGATCCACCAATATCCACTGGCGCTTATTTGGGCTTAGGCGGTGACAAAATCTCCGGCCTGGAGATGAAGAGATGCCTTTGCCATAAATGAAGTTGTTGATTATGATTGCGTACATGGCCAACCTTTGGTACATATTACGAAGGACAGGGTTTACTCTGATGTTGGGCATTTGAGTAGCCAGGCTTATTCCTAAAGTACTGCGCTTTGGTCTTAACTTTCTGTTCCATTTAACAAAGGTGCTAGAACGCATTTTTTCTGTCGTTGCTCTACATCGCGTCTGTTGTGCCGTTGAAGCGAAACAAGGCTTCCTCGAGTCGGAGGATGTTATTGGCTGTGTTACGTTTCTTCGGCCTGATTACCCTGTGACACGTCTCTAACCCAGGAGGCGGGGGAGAATCGAGATCGACGCAGAGCACAAAGGAGAGCCTGTGCCAAAGATAGCGACGCGAGATATCGCTAAATGGCATTGTGCAGCAAGCCGATGAAAAGCTCGGGACTACTGGTCTCTAGACATGGGCATGACTCGACGCACTGTTTACTATGCTGGACCGTTGCTAACTGACGATACTATTGTATCTTCGACAAATAATTCAAAAAGGATAACTAAACATTTAGTCACCACGTATGGGGAAAGTTGCCGAGGTCCGACGTATGGGCTATGTGTGCAAACTGCATACACATATCAATACCAAACTTCTCATGCTTCCGTTGTCGAAGTGTGGAAAGTACACAACTTTGTAGCCACAGTTTACCATTAAATTACCAGTATACACTTTAGTGATCAATAACCTTATAGGGGTAGTACAGTGATTACATTTTCCTTTTCCCCAGACATATTTAATAAACATTGAAAATGATATTTTACCTTATCGTGTATATGATGTGGAACGTGTGGAATTATTCAGATATCCACCTTTTATTTCATAAAGCCAGCTTTGCCGTCACCCGTAGAATCCGTCATTGGATTCAATTTGTCCAACAAGCTTGGGTTTCTGGTGCGTTCGCTTGCCGCAGTCGAAAGCTTGTCACCAATGTCAGAATCCTCAATTCCTTTACCAGAGTCTTGCCTCATGTGCCGGACCCCTTTATCCATTGAAGTAACGTTGGCCCCCCGGGTACCAGCCATGCCCACGCCTGACTGATTCTGCATTCTGGATGTAGTACTTTGGGTGCCAGAAACACCACGCTGGGCCTCAGTGCCAGAAACCCCGCGAAGCGATCCTTGGTGCATGGCCTCGGTTTGGCTATGCTTTCCTGATGAGAGTATACCACTTCGATCATCAGGACATCCTTCAAAAGCGTCGTGGCGTGTCTGGTTGCCGCCAAGTGTGCCACCTTGTCTCTTATATTCATCTGCGCTCATAGCAGGAAGCGTCGAGGTTCCATGATGCTGAGCCTCATTATGATGAGTCTCATGAATAGGCACAGTAGTGTGGACAACGTTTGGCTGGATAGTCTCTTTATGGAGCACAGGCTGCACAACCTCGTGGACATGACTGGCAACAATCGTTAGTATTATTTGAAGATTTAGGATATAGATAGAAGCAAACATACTGGTGAACGTGTTCACCTTCGACAGTCGGTGCATGGGTTTGAGTTCGAGTAGTGTCCTTCATTACGCGTTCATCCTTGAACTTCGCGGCTTCGGCACTGAGAGCATTCCTAGTCCTCTCGTTGTCACGATGATCAACTTCACGGTGCTGAACATTCTTAACATTATGCTGGTGTTGTTCGGGAAGGACTTCTCTATCGTGGATAGGCTGAACAGTGTGATGGTAGTGGTCTTGATGAACCTCCTTATCCAATGCCGTGTTCACCTCTTCATGCTGGGTAGGTCGAACAGTCTCATGCAGGACAGCCGGATTCAATGTCTCGTCGACCGTGGTATCGTGATGACCTGACTTGCCCATGAAGTCACGGATTGTATCTTTAGTTTTATTCAATTTTGAAGACATTGTGTGACGGTACACCTTGATAGGCTTGATAAGTGACTTGGTGTATGTATGGATTGGTGGGAAACCTGAGCATAAACAATGTCGTCTCCTGGAAGACTTATATGCCCGCCACGGACAAGTCACTCCGCAGGCCAGAGAGCAGAGAAATGCTTTCACAATGGCGATAATCTTCCGTACGACCTTAGAAACTTGATTTTACACTGGGGTTGAGCTTAATCTTGCTTCCAATAATTCTCCTCGACTACTCACGACTGAAGTAAATGGTCCATCGCACGCACTTGTATAGACTCTGGTTGGTGGTATCAATCGTCATAGTGCATTGTCCGGCTAGTCTTGCACGAAACGCCAATCAGACAAGAGTGTACCAGTGCCTAACAGGAATGGCAGGTTTCTCAGGCATCTGAGTATGCGTCTTATTTCGCCCAGTGACATGACGGTTATTCTTGATCCATCGGGGAGATCGGGATTACCTGTGCCTGAAATGCATAGTTCGGCCGTGGGTCAAACCTAATATGCTACCATGATCTAATTGCTCGATATAGTCTTTGAGCCTGCCTTAGTACAAGGTAGTCGCAAGTAGTCTGCGGGGGCCCGTACATATTGCTGGAGGGCGGCTCTCATGCCCACATGGCGCGCTACGTATGATCAATGACGGCGTGACCGAAGTAAAACGTCATTTAGACCACTGGATTGAAGGCCAAGGCGGGTTCTTGGAGCAAAGCCTCTTGCTGCTCAGACTTTCGTTATATGTACCTGCGGCCATGCCCGCACTCAGCCGTTGTTGCATCCCAGCGAGACATGCATAAGCTTAAAGCTCGTCAACTGGGTGCCTTGTTTCCATGCTACTAATAAGTGCCACCTACCATTCGAAGGTTTCAGCCTAGGTGCTGAATGTCGCCATAGATCGAGGATTGCTCAAGGGAGAGTCAAGCCACTTTGTCTCCCTTATAATTTTGTCGCGAAAACAGATTTGACAGCAGTGTATGCGTTCAGGAGGAATGAATATGGTACTCTGTCTCGGCAAGTACCCACTTGCACCGCAATGATGCGTCCCTTCCACGATCAGTTTGAAACTTTGCGAGGCTCTGAGGACGTACAACGTTCAAGATACCGATGCCCGCTGCAGGGGTTCTTGCTACATATCATTAGCTTGGAGGGACTTCCATACGTACCTACTATGTCATGTCCATCATGACCCTTCCCCCCTTAGTGTGATTCGACGAGTGGGCCATTGCTTCTATAGTAACACGGCATCTTACCCATCATTCCCCGCACCCCAGTACAATTGCCAGGCGGTGTCAAGTACGGCACCTGCTTGCTGTAGAGATGAGGTATGGAAAACCTACTGTCTACAGAAAATACGTGCTTGTTTGATGACCCAAGGTGCATATTAGTCACTGTCACGGTATTTGGCTTTCTCGTGATATCTACTTTCTACTCTGCAGTACTCTATCTTGATTTCTCAATGGGTCGACGCATTAGGCATTTGAGTCGCAAGCTCAGGCATAAGAACACCTTACTGCCACCTGCTGAAATCGCCGCTTCCCATGAGAGGTCGCCAGAAGACGGTCGGGTTCTTGACCCCCAATTTGGCCTCGGGGCTGCTACACGTCCGCAACGTGAACAAGAAACCACTACACCAAAGATTGGAGCTGCAAACAACAGTACCATGACAAAGTATGGGGAAAATCAGGGCGAGCTCACCAAGGAGTCCAAGGATATGCTGGGTTTAGCTGATACCACGACAACGGACAAAGCTACCTCCCAGAATCCAGGTGAGTTTTTTTTTTTTTTTGGGGGGGGCACACTGCTGACTTTTGATATGCTAACCATATTCTCTCAAAGTTGTTACTCACGAAACCGTTCAGCCACATGTGCACGAAGTTATTCAGGACCAGGTCTATCGGGATATACATGAACATGAAGTTTACCATCGAATACAGCCGGTCTATGCGCTCGAAGTGGCCCCTCCTCGTCACTTCGTACCAGACCCTAATGGAGATCTGATTGAGGTCCTTGAAAGTGACCTGCCCCACTGTACAGGTGCAAATCAACGATGGGCAATCGGCGAGATGCAGCCAGCTGGAGATCTCGGAGATTATGCGAAACTCTCGAGTGTATCCCAAGACATGATACAACGGCCCAATGAGGAACAACGAATGATTGATGCGGAGCGGCGTATGCCTTCTGAGAAGGCTGAGATTGTCGGCGGTAATTACAAGGCGAGTTCAACAACAATTTTCACATCTTGTCTGCATTCGTTCGTTAATAAAGTCAATAGACATTTTCCAATGAGAAAGATGCGCAACGCTGTGAGCGCAACAGCTCGATTTGGTATGGTGTTGGAGTAATACTATTGCCCATCAGTATATTTGGGCTAGTTGAATTATTCCAGCGTTACCGAAAGCTCTGGTAATGTAGCAGATGCGTGAGCCTGAGAGGGGTTGGTAGTTTTAGGTATGGATGAGAGTTCGTAGCTGCAGATGTCAAAGAACACGATAGGAAACTTTCTCGGTGGTCAACTCTTCTATGCTTCAAAGCAGCAGCACAATTGACGTACGTCGAGGCGCATGGAGCGGATACATGATTTCTCTGATGAAGCAGCCAAGCCTAGTCTAGCGGCACCCACGAGAATGGCAAATGCAAAGCTTGAATGAAGGATTTTCCCAAACAAGCAATTATAAGCTTAGGTGATTATATTAAAATTATAATACGTTAAGAATTATGCTAACGAGTAAGGTTCACTGTAGTTATATAATTTAAAGAGCGGACTTCAAACTGGGAGTAACTATGTAAATGCTTAGCTGCGGACTGTCGCTCACAATGGTTTGATCTCGAATAAACAAGCAGGACGAAGAAGGAAGCAGTTTCTACTAAGAATACGTTTCGTTTACAATACCAAGATCTGTGCGCTGTGTGTTGCGTATTGATACAACCTTCAGGATGTGCCGGAGGCCAGCGAGAATCCAGGATTACTATTGAAGAGCATAAAAATTAAAAAATAAAAATAAAAACGGAGGGCTCAACCCGAAATCGAATCGGGGTCACTTGCTCCCAAAGCAAGGAGGCTACCACTACCCCATTGAGCCTTCAGGTACTGATGGCACGTTGTCTCCAAAATGTCATGATGTGTTGCGTGGTCACTTGCGCGGAAGGTGCTACCGTATGAGTCACCGGCTTGAGTTGTTGACGCCAGACATTTCAGAGCAAATCGCACCTTGGCAAACACCCAAGTTTTTGATTATTGGACATACTTTCATGTATGGACCATGCTCAATTTAGCATAGAATGAAACGGCCATATGAGCTTCAGGGTCGACTCTCAAAAGGGTAAGTTATGTTCCCAGGCAGCCTTCTCTGCCTTATTCTGCAGGATAACCCCGCCAACTGGTCATCGCAGGCAATCTGACGTGAAAAGTAACAGAACTCAGAGTATGAATGATCCTGTCATCGTCTGTCACCTTAATTGTGGATATCGATATGTTGGGTGGGCACTAGACAATGCTCAGAGCCGGCTCAAATTTCTTACGCTGTTTGGGCGTGTCTTTGGAGGAACAAAAAAGAGCTCATATCAACTTAATTTTTGAACATTCTCTTCGTTCCATAAGCAGCTCCACCTTGATAGGTACACCCAAAGTGGTCAAAATGCCACCACGGCCGTTGACATTGGTCGTCACGGGCTGATCATTTGGGTTTGACCTTCACTTTCTGCCCGTGACCCAATAGAACGGCCGCTTTGTGGTAGAAACGTCACAAAGCCCCAGTCACGCACCAGATCTCGTAGCCGAAGTCGAGTCTAAAGGATGCAAGTAGCTCAAGCTTGATGTTGACGATATCAATAGCGCTCGGATCACCGATATATTGGAGACTTATGGACATGTGATAGACGTTCTGGCAAGCAGCATGAGTTTTGGACTGGATGGAAGCTCGGGGCGGTTTACCGAGGAAGTGCGTGGTCAACTCCAAAATAGATTTTGCGGACCTAATCGCTTGACCAGAATGGCCGTGCGATATATGGAGCAACGTCGATTTGGCATGATTGTGAACATCTCCAGCGCTGCCACGATCAGTGCTGTATGAGCCATGAGGGTACACGGGCCTGCAAAGGCAGCTTTACACAATGAGTATATTAATCCTCATCGATCATGCCAGATGGAAAGCTCAGGAGACACACAGGCCTCCACAAGTCCCTTGCCAGGGGAGTGCATGACCTCGACGTTTGAGTGTTGAGCGTGAATCCGGGTGGGTTTAATACTCCGCCGGCCGGTGCCCTGCAGTATTTGTCATCTCCGTTGGCCGGCGACTCGGAACAAAGCCTCGTAGGCTCGGCTCTCAAGGAGATGAAATCTGGTAAGGTGCTCATAAATGGAGGTACCCAGAGCGGTGCGAGAGCAATATACGAAGTGATTGTTGGGGGAGGTGTTGATAGGAGGAAAGATTTAGAGTCTGTGCTCCCTCTCGGCCGAGACACACAAAGAGCATGGAAACAGACTGTTGATACATTTGGACATATATGTAATAACATGCACGTAGACAAGCCCGATTGATTCTGTTTCCCATAAACTTTCATAGCTATCAAAGCAAGTCCTATTGACCTAAAGTTCGTAGTTCGCTCGGTTCACCGAGTTTGCTAGTCCACCGCTGATGTCTTACAGACATTGAGAATAATCTTTGTAGTAGTCAGTATATGGGTTGTAACTCGGATCTGTCATGATTTATGGAACTTACATGAGTTGATGACGTTGCATGTGTATGGTGAGGCACACTGGTGTTTTTGCATGAGCACCGGTTTCTTAGGAACGATATCTGGTGGTACTCACGGTCGTGGATCCGGTCCACCCGATTCCTCCGCACTGTCCGTACTGTGCTTGCGCGCCACCGGCTGCAGTTGTCGTTGTGGGCGCTGCTGTCGAAGTTGCGGTTGCTTGAGTCGTCGTACCTGACGGGGCAGTAGTAGTAGCAGTTGAGCCACCCTTTGGAATCAATTAGTATCTGCCTGGGAGTTTGGCTTGAGAGCCTTACTTTGATGCCAAACCATTCCATATCGGCATCACCGAATATTTTGATATTATGAGTAACGCCCTAGGACATTGTCAGCTCTGGTCAACGGATCGGGCAGCGTCAAAATACATACAGTTCCATAAACTCCTTCAACATTGGCACCATAGATATATCTGGTGTATGGACTTGCTGGATTATTAGGTATCGTTTGTTGGGGGGTGGTGGAGTAACCAAAAATCCCAGTCCACTGCTTGATAGTTTCGTTATAGTTCTGTGGATACAAAGTTGTGTCTGCAGAGCCATGATGAATTCGCATTTTCGGGCGCGGCCCTGTGTACCCAGGATACATGTTCTTGGCGACCGTAGCCCAATAGTTCTGCGTCTGCGAGATCTTGCCCTGAGAGCAAGTACTGTTCCAGCCGTTGACGGTACCAGTGTAGAAGCAGCCAGCTGGAACTCCTGAGTATGCAATTCCTGCAGCAAACATTTCAGGATATGTGGCGGCTTGGACAACTATTAGCGCGCAGAAACCTCCTTGTTATAAATGGGTAATACCTAGAACGTTCTGGCACAACAGCTGTGAGCAGACATACTTAATCTCCATTTCAATGGGTACTTACTGTCATCATGGCACCTGAGCTTGAACCTGTCACGAAAACTCGACTCGAATCGGCACCATACTTGCCAATAGTGTACGTAACCATGTTAGCAATCGAGTTGCTATCCGCGCCCCCATTGTGTGTGAGAGCTGCAGTCGAGGATACATCCCAACAGGTCCCGCTGTACGGAGATTCAGGGTAGATTACAATGAATCCGTATTGTTCTGCAAGCGTTGCGTATGGGGTTCCACTATAGTACGCTTGAGCAGTACCTGAGCAGTAGTGAATGGCGACAATGATGGCCGGTTTTGCTGCGAGTTTGTTGGGTACATATATGTACATCTTTGTGCCAGATGAGTTCTCTCCAAAGTTGGTGACCTGCGTCAAGGAGGCGCGCTTCTCCATCCCCTCGGCCAGTGTGAGCTGGCAGAGGGCCAACAGCAAGATAGACCACAGCGATACAAACATGATTGCTGGACTGATGGTGTCGCCGAGGTGCTACTAGTGCAAGGCTCCAATGAAAAACCCTCGGGGCCGTCGACGCTGTAGGATGTGGCATATTATTATAAGGGCACTACTGAGGTTCCGTTCAGCCGTTGCAGTTCAACTGCGGATAGCCTGCTTCCGAATGGACGGACACATTGCCTGGTGTTGATTCCTTTTGTCCCATTAGAGAACGCTATGCTGGAATTGGCTCGGAGATCAGGTCTAACACCTAGGTGGACCGTTGAACCGGGAGACCGGTAGACCGGTAGCCTTAGTGCACGATCTTGCACTCGCAATTTACTTACGCGTCTTTGGTGTCGACCAAACCCGCTAATTGTTCACTCATTAAAGCTGAGTAGTCTAAGTCCTTCCCCATTCATTGTTCTTTCTCAGCAAACGACATCTAATGCAATGATATTGGGGAAGTGGCGGAGTAGCAATGCCTCTATTGTAGTGCTTCTGTTCCGGAACGAATCCGGGACAAATCCGGATCTGGTGAGATACAAATCTTCCGCCAATTGGTACATGAGCACCGTTACATTCCCCACACGGCGAATGAGAGCCCCACGCGCCAGATCCGGACGTTCAGGCCCATCCGTATTGTTCGTTCTGACGGAGGCAGGTATAGACTTGGGCTACGTAGGAGAAGCATCTCGGTTCCGCGGTGGCGGCGTGGAGTACCATCGACGTTTAACAAATGAATATCGTCCTCGCACACGTTCTTCAACCAGCAGCCTCAAAGTAACGCTTCTGACTTGTCGGTCGAGATGAACTAGAAGCCTGACCGTTCATTTCATCGCACTGATAATTTGCTGGTTCGCGTCCTTCAACGTTTCAAATGTACCATAATCCCACAGTAACACTTCATCGAAAGAATTACCAAGCCTTTTGATTCAAGAGTGGGCATACATCACACATGATGCGGTTGCCATGCGTGAGCGAAGGACACTGTGCGTAGTTTCATTAGGTGCGGCACACTAGGTTACCCATTTCAACTTCTAAATCCACAGCTTAGAACCTTGTTGGTAGAGATAAGATTTCATAGTAGCCTCGCCGGCATGTCTTCGTTTCACCCATCCCCTCATTTGCCACCAGTTATGTCTAGTAAACAAAGCAATTTGATTATTAAACACTACTATGTGTAAGACTCATCTCTGGCTGGAAAAAGTTGAGAAAATAGAACGAACAAGATTCGTGGACCGAGGTCGATTTCAGCTCTAGCAAACGATTCTGTACATGTCAAGGAAAAAAGCAACGAAAGCAATGAATGCAAAGTATGCGACGCAGACCAGGACTCCAGTCCATGCGCAAAGCCACAGAATAAAGTCAACTCGGTGTCCAATATCAAAGAGGTGGAGTAGGTTGTGCAAGTTGGCACACCGTTCCATTAGCCATCCACAACAAACCATGTACACGCACTGAAACCTGGTGATCAAAGCGGTACAAGAAAGCTCCCATCCTGTTGTTTGTAGTCCATGATGCCAAACCTTTTCGACCTGATGTAAAAATTGTGACAGGCAGTCTGAAACGTCTCAAACGTCTCGATGAATCTTTCCAAGCCTTCCTGCATATTGTGGTCGTAGGCCTTTCCTTTGTTTCTCAGGGAGGCAACCGCGGCATCAAACCTCTCGGCCGAGCTGTGAAGTTGATCAACAACATTTGTCACGGCGGACTCGAGAGTCTTCTCGGTGTCGCTGAGCAAAATTGGAATCATGTTGGTCACTGTGCCCTCTCGCTGATTATTGTCAGTTGACTCATACAGGAATCGGATCTGGCTATCAGGCCGGGAACATACCATTTCTTTCTTAAGAGAGAATAGATCATTGCACCTGCATTATTGAGCAAAGGAATACTAGCTGGGTAGTGATCAGATGTACTTACAGGCAAGGCTGGAAACTGGCTTCTACCCTCATTGTCATGACCTCTGGTGACCATGCCAGATCAGCGGGCAATCTGGTATTAGCCACGTACTGGTGGAGTGTTGCGTAGGCAAATACAGCGCCAACGCCATGCCGCCATGACCAGTAATCCTCGGCGGTGGGTATGGTCCCGGCAAGTCGAAACTGCTGCTCGGGACCGCTTGCCTCGATAAACTCTTCCAAGTCCCTAGCCAGAATGGGGATTTGAGTTTGGAACGGGTCGGCCTTGAGCAGAATCGATGCCACAGAGGCGAAGGTGCCGAACTCCTTCGGCGTCTCTGCGTCCGCGTACGGCTGGCTATCGAGCTTGAGCTCCCGCCGCATAAACGCTATGCAGTCTCTTCTCAAGTCTGATGCGGCTGTGTAGTCGGAGGCGTAGTCTTGAACTTTGGGGTCGATCTCCTTGTCAATGGCGTCGTCCAGTACAAACAATGCCACAGTGAAGAGACCCATGGTTTTGAGTTGTTCCCACTCGGCTCTCGGGTACATCCTGGTTTGAGCATTAGCAATTTGGCCAAGGATCCCCAAGATAGATGCGCCGAGAGCGATAGTTACATACGCTGAAGCGAGAAATGCCAGGTCTATAGCTTTGCACTTCTGGCGAGCCTTTTCGTCCCCTATCCGCTTGTCGATGTCTTCATTCACTACCTCGGCCAGCCTTTCATAGTCGGGGTTGACACCTGAGGCCCATCGCCCGTACAATGGTCTTAGGTCGGGGATGACTAATGTTTTGCCCCTCAGGCTGTTGTATATTTCGTCTATATGCATTGTAGTTGGCAATCTGGCGACGAACGTGCCTTACAGGTCGGGTTCGTGGGTTGCGAGGTAGCAGAAAATGGCTCGCGACATGATCTGATTGGGGAGACCCGCTACTTGGATGTTGTGACCACCACATAGCCAAACCCCTGCAAGCGGTTCTGTGGATGCCCAGCCGATGTGCTGGCCCGGTTCTTCGGGTCCAGGCGTTTTTTGACGTGACGAAGACTTTGTTTGTATGCACCAGTTCGGCGTCCCCAATAAACAAAGCTTTTTGAAGCGGATCTTGATAAGCGAACCAATGGATGGCTATATCTCACCCTCCACGACCCGTTCTCGAGACCCATATACGCTGCAACTAGACATTGTTGTATTGAACATCTGACTCGTGACCGGTCTCCTGCTCGGGGCCCCCAAGTTTCACTGGCTTGCAGCGGAATTCCATCCCATCATTTGCGCCAGACCATTGGTATGCTACATTGCCATGAAGTTGGTTACTCAATGCAGCATTTGCTGCAGCGCATTGTTCCAAGTGCCGGTGTCAGCTTCAGCCCCCCGCAGCAGCGCCGAGGCAACTCTTCGGACTGTAATTGTGACCCATAGAGGTGATCGACACAGCGGTCATTACTGTACCAGCTCGTTGTAGGCATACGTCGCAGGGCCGCATACGTCTGGGCCCTGGAGTGACGTGTCCGCCAAAGTTCAGTAATCATCTCAACCACAACAATGAATTCTGGAGGATGTATTAGGCTTGCTGGCATCCTTTCTGCTGCTTGACCAATAAGAGTGCAATTACAGTGGCCAGCTTTCGCACCTTCTCGAGCTTATGCTGGCGATGGCTTTACAGTCGAGCTGCTCGTTTCTCGAGTGTTTGTGGGCCGAAACATATTCAGTCTGCGCGCGCGCACATGAGTATACAACAATGAACTGGTTTCTATAGTCGGACTGTCAAATCAATCTATACTCTGACACCAATTAGAGCCTTGCATGACGTCACGCTCCTTCAGTCCAATAAGTTGCGCCTGAGCTCGTTGATAGGTTACCGACAGGCTGGATACGGTCTCAAGATGGTGCAGTCACATTCTTTTTCTCATCCCGACAGCCACTGGCATTGGCATCGGCACAATAGCACAGCCGCACGAGGACGGAGGTCAAAACTGGCAAGGAGAAAAGAAGCAATGTATATCAAGGATCGGGGTTCCTTGACGATGTTGTTTCGCCCTCTCGCAATCCAGACGGCGGCCCGCAACGATGAGCCGGCTGCTTTGTGCTCTGTGGCCGTGGAGTAGGTGCCGAGGGCCGCGAAGGATCACCTTTGTCACAGGCGGCTTTAGTTGCAGCCACGACCTTGGAAGGCAACGAGTTTCACTCAGGCTGCGCCTTCACATACCTAGCCACTTCGCCTCCAGTCAGATTTTGGTGTGATGCTCTGCGTCGCAATAAATTCTAATTTCAAAAAATTAATTTCTTTTCCCTAACCGGCCGTCGGCAGCTTACCAGCGGCTTATCAGATACTTGCATCGCTCTTCTCGACAAGTTTGCAGCACAATGGGTCGCCCGAAATCCGCGGAACACGTAGGTGCAGCGGTGCCTAAGGATGCTCCCCCGCCGTACACAGAGGCCACAGGCCAGTCCAGTGCAGCAACACCACAGCAAGGCCCTCCGGCGCATCAACCATCAGCACAGCACCCAGGCCCTCAAGGCCCGGCGCAAGCCCAGGTCGCCCGCCAGTTCCCGCCCGCCTTCTCGGTGTATCGCGATTCGGCGTGGGGACGGACGTACATGCTCGGTGAACACCAAGCGACACCGCTCTATGCCATTACCCTGCACACCGGCTGGTCGGGCCAGCCAGACGTGGTGCTGCACGGCAGCAGTAGTGAAAACGCACCCCCGCTGGCCGGCGTGGAGACCACCGCCTTCAGCCGGGCCGCCACAGTGAGCCTTCCTCCCCTGCCTGGATCTGGTCGTTCGGTGGCGGAAGAGCCCATGGCTTTCTCCGGCTTCGGCAACGGCACCCACTCTTTCACCATTGAGGTGGGCAACACGGGTACGACGGGGCGCCGCGAGTCGTTCGAGTGGCGGCACAGTCACGGCGCAGAAGTCGACCAGCTCGGTGGCAGGGGGTCAGGATGGAAGCTTGTACGGCTGGCCTCTGATGCACCAGAGGGTGTGGGCGGCGGCTCCCACTTCGTAGGCGGAGGACCCCAGTCCAGCGATGGCAAAGAAGTCGTCGCCGTCTGGGCTAATGCGCGGACGAGCTTGTCCAAGATTTTAAACTTCCGATTCTTCGGGAGCGGCGTCACCGGGGTCATGGGGGAGCGCTGGGCCATCATGGCTGTCATCACGGCGTTGAGGATATGGGACAAGGAGAGAAAATCGAGGCAGAACAGCAGCGCTTGAAACTCAGCAGATCGGCGCGGCAAGTACTAGTTTATTACTATTTAGATATATGGAATGGATATACCCCTTGGGCTCGTAACCTGTCATGCGCTGGTAAAGACCACGGAGTTACGATGGTAGGCATTGGCAACGTTCGGCGACTATTATTGCGTAAGAGTGCCCAAGGAACCGGTGACTTATAAGAATAGTGGCTAGAATGGAACACCTGCTGCTCCAAAGTAACTTTACGGCGGAAGGGGCATAACTCTGTTAAGAGTGTATAGCGGTGTAGAAACGCGATGGAATTACGCGCTAATTCAGTTCTGGTAGACGACGGGAACTCCGAAAGTGGCAGGTGGTTAAACTCGGATGCGCTTCGATAGTTGCGCGGCAGGGATCGGCTCCGGTGCCGTCGTGTCCGTCGTAACGTCACTTCAAGATCGCGGGGCTGGTTCTGGCTCGACATGATTGAATTGCTTAGACAGTTGCAATTCGTCACCACTGGGTATGACAGAGTCTCCCTGAGTAGCACCCGTGCCGTTTGAACCTCAAACATGCGGGGAATCGTTGGTTCCATCGCCGGAGCCGTTGCGCTCATTGCCGTGGGTGCAATTGGAGCCAAGACCAAATCGCCCGAGATACACGCCCTACCCTCCCTACGAGAGCAGTCGGAGATCGTTGACGGCTGGACTGAAGAGCGCAAAGCATTGATCCCAGGAATCCTCCGCAAGTATGATATCGATGCCTGGCTGGTCCGTATATGACTTCCTCAGCTATGTGTTGGGCAAAACTCCACTAACACCACCCTCAGATAAGTCAGCGTGAGTACGCCGAGGACACCACCTTCTGGGCCCTCAAGGACTTTGTTCAGTTCTCCGCCAGACGCAGGACTACGCAGCTCTTTCTGGCCAGCGGCCCGGGGAACGCCTCGACGGCGTACTCCTGGATTGACAACACGGCGCAGGTCTGGCATGAGCTCAAGGCGATCCTGGCGGACCGCCAGCCCAGGTCCATCGCGCTGAACACGCACCAGGAGCTCGCGTTCTCCGGTGGACTGCACGCCGGAGAGCGGGATGCCATCGCCGCGGCATTAGACCAGGAATGGGAGGACAAGTTTGTACTGGAGCCCATGCTCGGGATTGAGCTGATAGCCACCATGGTGGACAGCCGGCTCGGGTGGTATCGGAAGATGATGGAGACCGCGTGGGCGATTATCGAAGAGGGCTTCAGCTCGAAGGTCATCGTTCCCAACAAGACGACCACGGCAGACGTCACTTGGTGGATGCGGGAGAGGATACAGGCGCTCAACTACACCACCTGGTTTCAGCCTGGCGTCTACATTCTGACAGCGGACGATCTGGACCACGACAACCCCCTCAACTCGCCAGACCACCTGATACGATACGGCGACATCATTCATACCGATTTCGGTGTCACGGCCTTGGGCTTGAACACGGATACCCAGCACCTGGCCTATGTACTCCGTCCTGGAGAGACAAGGGCTGATATTCCTCAGGGGTTCCTCGAGGGTCTGAGGAAGGTGAACAGACTCCAAGACATCACACGAGAGAACATGAAAATCGGAGTGACGGGCAACGACATCCTCAAAGCAATTCTCGCGCAGGCGCATCGTGAGGGAATTGAAGGCAAGATCTACTGCCACGCCACGGGAGAGTTTGGGCACAGCGCTGGAACGGTGATTGGTACGTTTCACTACCGCTCCCTGGGGTCTTTTTTTCCTGCGTTGAGTCTGACTGACGTCGATAGGTATGACAAACCTCCAAGACGGCGTGCCGGTCCTTGGTGACCTTCCTCTGCTGAAGAACACGTACTACAGCGTCGAGCTGTACGCGGAGCACTTTGTCCCCGAGAAGAACAGAACCATCATATTCCCACAGGAAGAGGACGTCTACTGGAATGAACCGACGGGTACCTGGGAATGGGTTTATGGGCAGCAGACTGAGTTTCTGCTAATCCAGCCTCCTAGTAGCAGTCTCGTGGCCGACGGTCCGGCTGAGCTCTGATATCTATACATTGCTTTGGATAACGTAATCCCCAGAAGTAGGGCCGTTCCAGCATTTTCAGCGCCGTAATGCCCAAGCTCGTAAATGCGCACTTGCTCCATTTGCAGCAGGATAGGCCGCGTGTGGCTGATGTAGTTAACTGACTTGATTATATAACCCAAAGTAACGCAAGCTAAGGATTGTACAGTTCTCCATGTGCCAATTCGAAAGAACTTATGCTTCCACGTTAACAACGCTAGCAAAAGCCGACATTCTCGAGTCGCCTACAACATAATCGACTATCACGCTAGTAATGCAAGATACGATGGGCTATATTAGTTGGTATGAGCAATATCTAGTCTCCCCATTCATAAGGACGTAGATGAGGCGCTGTTCATAGTCGGTATTCATTACTAAACTAGAGAAACCCTCCTATTTTTTCTCGGGAGAAGGCGTATAGGCATAGCGGGTCTTCTCTTGTATCAAATCAACGCTCTATCCATCCCACATGGTCTTGATTCTTGAGTAGCGCTTGGAGGAAGAAAAGAGACATGTCTAAGCTGTGTTTTGCCCGCCACTTGTTCCCACAATGAATCGTCCTTGCAAGCCTGACAGCTTTCGGCCACAATACGTCGCGATTTCGGGGCAAGCTTCCGTTTGTTAGGACTGGTCCTGTCCGAAACCAGAGGCTCTCCATTCGCGAGATCATCAAGCTTCGGCCCCACCTCTCGCATACAACTTTGCAAGTTCAGCATGCAACTCAGCTAAAATCTGCGCAATTGACTGTAGAGAAGGAGACCTATCGCTTCTTCACCTCATAAGACCAGCCTTCTATGCCCTCGCCACGGCTTCCCGGTGTCAAACCTGGAAGCTTGATATCTTCCATGCCAGGTGTGTCGTCTAACCAGGGGTGGTTCGCCATGCCGCCTGCATTCGCCCGCTTTTCCGGTATCAGTTCGAGCATGGGAATCAAGAAGCTGGCGACCTCGGAAGGATGGTACTCCATCGTCTCGTCGCCATCATCCTCGCCGTCCTTCTTCTCGGCGGCCGCCTTGGCCTTGCGTTCTCGTTCCTCTCGTTCCTTGGGCGTGAGATCCTTCGAGTCCTTGAAGTGGTACTTTTCCTTCAGAACATCGGGAAGCGCCCAGTGACGCAGCCGGTGAATGTTGCGAAGCTCGCCTCTTTTATTGAAAATCTCCTGTGACCATCGGCCGTTCTTCCAAAGGTCTTTGGGAAATGGGCCGAGAAGCTCGATTATTTGCGCAATGTGATCGTCATCCTTTCCATACTTGGTCCCCGACTGGGGGTCAAACAGATAATCGCCAGTGATGAGCTCGAACACCTAGCATTGGGTCAGGCAGCCGAAATGAGGGACAGGAAGCAGGACAACTTACCATGGCGGCCATGCTCCAGACATCAGTGCTCGCACCCCATTTACCTCCCAGGATGACTTCGGGAGAACGATATTGCCTCGTCTGAATATCGTTCGTGAAGTGGTGCGAAACCCAACAGGCGTTGCCTAGGTCGGCAATCTTGACGTTGATGATGGGTCCCTTCCGCTTCCGTTTCTTCTTGTCGCTGGGTGAACTAGAGCCTGTACCGCTCTTGTCGAGTGAGATGCCCGAGACCTCCTTCGTGAGAATGTCCCTGAGATGTTGTCAGCAGAGCGGTCATCACTTTGGGGGGAGTAGTGGCATCCTTACGCAGTCTTCTCTCTCTGTTCCTGATTCTCGGTCTGGCTCTTAGCACCTGTCGAGGCTGGTTCGGGTGTTAGCAGCGTAGCTCGGGCCGCAGAGAGGCATTGTCATGGGAGGGGCTGGTAGTTGAGGGTCATGGATGTGTTGGTGGGGTATGGGTATAAGACGGCGGGGCTAAACCAGGGGGCGCCACGAGGGGACTCACCATTGTCGTGCATCATGGCATTGAGACTAGTGTGCGACTTGGGCGACGGGAACATGTTGTCGCGGTTGAAGGAGGCGTTGAGAGGCGATGGCAAAGGCTGGCTGCCCGTGATCAAAGTCCGTCTGCGCCTCCGGCCATTCCTGTGGTTCTCCTTGTCTGAACCCTCGCTCTTAACCACCTTCTTGACAACCTGCTCCACGTCTCCGATCTCGATGAGTACGTTTTCGGGTTTGAGGTCGGTGTGGATGATGCCGCATTCTCGGTGAAGGTAGTCCAGACCCATCAGAACCTGCTTTGCGATCTGCATGACAAGATCCCGCGGGATACCGCGGTGATGCCACTTCTTGATGAGCCCCAAGAGGTTCTCGCCCAGCACTTCAAACACCATGCATACGTGCACGCCATTTGGCCCCTTGTGCTCGAAGGAGTCGAGCAGACTGACGACGTACTTGCGGCCGGGGTGGTTCGGGTTCGCCTCGACGATTTTCTTCAGGAGCTTGATCTCGTCGATGGCCGTCTCGGTGTAGTGGCTGGCGGACCGTACCACCTTCAAGGCCACATGCTTGCCTGTCGTGTTGTCCCGGGAGAGCCAGACTGTCGAGAAGTGACCCCAGCCCAGCTTGCGCACGACCGTGTACTTCCCATCCTTGAACTTCTCGCCAATCTGCACGGGGTGGTACCCACCCTTGCAGTAATCCTCGGAATCCTCCTCGTCGGCTGTGTTCTCGGCGGCGTCCTCAGGGCCCGATGACGAGGCGGGCGAGTGGGGGTTCATGGCGCTTGCGAGTTGCGGCGGTCTGCGCTCGGGGAATATGGTAAGCAAAGGGCCCTCAAGAAACGATCAAAAGAGAGACGGTGTCGCTGTCCAGCATTCTCTATAGGGAGTGGCAAAAGGCGCACGCGCAAGGAGGAACGGATTGGGCGGGAGAGCGAGAGACAGAATTGCGGGATGGCTGTGGGCAATCAAGGTAGGTAGGTAGGTAGGTAGGTGTGTAGCAGGGACAGCAGCCGCAGGCATGGGTATGGGCATGTGGCCGGGCGCGTAGGCTTGCAGACTGGATGGCTGCGTCTGGCGAGGCCCAAGGGGGGGGGCAGGGCAGGGCAGCGACAAGAGAGCAGCAGACGAGCAGTAAAGGTGCAGGCAAGTGTTGGGGTCGGAATGCCCACCAAGACTAGAGCCAGCCGCCAGCCAGAGAGACAGAGAGAGAAAGCTCTCGTAGCAGAAGCCGCCCTCAGCTTGGAGAGCGACGGCAGCCAGGTGGTGGGTGGTGGTGTGGTGGGGGTGGTTGTGGGTAGCGAGGTAGGTCAATTAGGGTCCAAGGCTAGCAACCTTTTCTTCATCCTGTCCTGATCTTTGTTTCTTGTCGGCCGCGCTGTAGTACCACGGGGTCGCAAACCTTAACCTAGAGGCGTGCGTGCTGGCGAGGGTTGTGGGTGTTTCCGAACGCTTGGTGGGTGAGGGGATGTAGGTATGTAGGTAGGGTATGTAGGAGGTATGTAGGTATGTAGGTATGTAGTTATGTAGTGTGCAGGACGAGTGAACGAACGTGAATGAATGGAAGGCAAAGCCCATGCAGCAGCAGTCTGGTCTGGGGAAGCGGGCAAAGCAAAGCCTAGGGAAACCAAATGGCGGAGAGCGAGGTCATGAATCAGATGCAGAGACAGGAGTCGACCGTACAGATCAAATCCACAACGCTGCTGGGGGCGAGCCAGTGGTGAACGTCGCTGGGTAGCAATTCTCAAATCAAATCAGACCGCAAAAGCGATGCGGGAGACGCGCAGGAGAAAGCGGGCTCCATTTGACGATCCCCCCTCTCTCACGCGCACTTGGTATCGTGAGACATTTGTGCACAACCACGAGCATGACGGCCCGCCCCTGTGACTCGGCTCTCTTGCCACGGTGAGAGAGAGAGCAAGATGCGAGCTTTCTTGCTCTACCGAGTCCTGCTCGAGTACGGTCCAGAGACAGCTTTCGTTGATCTCCCTCTTGACTGGGGCCGGGCCGCTCATACGTAGCAGGAGCATAGGGCCCGTCCACAGATTAGCTAGGAGCTGAGCGGTACCATATTCCAGGATGCCGACCTCAGCCCCGCCGCCAATGGATAGACACAACGCCAGCCACTGGGGACCACTCGACCATCCTCGGGCTGCAGATTCGCATTGTCGCAACTGAGACAGGCGGCCATCTGCCGTACGGCCCAGGGGCCAGAGCAGACTCTCCGACACAGCTGCCACTGGCACTGGCTGCGACGCCCCTAGCACTAGCAGGGACAAAGAGAACAGAGAGCTTTTTATAGATCACGCGTAGAACGGGCAACGCAGGCTGCATGCCGACAGAGATCAGAAACTGTTTACTTACCCAGTCGGAGGCGCCCCCTCGGTGGTGATGATGGGCTTCAGTCCCTCCTTCTTGCGCTTCTTGGTCAGCGATGAGCCGCCATTGGCACCGGCCATCAATGGCGGCTCTGCTCCCGTCGGGCCTGCGGCGTCCGTTGATGCCGGTGTCTGTGTCTGAGGCTGGCCGGCTGCAGCAGCCGCCGCTGGCTCTCCTGCAGATTTGCTGCCATTCATGGTGGCGTGGCGGAACTGTGAAAGGCGTGATGGTCACTAAACTGCGGGCGCGCACACAGTCCAGGTCTGTGTTGGCGAGCTGGCTAGTCGAGTTGGCCTCACGGAATTTGTCAGGTATGCAAAACCGAAGGCGTGACTTTGCCAAACACTGAGCGAAATGGTGGCGATCGCGCTGTTTCTGGCGCGTTCGTGCAAGTGTAACGACAAGTGGCGTCGGTTATACTGTGCAGAGGTGCACGTTGCTGGCTGGATGCGGCGTGGGTGCACGCTGGTCTCGACTGGTTCGCTGTACTGTTGGTTTGGTCGTCTCGATTGCGATGCGATGCGATGCGATGCGATGTGATGCCCACTTACAGCCGCGGCGGGATAACGTAGCGATGGTGTATGTCGACGACGGATGCTCGGGGGGGACTTGATCGCACACAGGCGTTTCCGACCGAGGGAAGAGAAGGGAGTGGTCGTCTGTCGAGGCGACTTGCTGATGTGATAATGGCGACTAACCTGCTTGTCGGTGGTGGAGATAGCGATGGCGATGGCGATGGCGGGGGAGGCTGAGATTAGCACTGGAGCTCTGTCCTCAATGCGAACAGGCCTGCTTGGTCGCCCGAGGGGCTGATGTTGTGCAGATTTTGGGAGCCGACGGATGGATCTCAGAACGTCATGCTTTAGCCAGGCAGGGCTCGCTCGGTTGCTTGCTTGGTTGCTTGCGCCTGCGCCCCCTTGGGGATCCCTTGGGTAGCTCGTATATCTAACCTGGGCAGGTCGAGGAGTCGTGCGATTGCCCGGTATCCAATATCTGTGGCTGGGCTGGAGGAGGATCGGAAACTGGCGCAGCAGCCGGCACGGGTAGAGAGATACAACAAGTCTATTGCGAGCAAGTCTTATAACAGCAATACTATGTATAGTCGATAGGAGGAAACGGAGCCGCCGCAACAGGACAAAGGAAGCTGGGGAGGTGCGAGGACTTCCAGCAATGACTCGAAGAGTGGGAAGCGCCCAGTAGGCGGGTGGAAATGGAGTAGAAGGGGCCTTGCGAGACACACTAACAGGTTATCGTCTGACGCTTGTCTGTCCACTGTCCCTGTCGGCAGCTTCTGCGCCCGCGATGCCCCCAAAAAAGCGCTATCGCTCATCACAGCTTCGCCAAAATCTCAGATTGCACCCCCAAAGCCAGCCCGCCCCGTCCGTCGCGGGCACAGTATCCACCACGAGTCGTCCGTACTATGTGCCGCCCCAGCCCGCTGGCATGGCCTGCATGTGCATCTTCCAGGCGCATACTGTTTTGCTACTGTCCCTCCATGTCCCTGGGCCTGATTTCTGCCAGAAATGACCTCAGTGGCCCACTCCTCCCATGCGCACCCAGGGATCTGTGTCTGGTCTTTGAACCACCAGGAACGTCAAGCATCGACGAATCTGCCGCGGGGGTCAAGATACGGCTGGATCCCAATCCCTCGTCTGCTTATATGCACACATGTCTGTCGCAATGCATCAGCATCGTCATTGTCATCATCACAGTGATGGTATGCCATCCTCCCACATCTGCGTGTTGTTGCAGCCCACTTCTGGCAATCTATCGATGTGGCTCCTGGACCGGCCCTTTCGAATTGGGCAATCCGGCGAGCTGGTTCTTCTAGTGTGGAAAATCCCGCCTGTAGCTACGCCGAACCCCTGACTCTACTGTAGGTTCTGTAATGCCTCCCAGGGTAGGCCGGGGATATCAGGCTCCGATCGACCACCCAGAAAGCTTCCGTACCCTGATTTTTGTCGCTGGTGGTACCATGTTGAATTAATCATGGCGTAATCCCTAGCCTCAGGAAGGGTGGCATGTCAGTTGCTCAGGGTCTCCCATGTGAGCGCTCGTCTCCAGCACATACGTCTGCGTCTCAACCTCAAGACCGCCAGCTGGTCCATCAGTCCAGATTTGGTACCTGCCTAGGTGTGTATCAAGATCTTGCCTGGTATCGAAACTCGCTGCGCGACATGCCTCACACAACACCTCCTTCTTGGGATTTATAACTCGTAATACTTGCGTATCCACGACATGTGGGAATTGCCGCCCTCCTTGACAACAAAGACCTACCCCCAGCCCCCAAAGATGCAGGGCCGCAGCGCAGGGCCGGTAGGCTGGGGAGCAAATGCGGTATTGTGTCCGAGCTGGCCGAGCAAGCGCAATTGCATCATACCTCCCCCGCTAAACAAATGGAGGGGCCCGACTCGGAGGGTCGGGCAGCTGGGGTTTCGATAGGGACCCACTTTAGGCCGTTGACTCGGCGTTGGACACGACTCTCGTCGTTGGTCACGATGTTTCACCTCCTTCGACATTAATATTTCACTAGAAACCTCTTCCGTTAGGTCTCACCGACTCGATTTCGAATCCTGTAGCGAATGTCTGGGGTCTAGCTCTTGTCGTGGCGGCACATCGATGTCTCTACTTCTGCCAATTTGTTATTCGACTCGAGATCTGAAAGGCTTAGAGAGAGCTACTGTGTCAGTAGGTAGCTGCGAAACGCTATTACTGATTAGTCCGTGACCACTTCGCCCGGTCCGCCGTGTACAATATGAGTGAAGACCATTGAACAAAGGCAAACACCTTCAGGAATGCAAAGGACTTGTATTCCAAGAATAGTCTGCTTCTGTGGCCGGGTGACTAGGGCTGGGAGACTGAAATGCTCCATATGGACATAGAAGATTGCCCCAAAAAACGAATGGCTTCCCGTGCGAAGTGAACATATCCGTAGGGCGAACTCGAGATGACCCTCACTTTGTCCAGGACTTAGATACAATAGAGGACGCTCATTCGCTGGCAGTCGGCTTAAGGTGTCGGTTTGCCTATCCACAATCCACAGATGGCGCTGACCGAATATCCATCTGCTGCGACATGATGATTACAAGATTGGAGTCAAGTTTCAAACTTCATTACGAAATTACGGGGATTACTTGCGCGGTCATGTCGTAGGCACATGAGCATACAAGGTAACAATGTGCAACCCAACATCTCGTTGTACTTCGGTAACACAAGTGCGCTGAGATACATATCCTGTCAAACAAAATACTGATATCTTGCTGTTATACCGGCATATGAAAGCGGTCTGGGAGTTCTCTGCCACAGCTCGTGTATGACAGATGCCGGACCTAATAACATAGGGAGCAGACTGGCGAGTCCTAATTGTGTCTTCTCAATACCTAATAGGACAATTATCGTTTATACCATAATTCAGAACTAGACTGGTGCGTTGCTGCTTTCACCTCGAATAATAACTTACCGGACAACGGCCTCATTGAGAGGTGTAGGTCTCAGAGCCGCATTTTGATATCACAAAGTTAGAGTCATCCTGATTTCAATAGCACAATTTTTCTTGACTATCCTATCTTGAGTTGGAAGCTGTGGTTTTGAAACACGCCATGCGATAGCATCTTGAGACCTGGCAACATGCCGGTCTCACAATGTTGATCTAGTACAATTCATGATTTGGATTGTTTTGTTCTTGTCGTTCGTCAACCTCATACCGGCACGGCGTAGGTGTCGAATCATATCATATTAGGGCTCTGTACCAATGGAGCCTCACTCGCAGGGGCACAGCCTTCTGATTGGCCGGCAAGTACTGAGATGCTACCTGTGGAACTTCGCCTTTGACCAGACTGTACTCCGCCGCCGATCAATCTCCAGGGCCATTGTGGCAGCATGTCTCACTGGCACACACCACTTTACGATCCACCAGACGTCGTGGTGGATGTTGATGCTATCAACTCCGCGATGTCGAACTTGCGGCAGTACCCCGCCCATAGAGAGCCTGATCGCTGAGGAAAATCCTGTAACCCCTTTATGGGTGCCGCCGCCTGATCAGCCAGCAGGGGAGATGAATTTGCGGTGGCCTCCATGTGTCCCGTATGTAGGAGGCAGCCAGAGCATGTCGAAGCAATCATGCTGCTCTGATGCCCAGCGTCTGGGCACTTCTTGTCCAACGAATCGCGGCTCATCATCGCCAGTCTACGATAACGGCCTCGAACCTGGCCAAATACGACTCCTGAACATTACGGCACCCAATGAAGAGACAAGCGTGTTGCACGGGTCACTGGAGACGTATCCGCTTGACTGCTGTCCCGAGTATGAGGCCACCTCGTACACTTGGGTTGATAGCAATGGAGATACTTGTCGAAGTCAACCATTTTACCTGGGACCTTTCTGGGATGTATTGCTTCTGACCAAGCACTGCTTATCTATGTTGCGTTACTTACGCCCTCGGAGAGGCATTCGGTTGGTCTGGATTGATGCAGTTTGTATCGATCAGAAGAATAGTGGTGAGAGGGCGCGTCAAGTATCGAGGATAGGTCAGGTATACCAGAATTGTCACCGCGTCGTTGTATATCTCGGCAACGACATCGTTCAGACTTCCACGACACCATACCGAGCTCGCAAAGGTTTGCATCTGATGGACACGGATAAGTTACGCCACACCCTTACTGGCCGGTACTCCAAACGAGTTTGGGCCGTCCAAGAATGCGTCAGGTCTCAGCGATTGGTAATTCCCGTCGGTGATATAGGCCTTCACGCCGGCAGCGATACGGCCACTGCTCTGCACCGTCTGCACCCTGAATGGGACTGGAAAGATACAGAAGCTCCTTGGTTTGCACGTATGACACAGTTGTCGTCAATGGGCCCATTTTCATTAGTCGAGGCTTTGTCGTTGACCTCGAAGGCTGTAGCTACGGATCCCCGGGACAGAGTGTTTGGGATTCTAGGGCTGCTGTCCTGCAGCGCCACCCCTGAAGATCGCCTTCTGACTCCAGACTATTCAATTTCGACTTCAGACACCTACATCGGAGTTTACGCATACATGCTTGCAACGTTGAAGGACCCAGCTGTACTCATTCATGCTTCACGGATGCCTGCTGGAAGACCATTTCCCTCCTGGGTACCTGCCAGAATCGATACCAGTTATTCAAGGGTCTCTAGAAGCCTATACAACCCGATGGAATTCATTGAGGCTATAAGAACACCTAGCTGCGAGTTGCTTGTTCTGTACGGCCTTCCACATCGAATGAACAATCCATCAGACTTCAGTAAGCCATTACTTGAAGTCGAACCAAACTGGCCCGAGTATCTTGCCGTAAATGCCGTTACAGGGGGCTTGTCTCTGTGAATGAACCAGCTTATAGAGCTGACGCCAGATCTGTCATTTCATTGGACTCCGGGAGCCAGCGCCGAAGCAACTCGCTTCTCTGTACGATCTAGACTTTGCGAACTATATTTCTGTACAGCAAGTTTTGAACTGAGGAATATCATAAATACCAAACGGCACAAACTATGTGGATCCATTGCTCATATTTCTTCAAAATAGCGAGGCCTTCTCAGGGTCCCTTTTGTGCTGTGTTCCGTGTCAACACATTTGTCTCAGCTTCACGAATGAACTAGCATATTCAAGCGTTGGAGCGGACGGTACATTTAAACCCAGGAACCAGCCACGTGGTATATATATTCGCACGATGTGCCGGATCAATCTCGGATTGTTAAAGCAACAGTCCCAACGTGCCATGTTACCATATCAACATGATACAGTCCGTGGCGAAATCGGCAGGATGTTCCTAGATCTAGAAATCAACGTTGCGGAGGTTCTTCCTCTGTACCAGTTGCTTATGTCAGAGTATCAAAACCCCGATGCTGAGCCTTGCCTGTTTGACAATGTCCGCAAGGCCTTTTTCAATATGAAGTACGGGTCTTTTGCCCGGAAACCCCCCGAATATCAGAGGAATTTTATAGAGAACGAGCTCAAGCTGCGGCAAGTCGACGCTGGCCGGGATTTCCTGGAAACAATGATCAATGTACCCATTTTCCCGGCTTTTCCGAGAAGGATGCACAAGCGTTTCCAGTGGAAGAGACGCGGGCTCACGACTCTCGAGCAGCGTAGCCGCGTTGCCCTCGAGGCATCGCTGCTCTACTCATGGATCTCTTGCTTCCATCTCTTCTGCCAGGAGGGGTCTGAGACTGTGTTTGAGATCATGATGAGGGATAGCGCGCCGCATGATTTCTCGACATGGAAGACGAACTGCCCTCAAATCGCAATTGATGAGTTGGGTCTAGACGGAACAATTCGGGAGTTTACGATTGTCTGAGTCTGCACCGAGGCCTCATTGTGACTTGCGACTTGTTCAATCCAGTTGGCCAGTAATGTTGCCTATCGCTCCTGGGTAGGCGGAGTATCATGCGTTTCGATGCACATGTCATAACATAACAGTGCCGGCTCTGACTGTCCTTACGTGAAGAATTCAGAGTGAAGATTTGTCGATGTAGATTTCGCAGCCGTTTCACGAAATTCTAGTGAACGCTTATGGTGAACGAGGGATGAGGCGTGCCGACATGGTAGGAAAGAGAAGTATGGAAGCTGCTGGAGAAGATGGTCCAAGGCTGGACCAAGACACGCAGAGACTAGGTGATACGTAGCTTTTCCATTCTTAACGCTACCAAGTCTACCTAAACGGTCTCAGAGACCAGCAGTCTCCCATCAGCTGAAGACGATGGTTGCCGTCGTCTCCATGCTCGGCCAGTACTATACAGCCAGGAACCCCTTGTGAAGTCCGGGCGGACACGCTCCCAAATGTGGAAGCAGCAACAACGCCTGACGCCTTTCCCCATTCCGTCGAAAATGCAGCCAAATATCAGTAATGAGAGCGTTTCTAAGCCTTCTTTCCTTTCTGGGTCATCTTTCGGAAAGCCTCCATACCACTGGCACCGATGGGGCGATGCGAGCCATCCCTAGAAGGCTCGAACGTGCTCTTGGGTGCGACCGTGTAGGAGGCGGGGAGGCCGGTGACGCGAGCACGGTTGCTGCTCATCTGAGGCGCCAAGATACGCTCACGCTCGAGGTCGCGTTGCGAGGCGGCTGGGCGCTGGGTCAGGGTCAACTGCGAGGAGCCTGCAGCTTGACGGAGCTTGGCAGCCCTGCGAATGGCAGGTCAGTACGAATGGAGGGAGAGCACAGACAAGGGGGACGAAGGTGGTACGTACGAGTAATCGAAATCGCGCGTCTCGACAAAACGCTGCTTGTAGTCATGAGTCCTGCGCAGGATGGGTCTGCTCCATTCACCCAGAAGCTTCTCGGCCATGCGCTTGACGCCAAGCTCGGCCTTCTTGCTCTTGGTGTAGAACAGAACGATCTTGCCGATGCCGCTGGCGGAGAGGGCGTTCTTCTCGATGGGCAGGCGCAGGAGAGCGGTGAAGATGTCGCGCTGGATGTTGTAGGCGGGCAAGGAACCGTCACTGAGGGGCTCGAGGAAGAACTTGACGGTCTCGAGGAAGTTGGCGTCGGGGTCGACAATGGCACTCTGCTGGTTGTTGCGGTTCAGGAGGGCCATGACCTCGGGAAGCAGCTTGAGCTTGTGGACGGCAGGCAGGCCCTGTTGGCGGGCATTGTTGTCGTCGCGGCAGGCGTCCTCCATGGCCTTCTTGAGAGCGGCGATCTGCTCATCGAGCTCGGCCTCCAGGTCCTAGGTGGACGGGTTAGCGCAACCGTAGGAAAGACGAGAGACAAGGTACTGGCTCCCGGAACGCTGTGTGTATGTATGTATGTATGTGTGTGTGTGTGTGTGTGTGTGCGCGTGCGTGCGCGTGCGCATTGTAGAGTTGGACTTACCACTTCGTCCTTTCTCTTGCGTCTCTTGACCTGCTTCTTGAGCTCGCCGGCGGCAGCCCTCTCGATGGCGCGGCGCCTTCGCTCCTCCGGGGTCAATGTGCTCTCGTCGATGGGGTCGGGCGAGGCTCTCTTGCTGGGGCCGGCGCTGGGGCCACCCGTCTTGCGAGAACGCTTGCCGCTCAGGATCTCGCCGTCGGCGCCATCGTTGTCGTTGTCGTCGTCGTCATCGTCGCGTCTGCGCTTCTTCTTCTCCCTGCGGCCCTCCTTGGGCTTCTTGGTGGCCAGGCCCTTGCGCTTGCCGGCCTTGAGGGTTCTGGCGACTTCCTCGTCGATCTCGACGGGCTTCTCCTCGATGCGGGCGGCGGCTGGATCGTAGTCGCCAAACTGGTCCTCGTCAATGTCGGACAGGTCGTCCGAGTCCTTGTCCGAGTCGGCAGCGGCCTCGACGTCGTAATCGCCGAGCTCCTGGTCCTGAGGCTCGCCATCCTTCTCTTCCTCGTGGAGGGTCTGGGGCGGGGAGCCGGCGGGAGACTCGTTGTCGGACATGGCGGCGGGATGGAAGCTGGACGAGGCCTCGGGCTTGTAGGGGGAGGGAGAGAAGGCAAGCGTGGAGGATGGATGAAAGTCGGCAGATGCTGGAATGGGCCAGACGAAGCAGGCCAGATGCGCTGGGCAGCAGCAGCAGCAGCAGCAGCAGCAGGCGGGGAGGTGAGAAATACAAGAACCCGGGTCTCTGTCGGTCCTCGTAGGTTGGTCGGTCGGGTTTGATGGCAAAGGGTGCAAGGTGCAGTTGCGCTTCGTCTTTCAATCAGTTCATCAGCCTTCCGACCTGCGCCTCGCCTCGCCTCGCCCTCTGAGAAATGCCAAAAGGTGGGCCCTCTACTCCAAGGTCCCGAAAAGGCCTAGACCCAATCAGCTCTCAGCGCACAAGGGCGGGAACATTTAGCGTCATCCCTACCTAGGTACACAGTAACGTAGTTAGTGGGGCGCGGGCACTGCTACTGGCACTGCTACTGGCACTGCTGGCACTGGACACTATCAACCTACTGGACGGCAAGACGGGTTTGGAAGCTTTTGGGGGGCTTGGAGGGGAATCAGAGCGCCACGATCTACCTCCAGGGCTACCTAAGCGCGTCTAGGCCACACACACACACGGCAGGTGTCGCTGTGGCACAGCCAGCACAGATCTTTTTTGTTTACTGTGGCGCCCCCGTTGGCCGAGTTGCAGCTCCTCCACTCGTCCACTCGTCCCACGCCTCCAAAAAGTTGCCGGGTTCTGGTGCTGGTCGTGGTAGCTCATCATCATTATCGCTGCTGTCCTCCACTCTCTATCCGTCCCGTCCTTTTATCTCCTGCCCCCCGCTGCTGTCCGGGTGTTCTGCGCTGTGCTGTGCTGTTCTCTGCTGTGCGGCGACCTTGATTGTTCTATAGTCCTGTCCTGTCCTATTCTACAAGAACAACAGCGAGCTTCAGCCATCACTATCACTCCACAGCAACGCCGCCCCCGGCATCACAGGCGCCTCGCTGTCGCATAAAATCTACTTCATTCACTACAATCAATTGAACCGACTGACTGGCCGACCGACCGAACGTCTTGATTTTCTCATATCTTCTTCCCCTATCATCTTGTTCTTGTTCTTCTTCTGCTTCTTCTTCCTCTTCTTCTCTCCTGAACACCATGGATCGGCGCACTTTTGAATCTCCCATGGACTGGGAGTACCAGAACCAAGGGCCCTTGGATCCCACAAGTCCATTCGCACGTCTGCAGTCGGCCGGCAACGCCCAAAACAACAGTACGTCTGTATCCTGTACCTTCCCTTTCTCTCCTTGCTTCGTTCGTGTTCCAGCTCCAACGCCATGTGCAACTCTGTTTTCACCTCCCACCCCAACAACACCACCACTGACATCTTCTCTTCCGACCATCAGACGCGTTTGGCCTCCCCAGATCGGGCACCTTCGGCCAACACACCCCCTTCGCCCGCACCCAGAGCAGCCCCCAGAAGCCGCCCGCCTCCTCTGCTGCCCCGGCCCACACATCGTCTCTCTTCACCCCCTCCAGCTCCCGCATCCAACGGACAAACACCGCCCCTCCTTTCCGGAACCCTGCCTTCACCACGCCCCGGAAACCCTTCGATATGGACGCCCTCTCCGAGGCCTCTGCCGCCGAGGACAGCCCGGCGCCTACCGACGTGTCCGACTGCCCGGACACCCCCGAGACCGACCAGAAGCGCAGCTTCGCCCAGATGACGCTCACACCCGCCAGGTCCAAGGCCCTGAGCGCCGCCACGAAGAGGTCTCCCGGCAAGGGCGAGATCCCCCGCGCCACCACCGCCTTCGGCACCCGAGACAAGGTCCGGAAACGGAAGCGACGCCATGATGATAAGGACATCAGCGGCTTCCGCATGCCTTACAAGTACCAGGAGGAGTGGGATGACACCGAGGGCAACGACTCGGACGACAGCACCTACCAGCCCAACGAGCGCTACGGTCCCGCCTCTCAGCGCCCCGGCGGGAGGAAGAGGGGTTGGCTTGGTCGTTTCCTGTCCGACATCACCAAGAACCCGGACGCGCCCAGGGTCCTGGGCTACTGGATCACCTTTCTGTTCAACCTCTCCATTGTCGGCCTTTCCATGTGGGTCATCTGGCTGGTGGTTGCCAGCTTCCGCGACGACCTCGAGACGGCAAGGGTCGTCAACCAGGGCGACCTGCTGGACGAGATTGCCAAGTGCGCAAAGGACTACCGCGAGAACATGTGCTCGCCCAGGGAGAAGCGCATACCCGCCATCGGGCCCCTGTGCGACCAGTGGGAGATTTGCATGAACCAGGACCCAAACTCCTACAAGAAGATCTCCCTCGGCGCCAAGAATCTCGTCGAGATCTTGAACGATATCATTGAGACCATGTCTTGGAAGACAATGGTAAGAGTCCTTGTTTTTTTCCCCATCCCCTCTTCAACCCCGTTTATATAACCCCCAGAACAACTGTGGAACTGACATCGAGCTAGGCTGCCTCCTTTGCTCTCATCACCGTGTTCTTGTTCAGTGGCGCTTCGCTCATCAACAGCAACCCCATGACCCATAGCTTTCCGCCACCAGTCCCACAGCCCTCGCAGCCCGTGTTCCAGGCCCATCCCCAGATCATGTACGGCCACGTGCCGCAGACGCCTCGGTCTCGGTACCAGGGGCTGATGGCGCACGACGAGACGCCGGACACGGACGCCTCGCCCGGTGACCCCAAGGCATTGCCGCCTCCTTTGTATTACCAGACACCCAGCGGCAGGAGGAGTCCTAGCAAGGGAGACAGGGGCCGCAGTCCAACCAAGAGCCGGAGTCCTACCAAGAGGTACTAGGCCGGCCTAAATGCGATTCCTGGCAGGAACGATCTAGTTTTGTAAAGAGTACTACATAGGGGAAATGTCAAAAAAGGACCATGGGGGCTTTCGGGGACAAGGGGCGTAGGCGTGTGGAAAATGACCAGGGTATATTTTTGTATGGTAAAGAAACACGAGGCCCTGGGAAATCGGGTTTGACATGACGGCATCAGGGCATCAAATTTTTTAATGACTACGGGAAAATCCCAGTTCAGTACGCTGTGAAGTGCCTTTTTCCGAGTAACGATGAGTGATCGGCCTCACCCGGCCCGTCCACATCTTGAATGCTCGTGAGAGTCCATTGGGGGTATATTTGGTCCTTCCTACGTTCCATCATCCATCTATCTCGCCGGCAGCGTATCCTACCTCCAAGGGACGGCCCGCCACAAAAGAGACACGACGGCTCTCAGCAATAACAAGTAAAAGAAGGCGGGTGTGGCCATCGTTCGTACAAGCCCAACCGCCAGCCAGGGTTGCACTCCACCCACAGGGACAGACCGACGTAGAACAGTAATCAAGGCTGGGCCGGCGCCCACCTCTTTCTTCCTTCTCTCATCCCCCTGGCTCCTTTTTCCGGAACACCTTGCTCAATGGTATATCCATCCCTAAAATCAATGTTGCGAGGTTACCTTTGCAGACCTTGGAGTGAAGCCCCCGCTCCAAATCTTGGTAAGGCCTTTGTCCTTGCTTGTAATTACACTGTCCGCCAGTTATATATATAGTGTTGACGTATATATGTGGGTTAGAAGGCTTGCATCGACTCCGAACCGATCGATGTGGCTAGAGTAGGCAGAACCCGGCCTCCTCCAACTGCCGTCCCGATGGCAGCATAGGTCTTCCTTGCATGGGGAACGGCCAGAACAACGGGTTCTCCAGACTCTTGGCCGTGTGTGCCATGGGTCCGAGCCCCAAGTCCGTCTGCGCCGGGCGGAGCGGCTCGCCCCCCTCGGCCGCTGCTCCCATGTTACCGACGTCCTCCATATTGTGGTCATTGTCTTGCTTCATGGCGCTTGCCTTTGGCGACGCACGGAAAGACTTGGGTTTGATCCCGTCCTGAGCTTGCTGATCCTCGACTAGTGCCTGCGCGCCAGACATCTCCTCACCTGGCGAGGTGCCGGACTTTTCTGGGGTACCCCAGTTGCATATGAAGTCCGTCTCGGCGACGTTGGGAGTGAAAAAGTTCAAGCTGCTCGTCTGCGGCTTCACGAGCTGGTCAGAATCCTCCTTGGAGAGCGCCTGCTCCGGAGGCGGGATCTTGATCTTGATGTTCCACTTCTTGGCTAGGTACCGGAGGATATGGAGGGCCTGCTCGGCAAAGTTATGACATGGCGCCATTTCCGTGAGGTCGGCAATCCCCTGGTTGATGGCTTCGGCGACGCGGGAACCACTTGGCTTCGCGGTCGAATTGCTGGCGGGTGACTTGGGGCCTGCCGTGCTGGAAGATGACGGCCTCGGGTGAGCATGGTCAGCGTCCCCTTCGGCACCCTTGGCCGTCGAGGGTTCCGATACGGCAGCGTCGGACCCTCCCTGAGTAGAGGCATTCGAAGTGCCCACTGCCAGGTGCATTATTGCCGAAGTGAGGACAAAGTAAGGTACGAACGACGGCGTGCGTCGCAGGGTATATAGCTGTGAATACGATTTGAGAAGGCCTTGTATGGCGTCTGCAGCCTGGATGCATACATCACGGGGCAAAATGCTGGAGCCGATGATGCGCAACTTGATCAACGGCCGGAAGAGCAGCAGGATGGCGAAGTGGTAGTACATGTGCGCGAACAGGACGGCCGGGGTGAAGTTATGGCCCAGGCGCAGAACCTCGGGTATCCTGTCATACCAGTTCAGGTACTGGGTGTAGATGTTCAGGAGGTCGCGGCTGGTCACGGGCTTGCCGGGCGAGTGCAGCACGTATAGAGATTGGTGGACCAGCTCGCTCAGTTCACAGAAACATTTGTACACGGAGCGCACATTGGACGGCTGCTCGCAGGACCGCTGCAGAGGTGCACCTATATTGTTAGAACCTGTGTTCAAGTCTCAACAAACCAAATGATACGTAGGGAGGATACTTGTACCTACCGTCGTCTGTGTACGGCACCCACAGGGAGGCCTCGACATCGTCAATGATGGCAGGCTTCGGAGGGAGATGGGGAAAGCAGGAAGACTGTGGCAGAGAGCCGGTGGCCAGCGACCATGCGTGGTCCAGAGCAAAGGCGCCCCAGAACGTGGCCCCTTGCACGGCGATCTCGTCCTCGTCCCCGTCATCGCTGAGTCGGTGCAAGCCCATCTCAATGGCCATGCGCACACTCTGGCCAGCGTAGTACCAACTTTCCGAGTCCCGTCCGCAGCTCGCCTCGCGAATGGACATGATGCCCAATGCTTGGATCGTCGTCAGGGTGTGGTGGTTGGTTTCGCGGTAGAGCAACCGCAGGGTCTCCTTGAAGAAGTGGTCACCCGAGGTGCTCGGGTCGTTCTCGTTGGCCCGGGTGTTGGGCTGATTCGAGAACCTGCAGCCGAGGGCGAGCAGGGCGTTCACCAGGATTGGCGAGCAGTACCTGGGCCTGCCATCGAGGAAATCCTTCATGAAATGCTCCTTACTGAGCGAGGCGAAAGTCGGGTATTCCCAGCAAAAGTACAGGGCGAGAAGGTGGCGTACCAAGGCGTTGTCGGCAGTCACGTTGGTCCACCGGGCTGGCGGCACCTTCATCTCGGGGGAGCCGACAGGGGCAATCATCTGATCCAGCCCGTGGTAGCGAGAGTTATCGGTGGTCGAGGCCTGGTCCTGCACCCAGCTGCCCACACGGTTATGTGGTGGCAGCTCGGCGGTCCACTGCATGATATCGGGATGGGAATCGCTCCGGGTCGACTGCGTCTGGCTATGTGACGAGAATGCCCAGGGGCTGTTCTGGTCGTACTCGTGTTTCTGAGCCAGCTGCGGGGCCAGCGGCAAGATACCACTGCCAAAGCCGCCTGGGACGTTTGCGCTCCCGGTGCTCCCTATATTTCCAAAGCCCATACCGGACAGCGGTGGCAGCGTTATACCCGTGCTCGTCTTAGGCTCTACGCGAGGGTAGCTGGGCACGGCGCCGCTGCCTGAAGGCATGACGCCGCCGAGCCATTCGGATATGCTATCGACGCTCTGGCCGTTGCGCAACTTGCTTAGAACCTCCTCCCACAGCCCCGGCTTACCCAGGGCCTCGATGACCGAGTCGCTCTGGCGCTGCTGCTTCCTCAGCTGCTCAATCTCGCTGCGCAGGTTCTCCTTGGACTGGCGGACGGGGATTTCGTAGACGCAGTCAACGTTCTGCGACCTGCACCTGCCACAGGGCTTTTGTCCGTCGCACTGGGGGAGGAAAACGATGAGTCAGCTCAGGGCCCAGATTGACAGGGAGGGAGAGAGGAGAGGGGAGGCCACATACTTTGGCGCGCTTCTTGCGACATTCGGTACAGGCGTTCGGGGTCACGATCCCGAGACCTCGGCGCCTCTTGCTGGCGGCGTCGTGGTTGGCGGACGAGCTGCCGGGGGCTGGATGCTTCTCCGAGGTGGCCGACGCGGGCTCGGAACTGGTGTGGCCAGCTCGGGCCTGGCCTTGGCCTTGCGGTCCCTCCTCCATCTGTGCTATCTCTTGGGTTGAGACTGGCAGAGCATTCTCGAGGGCACGCAGAGCTCAGGCACTCCTTGGTCGCCGGTCCGTCGGCCTAGGACCAGTCGAGGCGCCGACTGCACGTCGCGACCGGCTCGGGGATTAGGCGCAGCAGAAGCGGCAAGAGCAGAGACGTGGTAGGTCGCGCGAGCTGTGTTGTAGCCTGATAGCTCAATGGGTAGAATGGGCGGTCCTACGAGACGCCGGCTCATGTAGACTGAGCAGCGGGTGGCGGCGGCGCGTGCCGTGTGCGTGTGCGTGTGGTCAACAGCCGCCACGGTTGACGAGCAGTGGGACGTAGGTGCGCCGCGAGATGTAGTTCAACAAGATATGCAAGATCAAATGCGTCTGCGGGCTGATCCACAGATCGTACCGTATCGTGCCCTATCTGGTCTGGCGCCGGGCAAAGGCTCGATTGGCACCAAGAAACTGGTTTTGTGCCTGCGTTGTGTTTGTATTGTGTTGTATTGGAGCTTGGACGCCGAGGGAAATGGACGACAGACAGGATTGCGAGAATGGCCCGCGGCTAGGAAAATCCGGAGGCGGGCCAAGGCTGGCACTGAATGGTCAAGGTAAGTCTCCGAAAACATACACATACGCACACACACAGAGATAGACAAAGAGAGTGGGTGGGTGAGCCAGAGGGAGGGATGCTCGCGCTGTCCAAACTCTGTGTATGGCGGTGGTAGCCAAGTAGCTTGAACATATGTGCGTACCTGACCTATATACTCCAGGCCTGCCAGGTAAAAGCGAGTTGTCTACCTGACCTGGGCGGGTAGTTAAGCTAACTTTTTGCCTTGTCTTGCTTCAATCAACCTATTGCGCCAATTACCAGGTCCGTCTAAAGCTCGCGGGCCGCGACCAACAGCCAATCAACCTGCCAACCTGTCAACCTGTCAATGGAGAGTCCAAGCCGCTGGCGATGGGTTGGGGTTGGATCTTTCGTGACTTGTAGGTACTCAGGCCAGGATATCTGACGAGCAGCGTCGCAAACGGTCAAGCCAAGCGCCCCAGTCCCAGGATGATGAGTAGCGGGCGGCGCCCAAAGCGAGTTTTCATTGCTTCCACGGTTCCATCGACTTCCTCTGACGGGCGGTTGACAGGGAACACTGATATAGGAAACTGGGGAGCTCGAGCTGCACGGCTGGGGGCTCGGCGGGCGACGCCAACTTGCGTCATTCTCTCTGCCCCGTCCAGGGCAGTTGGGGGGTTTTCCCTGTCTCCATATGGCCGTGGTCCCGCCCGCCTGGCGCACGGTTCGGCTTCTGCACCGTCGGGCTGCACCCCATAACCAACGCCAGCCGGTAGTTGGCGACGGCGTCGGCCTTGTCGGCCATTCCTGCCCGACTTGCTCTTTTTTGTTTAACCACGATCTTGATCGGAATCTGTTTTCATGTTGTAAGAATTAGTAATATATATATATATATATGCATAGTTCGTCTTTGCTCTAGTGTTGGTAGGCCCTGCGCTAGAATCTATGGCCACCAACTGGGAACCTAGGAAGGTAGCCAACCTTCTTGGGTAGGTATGTGTAGGTGTGCGTAGGTGTGTGTGTGCAAGTTACCCTAAGTTAGGCGAGACGATGGGCTGGCGGGAACGGCGCGTTGGCGCGGGTGGGTTAGAGGGGCTTTTTTACCTTGTGGGCCGCCCTTGCGTCGCGTCGCGTTCCCACGTGTTTCCAGGTTGTCGACAGCCCTGGAGGCGGGACCTACGGGTACATACATACATACCTGCATCCTGCAAAGTCACGTACGTAATACGTATGCGCCTACCTCACGGCGGTTGCCAGCCCTCTACGTATATGCACAGAGGCTGCCTGGTCCTCTGTCGACCTACGGACATGTTCCGGCCCCGAGCAGAGCTTGGGATGGAAGAAAGGGTTCGGAATGGTCGAGGTTGGCCTGGGGCTTGTCGTCATCTGAGATACGCTTGCGAATACAGGTCTAGCTAATCAATATTCGCCCGCCATCCAGGAGACTACATGATGAGCGTTGAGTCTTGACTTGGGCTTCATTCACTCCCGAACTACGGCAGGGACCCCCTTTCTGGGCCAAAGTAGCCCCTCGCCGGGATGGGCAGAATCCCAATGCTAGACCCATCTACACCAGCCGAGCTGACTGTGTTGCCCCACCACTTCAAGCTCACCGGGTTATAGTCGACCGCGAAGAACTTGATCAGCGCGCTGATGGCGACCCCGGCCGTGAGAGCAGCTGACAGCACATAGTTGTACTTCTCCCACCACGCCAACCTGTATCTTTCGTTAGTCTCTCTCTCTCGGGGGACGGTTGAGCGAATCAACTGCGAGCTTACCTGTGCTTGGGCAGCCAATACATGAAGATGAACGACAGGATGAAACCCGGCGTCTTGTACGACAGGTTCGACGGAGCCCAGTGCTGGATGCCCTGGATGATGAGGATAGGGTTCAGCCAGAGCAGCGATGCTACAAATGGAAACAACGTCCGGTCCAGCAGCGCAAACGTGTTCGGCTTCAGCTTGACGCGCAGTCTCTCCCGTACGCCAGGCAGGTATTTAGGCCCGAGGCCCTGCGCAAACAGGAACACGAGGGCAATGAGCGTGCCGATCAGGAAGCACCACTTGAACAACGGGTACAGCGTGTTGAACATGCGCTGAGACCCCAGAAGCCCCCACATGAGCGAGCTGGCGTATAGGGGCGCCCCATCGTTGGCGCAGGTGAACTTGCTCGGCTGGTCGGGCGTGCACAGGCCCTTGACGTTGTTCATGATGAAGTCCTGCGTGCCCACCGCGACGAAGCACGTGATGATAATGGTCCCAATCTGGCTGCGGAACACGGCTCGCGGCGCGATCTTGCAGTAGTGCGCCATCTTCTGGTCCTGCACATAGTTGTCCCCGTAGCCCGCGAGTGCCCACGAGCCCAGCGTCTGGGCGAACAGGAACGCGTTGGGGTTGCCGGGGAGGATGAACCCCGTGATTACCTGGATCAGCGATCCCAGCCCCAGGTTGGTTCCCGTCGTGGCCGACAGAAACGAAAGCGGGACGGCAAAGACCAGGTTGATCCCGATCATGAGGAAGACCAGCCAGACCGGCGTGTCCAGCGGATAGATGCTCAGAAAGACGACCGACACCACAATCGCCCCCACCAGGATCAGGAGAAACCACCAGTCGGGCACCTCTGGATACTTGGACATCAGCCGGTTATGGATGTCCATGGCGCCTTCGAAGTTGCCCTTGCCACGGCGTAGCCCCTGGTAGAAGTCGATGTATGCTTGTCTCATCGTCGTCCACTGGTTGAACATGATGTACAGGAAGTAGACGGGATAAAAGGCAAAGTTGGCCCCAACCGTCAACACATACCCGGCCGAGTAGAAAGGGGGTGAGTACTCCTGATACAGCGTCTCATTGAGTTTGTTGTTTATCACAACCTTCTGGACCTGATATGCTGTGCCATTGTTTGCGAACGCTGAGGACGAGTTGATCGGCAAATAGGCCGTGTTGTACATGTTTGAGTAGTAGATGCCCAGTATAATCAGCCCCCCGAGTATGCTACCGAAATACATCGTGCACGTAGCAAAGAAGGGCTGCGCCAGAGCGGCGTACGACGAAGTCGCCACGTTCCAGTCGAAGGTCGTAATTGGGTTGAATAGTCCAAGACCAAGGGAAGACCCCGTGAGAATAGCCAGCGTAACATTTTGAGGCGCGATCCATGTCATCCAGTTGAACGTGGACAAGGCGGTAAACAGGTAGCCTGGGAACCAGTAGTAGACAAACATCGAGATCGTGCAGATGTAGAAGAATCTGTAGCGGGAGATGGTCCAGCCGTAAATGTTCTCCTTGGGCTCCGTACGGGTCAAAGCCCTGTTCATGGCGATGATGGGCAGCACAGTCGGCCAGAGCGCCTTGATGGGATATACACTGAAACGTCTGAGATAGCCCGCAAATCCCATGCCCATGAGCTGAACGAACAAGGTGAGCATCAGTTGATATCCGAACGTGACAAAGGTTTGGCCGTAGTAGACAGGCGACTTCTGGACAAGGATCATCCCGTAGCTGTTGGTGGTATAAATCGCAATATTGTACGTGATGGTGGAAAACATCTGTTCTTTGAAGGTCCAAGGGCCAGGATTAAGCGAATGCCGAACCCCAAACACAGTGATCCCCCAGTCTGGTAGCACTCTTTCAAGAACTTTGGCACAAGGGTATAGCAGGATCTGGATGACCGAGCCATTCAAGCCTGAATACACGTCAGATGAATGAGGCCCAAAACGTCAGGCAAGAGTTAGCTCTTACTGATAGACGGAAATCGACTGTTGAAGAATGTCGACATGAATGTACCAATTACGGCCCATCCTATCCCTAGAAAATAAGCCCGAAAGGTCTCAATGGGAACATGGGTGTCATCGGTGTGTTCTGCAACAGCACGAACCCCGGGGTACGGTGATGAGTACCGCATCAGGACGGCGTCGATTCGCAGGTCACGTTCCCAGAAGTCGCCGTAGACTTTCGGCCCTTCGAGGAGCCTCTTCATACGATCTCGCATTTCCGAAGGGAAGTTCCAGTCATCGGCGTGAAACTTCACAGACTCGTGAATAATGTCCAGTGCCTCTTCCTCGGTCATACTGTTGATCTTCTCGAGGATATAGTCAGTTTCGCCATTGGGTGCTAACTCCTCTAGCATCTCATGGGAAATTTGGTCGCCGATCCTCTCGGTGGTGGCTCCAGCCGGCATCTTCTCCGGATCAGTTTTGCCCGGAGCCACCTCCACCCTGTTGTCGTCGACCACTTCGATATTGCCGGCCATGTTGGGAGACGCCGCAAGTTCAATTTTTCGCCCTGATATATCTCAAGGGCGGAGCCTCACCAAAGGGAGGAGGAGTAGATACGTGCAGAGGTGATACCTGGCAGGAAATTTTATAGGTCTGGGAATAGAACCAGCGACGGATGCCGATCCACGCCCAACCAGAACCAGCAGGAGTCTTGCCCCATGGTGATTCGACATATTTTGTCATACGAATTGCTTGGTTCAACGTTACATGCGCTCCAGAGCGACCCTGCATACGACGAACCTAGTCCGTGACTATGCTTAAGAGGCCTCGGTTATTCGCTTGCCTGTCTAGAGAGGGATCTTCGCATCCTAGTCTGGGTTTGTACCACGAGTTGGGAACTGAGGTTGCAGGGGAAATGAGAGCAGAACGAATAGAATCTCGCATTGATATCTGCGCTACAGCAGAAATGAGCACCGTTGGTACCAACCCCGCAATTGGCCGCCCACAGACATCCAGGTCAGATGATAACAGCGGGGATGTACCTAGTCTTCTACATCAGAACTGCATGCGGACCTGCAAAAATCATGTGTTGAAACTGTCTTGCTTCGAACAAATTTGAAGGCGCGTGCTTCGAGGCAAGAAGTTAGGCGACATATGTCTGCACCTGACTATAGTCGATGGGTTATTCATCGATACCCGTATCACTTGGCGGGTAGACTTTCGCCATGTATAAATTTCCACTCGCCAAGACAGTTTCAAACTTCACCAAATGGCAGTCGCTGATTGAATATGATTGATTTCAAGGACAATTATACTCTGCGTGCCCAGAACTATGTTCGCTGTAATGGATGCCGAACTCCGCAGCATCGGAGTTACGGTTGGGGTTCGGGTTGTTATACCCCAGCCTACCGCATTGACCGAAGCAGTCTCAGGTCTTCGATGGGTCGCGGGGTACGGACAACATGTAAAGAAAAGCACACCTTTAAAGGTTTAGTACATGATTCAAAGGTTGTTGGTTTACTGGTTATAATTATAGATCTACTTGTATTCTGTTCACTCTTGATTCGCATAATGACAAGGGTTATTTTGAGCGGAAACGGAAACTAAGCCAGTCCTTTAAATTGGCACACGCTTCAGAGTTCGTACGTGGTAGTAAAGTGGTGAATGTAGCATCGAAAATACTGTTAGCCATTGCAACATCCTAGTGCTCTGGAACTGCTTACTGGAGAGATCTTCGAGCTGTCGGGTCAAGCTAGTACGATCCCTTCGCGGATGGGACTGCATAGTATCGGACGCCGTTATACCCGTGTTCATTCACAAGGAATCCTCGAACAGTCATCTTGAGTGACTTGTATTTCGTGTTAATACCCCCTTTCACACGATCGGGCGCTTCAGACAGTCGTCGACGATAAAGCTTCGCCAATGTGAATTTCCTTGCAGTAGGTGTTGCATTGACTGATGCGGGAGGAGCAAGCTGAAATAGCAACTGGTAAATTGTCTCATGGTGTGTGATCTCGATTTAACGCACTTAATCGTATATTATGCAACTTATATTCGTATGCTTGAATGACCCCAAGAGGGGCTATCGTCACTCACGGAAGCGATTCGATCTGCGGCTTTGAAAGACATTCGACGAAATATATTTAGGCATATCAGCGGTATGCGCAAGGGAAATAACAAGTTGACAAACGATGGTAGAGAGGAATTATGTGAGATAATAAGTCCCCAAGATACAGGAAACTTCCACCAAAGCACACGCGCTCACTTTATCACGAGAAAGAAGCATGTACCAAATCCAGTTGTGGGGAATAACGCAAGGGAGCCGGTTGGTGAAGCGATAAAACATTTCTCAGCGTGATTCTCGGTGCAGGGTTCTGAGGTTATTGTTACCTTTCTATGCCGTCAGAGAAAACAAAATAACGCCAAAGGCTCAAGGCAGTAGCACGCCTTCCGTGTGGTTGGGTAGTATGTATGTTGCGGCAGCGCATGACATGGAAGTCTTCGTCCAGTTAAGGATACATCCATACGTATTTGAATAATCCTGCAGTTGTGGTAGTATGAAATAAAGCTCGCCAGGATGTCGAGCTCGAATTCCGACGCCTCTTAACTAAAGACTCTGTTGATGCAGCTCCAGCATAAGCTTGTCTTCCGGCTGAAATTAAGGGCTACGGAATGTGGCTGGCTGGCACCGGATGACCCAAGCCACAACTGGCATGTCAACTCAGAAATACGATACAAGATAACTTTCCTGATCTGGTGCACGGTGCGGACATGACAGAAAAAGAGAGCTATTACCACGGGAAGAAGGCAGTTCCACCAGTGTGACTCAAAATCAAAAGCGGTTTAGACCACGGCTCCACCAACAATTATATAGGCGCCAGCAGTGATGTCTACGGATAAAGTGCAATATACTGGAAAAGATCAGGAATGGTGGGGGGGACAGTTTCCTGGATGGGATTTTCTGGTGGGTCTCAACGATCGGGTGCAATCTGAAGACGCGCGGCCATCCAGAGGAGAATCCGTTTAGTCTATTAATGATCAGCCATCATTTTACTTCCAACATAATTTCACTCACGAGCCAATTGCATTGACTTGTCCACTGATTGCACCCCAATTACTACCAAAGAGGAAGCACCGTACTTGAATCAGCTATAGGGCAAGGAAACAAAAGTTATAAGAGACTCGAATAGAATATTATCTGACGAAGATTCCCAGCCTTGACAGGGTTCCGCCTACGTAAATGATATTGCCCATCAGACGAGCATGTAAGTGACTCAACATATTAGTGAAACCCTCCGGGGAGGGGCAGTCCGAGGTTTTAGGCTCACAACAGGGTTAGTAGGTAACGAAACATGCTAATGACCCTACATGCAGCAACTTCTTAGTCGCAGATTTTTAGCTTAAACAAGGTTGAAATATCGTATTCAATGATGCAAACTTCTAGCAGTCCCATCTTCGTCTTGTAAGCTTCCGCCGTGCTACAGGTAATGGAGCTTCTGGTGGTGAAGGGCTAATAATTGTACAGCCTCAAAGAAGGCTCTGCCCGGCTCTCACTATCCCGTATCCTCAGTTGGAGATCTGGCTTTCCCTCAAGCAATTCCGCCTTGGCCAGTTGACATGTGATCCTTGTCATTCTCCCTTCATTATCGATGTCGTAGTCGGCACTGCATGTGATCTTGATCACATCTCCTTCCTCAACTTGAAAGTCGTGGACCGCGACGGTCTTTACCTTATATCTGAAGTACGACTCCATTGAAAGGAAAAACTTTCCCGGTTCAGTCTTGACACTGATTGGAATGACTTTTTCGACGGCGGCTTTGTGAATGGGGCGATAGTGGTTCAAAATACCCTCTTTGCCTTTTAGCGTGCCAATCTGAGGATCAGGGATGACGAGTTCAATATCGTCGGAGTAGAAGCCGTGCTGTTTATCGTAGTCCGGCTCATTGAAAGCTCGGATGTAGTCCAAGAACTTCTCGACAGTAAGCGTCGCCATGGTTCCAAACTTTCTCGAGAAAATTGGTTGCGTGAGTGAAGTTATCAGTCGAGTACGGTCTTGCGCAAAGATATGAGGATGATAATGAGCCTTAATAAGACCACAGACAGGAGGGTATGCTCGAGACTCTGGATGGAGAGGAGTATTCGGAGAAACGAAATGCTTTCTAATGGGTTGATATAAGGGTAATTGCGGCCCAACTGGTCGGCAGTATAAAGACGAAGCAGATTACAAGATGGCTCGTCCGATATTCGGAACGTCCTACAGTGGGTTCCAAAAGCTTGTCGTCAACTAGTATACGCACACTGGCGCAGACTGACAATACCGTGCTGAACAAGTATAAGCAGGGGCCAGCTTGGCGTGAGGTATGGGGATGACGACAACTAGTCACGGCAAACGGAAACAAGATCGGAAGATATGTTCCCCCACCAGAGCCGGAGGATTGCAGTGAAATAGTTCCCAAGCCGCGTGATAATCACGAATGTCAATGAAAAAGCCTAGAAAGTCGGATGAAAACGGCCACCCCACATGCTTGAGCACGTGTTGCACTGCGGCAACCGTGCCGTAGTACTAGGAATAATGCGGAGAAGCATGGGGTAAGTGGGATATGGTAGCTACCATAGTGCAATGTGGAGCCGACGGTACTGGTCCGGAAGGGATATGGGGGCCACGTAAGCTTGTTGTGGTGGTAGTCACCCAGCGGTTCGAATTCTTGTGTCGTGCATTCATTCTGGACGAAAAGCAACGTCGAGTCAGGGGCACACGGCCAGAGGCCGTGCCCAGCCAAAAGCAACACATCCGGCCCGTTCTAGCTGACCCCGGCTTGGTCTGTCATAAAGGTAAAGGTTTCATAGGCTGGCCCTGTGGTTTAAGTTCTACTAGTGGAGAATCCGTCTTGTGCTTCAATTCCCCCACCACAGCCTCCCATAGAACTGTGTACATGCTGTAGGGTTGAGATGACATGTGTAGGGAAACTAATCATTCTCTCTGTCACCCGTGCGTCCACTCAATTCCGATTGGCACGTTCATGGCCACAAAGTCAAATGTCTACACCAGTATTTGAACAAGCACCTTCCCAATCGGAGGACATTTGCTTCTCACTCTACGCTCCAGAGTGCTGCGCACCGCTATCGTTCCCTGTCGGACTGAATCACTTTGATTAAGCTGCGAGAAGTCGCCTTTGACCACCTAACGTAGAGACAGCCTACTTGACGTTCTCCTCGCGTGAGTTCTGCAGTATCCGCGCGTGCGTATCAACAGATCCGATACCTCAACGACCGTTAGTCGCGATGAGGGTGCAGAATAATCCAGAGAAAATGCTCGATGATGCATCACACCATGAAGATGTGCCTCAGGGCACAACTACTGATGTCCACCGACAGAAGACCACTCTTTATATGCTTGTCTTTTCTTTTTGGGTCGGCACATTTGGATGGCTGGCCAACTTCGATGCCGCCTTTGGCGGTATCGTCCTCATCATGGATTCCTACAAAAGAGCTTTTGGAACCTGCGTAGGAGATGTATGCTCTCTGACACCGCTCCAGCAATCTCTCGTCCAGCTTACCATTCTATTCGTGTCTGGGGGTGGCGCTCTAAGTGCGATAGTCGGAGATCGCTTCGGAAGGAGAGGTACGCTTCAAGTCGCTTGTCTTATCATTGCGGTTAGTGCTGGAGGTATGATGGGAACAGCTGGAAGCTTCACCAACTACATGGTCTGCAAATGCATTGGAGGACTAGGCATTGGCATGATATACTCAGCGGCGCCTACCTGGGGCTCGGAGTCGGTTAACCCAGGAAAAAGAGGGTTTCTGATGAGCTTCTATAATGTTGGGCTTGCCCTCGGAAATGTTGTTGCTGGTGCGGTGAGTACCAATTCTCTCCTCTACCGCCTCTGTCTGATATGAGTCTCATTGGTGTCGAGTGCAGGTTTGTCTTGGTTCTTCCAGCTTTTCAACGGACTGGGCGTGGCGCACACCTATCTTTTGCCAAATACCGGCGGCTATCATCCTTGGACTTCTGACCTTATGCTTTCACGAATCCCCTCGATGGCTTTTGACAAAGGGCAAAACCGATGCCGCGCGAAGGTCATTTGCAAAATTCAATAAAAAGGAGCTCGAGTCGCCGGTGATCACGGCTCTGATCGAAGAAGTGAACCGGCACATTGAACTCGAGCGTGCGCTTAGGCAAAGTTCAACTTGGACCGGTATATTCCGCGGGAATGATGGGAAAAGAACACATATTGCAGTGTTGGCACTTCTTGGCAATGCCATAACTGGTGTTCAATTTGTTATTCCCTATACCGCACTGTTCTTGGCGCAGATTGGATTGACTCAGCCATTTGCATTGAACGTGGCTATCAGCGCATCCGGTAAGCTTGATCGTATTCAGCTAGTGGGTGACTTGCAGTTAATATTCGAATGCAGTTCTTATTGGCACAGTCCCTGGCCCGTTTCTCTGCGAATGGGTAGGTAGGCGCCGCAGCTTGCTTGCAGGTTACTCGGCTATGGGAGCAAGCATGCTCATATTCGCGGCGACTGCCACTGGTTTAGGCCAGTCATCTCATACCGCACAATCGGTCCTGGTGGCTTTTCTATGTTTTTGGGCATTTGTTTTTGGTGCTACCAGTGGGCCGATCGCCTGGGTTGCCTCTGCTGAAATGCACTCTCTCCGTATGAGGACTTTCGGCCAGTCGTATGCTGTATCGGTCTACGGTTTGTTCAGTTTTGGCGCAGCATTCTGGACTCCTTATATGCTAAATGCTGAATACGGAAACATGGGCACCAATGTCGGGTACTTCTACTTCGCCATTACGGTTGTGGTCATCATTCTGACTTTCCTGATTATTCCTGAGACGGGAAGGCTGAGCTTGGAGCAGATCGATGAGCATTTTGAAAGCGGGAGGCCTGCGTGGAAAACAAGCCTCATGCTGAACAAGCGAATTGCATCTGGCAAGAATTAATTATGTGGGCATTATAATGTAGTAAACTGTCTGTAGTCGGCTTTCGGATCCCAGTGAGCCCAAATTTTCAACTTCTGAATTGTCCTGATTGTGTCCCCCCTCCCCCCCAATTGCACAACGCCTGTCCACACTCTGAGAAAGTCTTAGTTGCGGCTAATCAGGGACATTGGTAGGTTGATAATATCATCTTTGGTGACCTGGACAAGAAGGAAGGCTTGACGGGACTGGTAGCGGAAGTGCAGCTACAGTCGCCGAAACACTGAGGTCGACGCGGCTGGTGAAGCAAAGTAGCACGTTAGCGACTATATATAGAATGACGTTCCAGAGATACCTGCCATAAGGGGCACGTCACAGAAAAGTCCCTGAGCCACTGATCGATACATGCTGGGTGATACACATGGCCACACGGTAACTTCCGAAGGTTAATGCCATTGGCAAAATCTTCGGTGCATATGGGGCAACTGGGGTCTTGTTGAATTTCGCCTGGGTACGGCTTTTGCAAGCGAGGAATCGGCCGTCGAGGTATCAAAGCTCTCCACCGCCGGAGAGTTGAGATTGAATAGCCACGAATTCCGTCTCGTTCGTCCTGTTCCAGGCTAGTATTTTCCGGTATAGTTTGCAACCGACTAACATTTGTCCTCGGGAAGCAAGCTTCCAGCTCATGTTCATTAACGCCTAGATCGCGCTTGGTGATATACTTCACGATGGGGATGGAGTTGATGCTCTGGTCGTTTAGTCCACGTCCTCTCCATGACGCTCTTGTACGCGTTGTAGCCTCCCGCAATGCTGCTAATGAGTTGGTTTTCCGAGCGACGCAGACTCCAAATAGAATTAAGACAGCTAATGTGACGCAGATAACTGTTGAGATCGTAGGGACATTGCCGTTGACTTTGGAGGAGTCGGGCACAGCACCTGCCATAGCTAAGGTTGGTACTAGATTAGTACCAGACTTCTGGTCAGTCACTTGAGAGATGGAATTGCCGGTTCATGTCTGGTTGGTAACTGGCAAATTTGCTTCGCAGTACAAGCCTACTGAGGATGGTCTCATACTCAACTCTACAAGTGCGCTGGATGCTTGTCAGAAGCAATGACAATACACATGCAATGCGGGAATAAGTCTTCATTTCCCCATCTCCTCGGTAATCTGCAATGATGGAGAACGATGCACGCTTCAAAGGGCAGAAGCAACCCCTCGAGTTAGGTAACTTTCACGTAATGAATTTCCTAAAGCGGTTTGCAGGTCTCAGCGTTGGCTCCCTCAATTTCCAACCAACAAGTGTAATCAACGAGGCATTTCATGACCGTTCCGTGGAAATTATCCATTCATGCTGGATAAACCAATAAATTACACGCAACCGCATTAAGCCATAGAACGGTGTCTGTTGTCTGGTTGCAGAATTGCATTGCATGTGCAGAATGAGCTCCGGTATACCGAATTGGGCTTATCCGATGTGAGTCAGCCCGAGGCAGCCGACCGGGGCTATGCACGTGTTGACACCAGACGGCCTCACGATACTCGTGGCGCGACAACCAACTTTGGCTATGCCACAAATACGCATTAAATTCGTCAGACTTCATCGCGGGAACTGTTTCGCATGGGCATTTGTTGGTTTGCGGTGATTTCAAGCCCCAGAGTGGGGTACTTGGCGGACTGGCCCTTAGACGATGGATACAGTAGTTGTTTCGTCTACATCTTTATAGATGTCAATCTCTGGCTGCGGTCCTTCAAAAGTCCTTTCTAGTAAGCCCACTCTACGGTAGACACATGCCCCACTACCAGAACTCAGCAATATTATTGAAACCTCCTGGTTTCTTGCCTTGCTGCTGACAAGAGTCTGCACAGATAATTTGAAGAAGTATATGTTGGACTCGGCAACGCTGTATTCGTCAACATCAAGACTCAAGGCCCCTAGGCCTTGCAGAGCTCGGTATAGATCCCCTTCTTGGTCGTCTAACCTCAACATTGCCCTCACCTGGTGGGAAGAAACAAGGAAGCCGGAGAGCACAGCTAATCCGCCACGTACGGTGCCAAATTGATCGTTTGTAGCAATAGGTTCCATGATGATATCCATCACAGCCACCATTTCGGTAGTGGTAATAGCATCCTCATTGTAAGTGACCTCGGCGTTTATCGAAGCCCAGGACCACGATGGGGTTTTGTCGAGCTTTTTGGATTTTTGGCTCGATCCATGTCTCTTCCACATCATGTCTCTCACAAAGCTAGCTCTCCATAATCCCGCATAATAGGCAGACCCTTGGAACTGGGATAGAATTCTCGCCGCACCCGAGATGGCCGGCAACCGATCGCGACTAAAGGTGAGATTGAGCCGGGAGTATTCCTGTACAATCTGGTGCCAGGTTGCATTCAGTTCAGCTCTTGACATCATGGACAAGTTCGGTTCATGAAGCAGATTTTTGTTGAAGGGTACCCACCCTGGCGACCATAGAAACCGGATACAACCACATTCGCAGGTAGTACGCTCCATACACTCCCATATGATTTCATCACGCGTGAAGTGCACAACGCGAGGTGAGAGCAGTCGTTCCTGCAAGACCCAGCCTCTGGTAAGGAGGGGATAGGGCTTTGGCGTGTGCCCATGGGCGAGGGTTTTGCGGGCATGAAAGGTGTGGGGTATTCCGGTCTCTGAGAGGTAGGTAAACTTCCGGGAAATGTGTTCAGGTGGCGATAGAGCAGTAAAGCCCTCAAGATCAGAGACCGACATGGTTGCAGCAATGGTCACGGTGCTGCCGGCATATATCGAGGCCATTTTCGAAGATTCCGACTGCCAATCTTCTGGTGAATCTTGTATGATGCATAGCGAGTCAATCCAAAGGTAAGGGATTCCAAGCTTTCGTGTGATAGTGATGGCATCTTGAAACGATCTCGGAATTGCAGACCAAGGGACATGCTCTTGATGCTGCGAGATATTGGCGCTTGTGGTAATCAGTGGCTGGGTCCCTCCCCAGCAGTGACTCAAACAAGCATATGAAATTTTAGCATTATCCTGGTTACACCACAACCGAACCGCATCAGGCTTGGACACATCCAAGACTCTGAAAGGAGGGCAGGTCGATCTATCGGATCTGGCGCAAGAGTGAGTTGACTGGCATTCTTGAAGCCATGCAGATACCTTTGAGATGGCAGCATCAGACGCAGTGTTTCCTGATAGTTCGGTTACCGTCTCTCCTTGTTTTTCCAATTTCCAAGGCGGCTTGTCCTCTATTTGAACAGTCAGAGGGCTTCGATTCTTGATTTGCGCCAACAGGGAAACCCACCTCCATAACAGCAGAGATCGGCGCTGAACAGCAAATTACCGTGTTGCTTTACTACCACCCGCAGCCCGCTGAGTCTCATAGTGTCCCAGCTGAGGAGAACATTTCGCTCCTCGGTCATAGGAGCTTTCAGACATGAATAAACCTGGAGAAGGATGCCGCACAGTTGACAACCACGACCGTCATCAAATGATTTGCGAATTTGGCTCAGCGGAACGCCATCAACAGCCGATACTGATTCATCCAGGCCCTTGCATATGTTACATCGAGGCATTTTATGTCGCTCAAAGCCAAGTCGCCGTCGCCCCAAGTATGTCCCTCAATGATGTACGGCGAAAAGTCCTGTACCAATCGATCGCGTCGGCCGCCAAGCGTCTAAAATGTCCGTGCGCTGTCAAGACAGCCGGCCTGGAACGGTTGTGATGCCTTACGAAGTACGAGGTATCCTCGGGCAGATTGCTGACTCTTCTGGTTCCCTGTAGCCACACGTCGAGCAATAACGGGTTGCCGGCTATGATTTCGAAGTAGGCAGGTCTCCATTGAACGACTAAATCCCTTCGCATTCCCCTATGTGCGTTGTTTGACAAGGTGGCCAGCTTCTGTTCGCAGCAGTGTACGAACTGCCAGGCATTGACGTCATTGGCGCACAGCGGTTACTATCCATCCTGTGCGCCATATGCAAAAGCGTCACTGCTATGGAAAATCAGAATCAAGGGACGAATATAGGGGAACGAGGCAGCTCGTTGTGCGCGTCAGATGCATACATAAAAGGGTGAGGATAGAGCACGCGGCGGGGACGAGCCACAAGGATACCTACGACTTGGCGTATGATCACACTTAAGACCAGTCCGTACCAAGTGCAATCATGATTAACTCCATAATATGATGGTTGCCCCCAGATTGGTGATCAACGTAAAGGACAGAGCAGAGGCCGGGCCCGGCTGGCTGCAAGCCACACTCACGGGTAAAGATACGCCCACTTCTCGTTGATGAATGCTTTTGTGCGATTTTGCCGTGCTTGACCATTTTGCGAACTGTAAGCGAAATGCACCTGTTGGAGGGCATCCTCTTCATGGGGATTCGGTATGTCCAGGCCGCGCGAGATGTGGAGAAATAGTGGTTCGCGCTCTGTCGCGACCTATAACCTGTAGGGGGACACGTGATGGAGTTATAGGCAGGTCGCAGGCCTCATAAGTCGAAAATGGTTATATATCATGATTCCTTTGCTCACTTGTTCGAAACTTCATTGGTGTAGGTGGCGTTGTGCCTTATGCGACCTTACTACTGGTAGCGAAGGCTTCTTTCTTGGCAGGTACTTAACCTAGCAGCCAAGCTTGCTCACATGTGTTGCAGATTTCCTCTTCGTATTCGTTTTGGTCAATTGGCGACATTGCGTTACTATCGGTACGAAGACCCCCGGAACGATGGTCGACCATTGGTCCCTCGCGAGCTGAAGAAGCCGATGTTGCATGCATAAGCTCGCTTACCACACAATGATGTTGGATTGGACGGCAGTTTGGAGCCACACTTGCGCCAATTCAACCCATGGCTGCGGATCCTCTTGTTCCCGACGTCAAACCTATTATGTGTACTCATGGTTTGGGGTAAGGTTTAGCTTCTCATGGGGAGATCGACGCTGCTAAAGATTGCTAAGACCGTGCTCATGTGGGTTCATGGTGGGAGGGGAGGCGGGACCCTTCCGTCACGACTTCATCAACTAGGGATTCACAGAGTCCTACAGTACCAATCTTGCGTGTGACTACTAGTACAACCACCCACCTCACTGGAATAGTCCGAAAACTCGCCGTTCGTGGTCTGTATTTAATTCACAGTCTACAGAACGCTCTTGAGCGAATATAAGCGCACGACCGAGCATCCGCATCTTCCCTCGTCGTTGTCGCTGTCTCGCCTGGGGAGCTCAAAGTCCGCCGGCATGGACATCATCACCCGACCTGCCGTTCTGGCGCCCGCGCTGCTTATCGCAGGCTATCTCGTGTACCAGATTCTGCGACCGTCAACATTGCCCAGGCTTCCTATCGTTGGTTCGCGCCCGGGCGAATGGTTCCCTTTGGTGAAAGCAAGATGGCGAAATGCGAAGGACATGCGAACCTCGACGCTCGTGGCATACCAACAGCACCGGGATGAAGCATGTCTATTGCCTATCGCAGGAGGGCAGGATTTTGTTCTATTGCCGCTCCAAGAAATGCAATGGCTCCTTGACCAACCCGACTCTATTTTCAGCAACCATGCTGCGATCAAGGAAGATCTGCAGTTGGACCTTGTTGTCCGCGACCCGGGTCTTATCGAGAACCCGCTACACAACCATCTCATAGCTACCAAGCTTACGAGGGAGACTGGAAACTTGATTCCGGACCTGTTCGATGAACTTCAGACGAGTTTCGAGGAGATTTGGGGACGCGACACTGTAAATTTCAAGCAGGTGGTTCTTTGGGAGAGTATGCAGCTGATCATTGGGCGAGTTACCAACCGAGTCTTCGTCGGCCTGCCTATGTGTCGTAACAGTGCTCTCCTAGAGATGGGCATTGCCTGCGCGCGCGACTTGCCTATGGCCGCGGCCATCCTTCGGTTCTTCTGGGGCCCAATTCGGCCGCTCGTGGCGCTTCTTTTGACGCTTCCTTTCCGCATCCATTCAGCTCGGTTCTGCCGGATCTTGAAACCTGAGATTACTCGGCGGCTTCAATCCAATGAAGCCCGCCAAAACGATCCAGAAGGCAAAGCCTTGCGTGGGGAACCAAACGACTTCCTCCAGTGGTCCATCCATCAGGCGAAAGCTTCGGGCGATCCTCACAACATGAAACCCCAGACGCTGGCCTCTCGTATCATGCTGCTGAACTTCGCGTCTATCCACACTTCGTCGTTCGCGATTACTCACGTATTGTTCGACCTTCTTGCCTCCAAGAAGGAGTACATCGAAGAGCTTCGCGAAGAGGTTCGCGAGGTTCTGGCCGCCCACGATGGGCAATGGGATAAGCGAACCCTCGCCGCACTGCCAAAGCTGGACAGCACTATGCGTGAATCGCAACGCCTCAACTCATTTGCCACTATAGCCACCAGCCGCACTGTCATTGCGCCCAAGGGCGTCAAGACTCCGTCTGGTGTGGAGCTGTCACCGGGCACTAGAGTTTGCGGCCCGTCATTTCCCGTGTTCCACGATGGTGACATCTATCCAGACCCGTACGAGTTCAGGCCTTTTCGCTTCGCGGAGAAGCGAAGCACTACGGAGGGCTCGTACGTGGACAAGGCCCGCCAGGCATGGCCTACGACGAGTACAGAGTACACGGCGTTTGGTCACGGTCGGCATGCTTGCCCCGGACGGTTTTTTGCGTCGAGTGAATTGAAGTTGATGTTGGCGTACATACTACTGCATTACGACTTCGAGATGCAGGAAAAGCGGCCGGAGAATGTGTGGTTTGGGCTGCAAAGAGTACCGCCACTGAAGGCTTCGCTACGATTCAGGAGGAGAGATGCGCCGTAGCCCACGTGCGTTTTGTGTCGTGTGTCAGATCCCAATTATAGGTCAAATTGTCTCAGCCTCACTACCTACAGCAATACCCAATCAATCAAGGCATGGTTTGTTTACAGACTTACTCAATATCAACATACCTGGAAACGTGACATTGTGAGATATGCGCCGTAGCGGCCGGTCCATCGTGCCGAAAATGTAGCCATGCCGCGCTGAGGTGACCCGCCAAGTGGGAGTGGAACTCGGGAGGCAGTCTAGGCCAATTCTCGATAGGTACCTATGTAGTTGAGTTGTCCATTATTACCCAATCACTCAGCTACGAATGCTCCCTTTTCGTCTTACGAAACGGGTTGGATGACGTTGAAACAAGGCGATCTGGCGTTGGTCTGCTGCTAGCGCTCAGCGCTCGCAAGGCGCAGCACAGCGCATGCGCCTGAATTGGCTATGCCAAGGCCGATCCGCAGTTCGAAGGATTCAGTGCGGCGTGGTTGAGCGGCACAAACATAAAGAACCAACAGTCCATTTTCGCCCTGCCATTTGAATGGACTTTGAAGTCGCTGTTCATCCAACTTTCCTATCTCTGCTCGTCCATAGCCTATTCCAAACCCGCTGCAATCGACTCTGCAACGCGGCCAATCTGTTGGTGTTGGTCACTGACACAACTTATACCTACCTGCTAAACCCACGAAGCCATGTCAACCTCCAGCAGCGATTTCCAGAAAGGCTACAATGATACCCAAAACACCGTAAAAGCTGTGTCGACTGGTATTATTGTAGCTATAGTTCTCACAATAGTTGGCACGATAGGATTCACAATTGCTCTTGTCGTCCTGCTGCGGCGGCAGAAAAAGAGACGCGATGCAAGAAATGCTGCCTTCGAGCCAATAGCGTACAACAGTAACACGCAAAATGCTCCTAGAGGCTACCCTAGTCCGCAACCGCCTTTCCAAGCACCATCTCCAGCCCACTCGTATCAGCCTGGACCATATGGCAACAATGTGTCGCCGAGATATGAAGCGCCGAATACCCCAGCACCGTATCCCGAGGCGCCAAATAACGAAGTCGAACCGAAGAAGCCTTATGACAACGCAGCAGCAGAACTTGGTGGGAGTGACGTCAAATATGAGCCGACGCGGAATGAGCTGCCAGCCTGAGGCATTGGTGGACAGCGGCCAGGATATATATCAGTGAAGGCGGTTATGTAACCTTTACTGCGCAGCAGGACTGCGCCATCGGAATACTACAGGATTGGGCAGTGCTGCCAACCGAGCACGGTGTTATTGTACCGGAAAGAACTTCGGAACATTCGAAGTGTTATATGCCAAATATTTGGCCGAGTTCTTTCTCCAGTCCCGGGGCGGTCTATTCAGCAAATGGAACTCAACCCAATTTCAACGGAGAGCCTTTCTGAAAGAGGCGACCTACGCTTGAAAGCAACATATCTCTCGACTGCTCGCCCCGTTGTGGAGAGATGGCATTGGCTGGAAATGCCACAGGCCATGATTACAGCAGTGGAATGGCACATGTTCAAGCAAATATCTCGGAATTTTACAGCGTACACGAAGTGTAGACAGCAAGATGTTTGCAATGTACAATTCGAGCAGTCACAGAGCCTATGCAGAATGTTGAGATCAATAGAATGTGTATAATAGACCAACAGGTAGTGAACACTTGGGACATCCAAGGCTACCCCAAGGGCTTGCTGCTAGTTGTATGCAATTACTGTTAACAAGCGTTTCCATTCTTGTCTGTGTGAGTAGGTTTCATTTACTCACATACTTGAAATGGTGGAAGACGAGCAAATCCGCGCAAATGACATGACAAGGTCACTAAAAAATATATATTTAAAACGAGATTCCTGATGTGCGTGCAACATAATATTAGTGTCACGCTCCGAATATAGGAGTCGTACGTAATTTGTTTCGTTATCTAAAACCAAACCTACGGTCAGGTTCCTCAGGAACCATTGTTGGCGATTGGGAAATAAATCAATCCGAAAAGGTAAGCTGGCCGGGCAATGGTCAGATTACTAGTATAGCGCCGTAGTCAGCCCTAGACACCATGCAGCTACACATGTACCTTCTTGATGCTCGCAGTACTGTGAAATCCTTATTTCATATACTGTGTAGCTAATGTAAATATATATATTCCATTTATCGCGCCTTGACCCCGAACCTGGTACCATAACGGTATCTGTGTTTGTAACCTGCTATAGTAAAGTTCCAACGATGGCTGAAAATCAACCAAGGCCGGATAAGCCGTCTTTCACAGACTTCTGGCGGAACAACGAAAGCAGAGGCTCTCCCAAGCAATTAACTTTTGTCCCGTATAACCATAACATTTCAGGTATGTCATGTGCCAAAGAACGTTACATACCCTGGTTTTTCTAATTCACCGAAACTTAGGCAGAAAGAAATGCCTGACAGGGAATAAGGAAGAGACAGGAAGTCAAGAAGAATATTCTCAGGAACGGGCTCAAGCTAGAAGATCTCAAGTGAGAAAAGCACAGCTTCAGCACCGACAGCGGAAAGCCGACTACGTCTTGCAGCTCCAGTCAGATATCAACGCGTTGAAGATAGACATTGATGGTATTGAGCTGGAGAGGCAGATGCTGGCCAAGGAGAACGAGGCTATAAGGGAGAGTATCTCCGCGGCGACTACGCCGCGACCAGGCAATTCCTCTCGGAGCGGGACTACCGTGACATCATTCCATGGATACTTTGGGGGTTTCGATGTGTATGACCCCTGGACTATGCAAGCGTACCAACCCATCTCTTCTCCCGGTTGGCGCATTGTTGGAGGAAGCTATGGCAATGCTTGCCATTGGGACATGGAGGCTTGGGGAGTACAATTTTATGAGGGTGTTTCAGTTCAGGGCAATGTTGGGGTTTGTGACGGTTTCTTTGATCACCCAATAACAGCTTGGAGAGATTACATTGGGAATGACGGGAGACACATGTAACAACCTGGAAACCCCCGAATGGGCGATGGAGTTGAAGAGGAGGACGTGGACATGGAATTTCTGCAGTACGCTCTCGAAGCCAAGAAAATCTCGGCACTGTGTAGTAACTGGGCTTTTTGAGCAGCGTAATTGTGTCCAATGGTGACGAGGCACGACCGTTTGGCCCAAGGCGACCTTTTCTCAAAATAGATGTTCTCCAGATTATGCCCATTCCTGTGACACGGAGAAATCAAAATCAGATCGAACTTCTGCGGTCAAAGACTGAGAAACGTGGTTATGATTAGCATTCACGTCATGCAGTGCAATATAGGCATGATGACTAGAGTCAGGTACTGCCTTCTAAGTGGAGTTGTGTGGAGCCGAAGTTCATTGGCTAGTACAGATCAGCTCGTACCGATTTGGGCAATGGTCCTCCTCAACATGCATACTCTTCGAGTGCCAAGCGGACCACACTTCGCTTGCGACTTAGAAGTCAGCAGTATGCTAACGTTGTATCAATGGGCTCGTATTTCGTATCCAATTGCTCTACACTGGGGGGAGAGCCCTGCTGCGCTAACAGCTCGTCAGTTGATGCTCGCGTGACCAATTGGGAAGTTGTATCTCCTCGGACTTTGCAGGTCAGCGATGCCTTTTCCCGCCACTTCACGCCCCGGGGATGAACGCATATGCTGCCTCAGCATCAAGGGCAAGACTTTGCCATGTGGACTTAACCTCAGCCATGAATCATGATTTCTACGTCAGTTACTGTACATAGTGGCTACTTCAGCCCTGAACTAATTAGATAGTTCGTTGTCCACAGACTTCATATCGAGATGGCTGATTGCCCTCCCTGATACCAATTGATATGACTAAGGGGCGTTTAATATAGACCTTGACGACGCCCCAAGCCCTCTGAATAATGAAAGCTACTCAGAGCCTTGCCTCCCAGTTCGCATATACGTCCGCGAAGCGAGCCTGTGACATATTCCCTCTATGTTGCTAGTGGCTTAATACCCATACGGACGACAGGAGAGTTAAGAAAGTTTTCATAGTCATGAAATGCGATGGTCTGCGCCTTGGACGTGGCAACTTCTTCACCTCTTTCCAAAACGCTCTTGTCGTACTCCCTTACACCCTCTTCAAGTGACTTCGTACCACCCCGCACGGCAAGCATCGTCTTGACAAATTCATCGGCATCCTGAATAGCCAAGTTACCACCCTGTCCACGGTGGAAAGTCATGCTAGCAGTCAGTGGTTAGTCTGATTATAAATGCCCCAATACAATTTTTGATTTATATCTTACCTGTGGGCTGCATCACCTGCCAATGTCACTCTACCATTGTGGTTATCCCACGGTATCGGGTGCCAAATTCGCAACTGGTCCTTTCTGATGATAACGTCATCTGGCAACCACTCCACGACACTACGATAAGGATCCGCCCAGCCATCCATATGACTCCGCAGCCTCTCCAGGCGGTTTTCCGTGTTGTCCTGGTCCTCCTTAGTTTTGATTGGCCAGGTTGTGAGAATGTAAAACATCCAAGTCTCCGGTCTATCGATGTCGGGTTTGTCGAGAAGAAAGATGCCCATGTACATACTCTTCGGATGCGGTGCAACATCCACATTAGGATTCATCTCGTTATCGAGCCAAAGTGCCTTTTCCGCGGGAAGAGTGAACGGGAAATTCATAAACGAATAAGGGAGGACTTCTTGCGCGGCCAGCTCCTCTCCAAGCAACCACCGGCGAACATTTGACGTGCCGCCATCGGCGCCGATGATCACGGAGGCAGATTCTGTAGTGCCATCCTCAAATTTAGCGAGTACTCTCTGACCCGAATTGATAGCGGGATCAAGGACCTCGATATCAACCAGCTTCTTCCCATACTTGATATCTAGACCTTTCGCCCATATCTTTTTCGTCTTCTGGATCTGCAGTCTTCGAACCCCTGGGTACGGCGCGGCCTTGAGAACAGCCCCCGTGGCTCCGTCGCGAATGAGAGCGCACTGCTTCTTGGATGTCTTGACATCGAGGGAGGAGTCTGGCTGGCAAGCTTGTAGGTTTGCATACAAGTCGGGTGGGAGAAGGCGCTCAAGCTGTGCGTGTCCCCATGATAGGGTAACGCCCCAGTTTCGGTCTCGTGGCGCCGTCTCTCGTTCCACAATGGTGAATGAGATGTTGTGCTAAGCATCGTATAAGCCAAAATAAAGGTGAGTTTTGGCCGCAGGGAGTTCGATCACCTTTCTAAGTCCATGAGCAAGTGAGAGTCCAGCCAAGCCTGGGGATGTAATTAGCATTAATCAAAGACAAAAAAAATTTACGTACCACCCCCTACAATTAACACATGAAATGACATATCCGAATTTGAACCCATGATGTTCTTTTATCATACAGGAGGGATTGGTAGGATCCGTACAGAGATGGGAATCACCATTTGGCCCTTGGGTACTTGTGGCATGCCACGCTAGCACTGCATAGCTGTACTACCGGAGCCAAATGGGGAACACCGAGTCCGCCGAGGGGAGTTGCATCTAAACTTTAACTCGGGTCTATCCGAGACAAGCGGGGGGCGTGCAGATTTGACATTGGACATCTGTTCAATCATCAATGAACTCCGCTTTTCTGAGTCCCTCCCGGAATGCTACCAACAGAACACATGTTTTGTTCACCTGTTTAAGCCGTTTAGCTTCTTGCCCTCACTTGCCGGCGTTGTTACTCAACCTCTTGAACGGTAAAATCTGACACGGAACGGAACAGGAAAATACACTGACCAATTTCCATAGATGGACTGGTATTCGAATCCCAATCCTTCTCAAGGAGGCCGATGGGCCGAACAGGACGTGAAAGAAGTATGTGTGCCTGATTGAGATTCCCGGATGGACCCCGACGCAGTTGCTAAGCCGGTCATGGTCAGCTCAGACGGAAACTCATCACCGCGAACCATATCTTGCACCACCACGGCGTGGTCGACGCATATGGCCACATTTCCATACGCCACCCGCAAAATGCTGACATCTATATCATGTGTGGGTACATGGCACCAGCGCTTGTTTCCAGCCCCGACGACCTGATCGAGTACTGGGTCAAGGATTCTAGCACAGTTGACCTAAACGCCAAGAAGGGCTACTCGGAGCGGTTCATACACGGCGAGATATTCAGGATGTATCCGACTATCAATTGCGTGATCCACAGCCATGCTGAAGATGTCCTTCCCTATGTCGCAGCTACCGGTGTGCAGTTGCTACCGGTGTTCCACATGGCGGGCTTTCTAGGTGAGCTTCATTGTTGATAATGCTGTGCCCGAGGTTGAATGGCGTTCCAGGTGCCCGGGTCCCTATCTTTGATATCGCGAAGGTGTATGAACAGGGCGATCGTCAGGATATGCTCGTACGCAATGCGCGTTTTGGCACAGCTCTAGCCGAGGCATTCTCCGTAAACCCCGCGTCGGGGTCTCCAAAGCCTGATCGAAATGTTGTGCTGATGAAGAGGCATGGGTATACCACGCATGGCACAGACATTGAGACGGCTGTTTATAGGGCTATTTACACGAAGATCAATGCCAGTGCGCAAACTCGTACTGCGATTATACGAAGCGCATTCTTAGTAGAGGGAGGTAGTGCCACTAAAGGCGATGATGGCTTCGAGGCAATGTCGGAGGAGATGATAGAAGGATGTAGGATCATGAACGAGGGGACACAGGACAAACCCTGGAGGCTGTGGGCGGCGGAGGTGGAGAACTTGGACTTATACGTAAACAATGGATGAGGGTGGCGATATAGAAGAGAATAGTTATTCATATAGTACCACGCAAGGAAACGGCTATCCTCATCTAGACTTCAGTCCCCGTGATGAAGCTCGCTCCTGCCTTTACAATAGACTCAACAACTTGGACTTCCTCCAGGTTTCTCGGAGCATACACCATCGTCCACCCGCTCTTCACAAACGGCAAGCAGAACCGTTGGCCCCAGCCCTTCTCAATGACATCTATTGCATCACGATCCGACAGCCAGACATGAAGGCTGTCCTCAGCAGGATGCGAGTGGGCGATCTCGTGATCCAGAACCGGGTCTCGAGCAATAGGGTTGAGTGTCTCGACGTCTTTGCGCGCATACAAACCCTCGGTGGTCTTTCCCTCTGTATGGGAAGGCTTTATCTCGAACAGGTCAGGCCGAGAGGCAGCGATGCTGGTGACGAGTGCGTGCAGCTGCGTGCGTGAAGCCGTTGAAAGCATCTGCTCGGGGACCTGTCTCTGGGGCAGGATGCGGGGCATCAGCTTGGGGCGTGAGCCAGAACGTCTGGGCAGGTTGACGAGGTAGCCTGGGCCAGACCTGCTCAAGACAGATGTATCTAGGAGGTCATCTCCGCGGAGAAGTGCGTTAACGCGCAGCTTGGTAATCTTCCAGTACCCGCTGCGTTGAACGTCAGTTCTAAGTCGGATGCCGAGAGGCAAGAAGGTGCCACTCACGCCCAAGTCGGCGGCGTTCCACCAGTGCCAAATGACTTCCATTCCAGGAAATCATTCACAGTCCTTTTGTTATTAGACGTTATTTCATGTGAGGGAGCGAGAAACGCACCATGCGACACCAACGGCTGCCGTTGTAATGAGGCCTGTCAAAGCAGGGTTGGCTCTCAAAGTGGAGACAACCTTCTGGATCATGTCTTCTGCCATAGTATAGAGAGAGAGAGAGAGAGAAAGACTTCTCCACTCGATGGTATGGTTTTGAGGATCCCGAGCAAGCTGTCTTTAATCAAATTGCGGTTGATGGTGGCCAAGAGGCAGACAGGCTAGTATCTTGTGAGATGGCAAACCAGAAGCATGAGGCTCAACGGTAAGTTCAAGCTGTATGCCGGAGGTCCGACAGCGAAGGTCGTTTCGCAACTTGCACCACAGCTACACCAGTCTGCTGGGTAACCCGCCAACGTGGGGCAGCCTTCACTGGGAAAGCTTAATCCTCCAGCACCATACATGCATGATATGGACACCATGATATGGCAACATTCGAAACCGCGGTCCTGAATTCGTTTTCAGCGAAATACAATGCGGCAATGCGCGGAGCAAGTTCCTTGGCAGCGGTGTCGACTGAGATGTAGTGGATAGTGTGCATCGGCGAGTTGTAGGAGTGTAGGCGCAGCACATGCGACTCCTAGCCCACTACGGGATTTGCTGTCGTCGAGTTGATCCGTTAAGTCTGGTCACCTTGACCTGACGACCCTTGATCAACTATGTTGGTGTTTTGCTCCAGATGGTACGACTGCAAACAGGCAGCAGATCGACTGTGGAGATGATTGGATGGGTGAGTAACTATCCCTGTCTTCCAGGCAGCGGAACTACCAATTCGTATGTTGGAAGAACAAGGTCACCTCAAAAAGTTTTCTCCCTCGGTCGGTAATGCAGCCGTCAATGGAGTACAGCTTGTACAAGTTTGCACCTGCAATTGAACAAGTTCATTAGCAACTGCCATGAAGCTGACCGACATCCTAAGTGGTCCCACTCCGCCGACCGCCTCTGTTAAACCCGTTCACTTCAAGGACACCGGCATAGATGACAAATGGGCGGTGGTGATTGAGGACTTGCTAACGCCCACCGAATGCGAAGACTTGCGTTCTCTTGTCGAGCCTCTAGACGGCGAACCCTGGCCCGCAGCCACACTCACGGCTTACAGTGGCTTGGCGGTCCATCAACAAGAGACCAGGCGCTGTGGCCGAATCATCTTCAGCTCGCCTGTTGTAGCTGAAGCCCTGCTAGCACGGATCATGCCCTTTTTGCCTGAGAATATCACGACCCTGTGGAACGCAATGGATATCACGGGGGCCATCCCAGCAGTCAGAAAAGAGAGGTGGCAGATCTCTAACTTGAGTGAAGATCTCAGATTCTTGAAATATGAGGCTGGCGACTATTTCAAACCCCATTGCGACGCGGTAACCTCGATTGGCGGGAAGAGAAGTTTTCTGACTGTACACCTGTATCTGAATCACGAAGGGTTGGAAGGGGGTGCCACGAGTTTTATGTTGGACTACAAGGACCCCGAGAACAACTATGTGAAGGTCGATCCCAAGGCGGGCAGTGTGCTGGTATTCCAGCAGAGAGATTTATACCATGAGGGATCCCTGGTTACGAAGGGAACCAAGTATACCGTGAGGACGGACGTGTTGTACGAGAAAGTCTGAGGTACGCAGATACAAGATCACATTAAGACCTTCTTGAAGGCATCGCCCAGTCCCCTCTCGTCCAGCCAGGCTTCCACCGCTTTCATGTCGCCCCGGTTCGCTCTCTCGCCCCTTTTCTCGCCGACTGTATCTGTGATCTCTTGGATGTCCTTGAAGACTCTTTGGACATCTGATATCTCTCGGTAGCGCTCGCTAACCTTCTTGTGGTGGGCCGGGATATCGCCCCAGCTGTCGGTTTTGATGAACTTCATATACTCATCAATACTCCTCGAACCCCCTTCCAGACAAAGGATGCCAGGCTTGCCCGCGAGAAGGAATCCAGTCAGGCCGTATGAGGGTCCATGGTTAATCAAGTCATCACGCTTGGAGCGCGTACTGATTGACGGGAAATAGAACCATACTCGAACCAGGGGCTCGTCGTGTCCTCTCTGGGGCTCTACCTGGGCGACGTTGCGACTGGACTCAATGTATTCAATGCAAGCCTGCCTGATGTGGTCCAAAACAAGGTCCAGGTCCTCATCAGGCAACTCTGCTTGGAGTTTCGAAAGCTCGGCTTTGCTCATCCAAGGCGGCTGTTTTATCCTGACCCGGGTGACAGGCGCATCCGCGGGGATCTCATCGCCTCCATATTGAAGTGGGATGGAGATACTCAGGGGGATCGCTCGTGCCTGCATTTGCTCGTCAAACTCGACATCATTCGACAAGTCAAGGTTGAGAGATATGGACAAGAGATCAGGAACGTCCGTGGGCATATCGGAATCACCAGCTACCCAACTTGCCAGGTTTCGGTGCGCGCTTTGACAGGCACCCTCAATCTCAGCATCATCGGGATACATCGCCAAGAGTAGCTCAACTTGGTGAAGTTGAGCCTCTAGGAGCTCTCTTGGCAGTATTCGTGGCATGATCAGATGTATCTTCGAATAGAGTCACGCACATGTCGTCCGTGGCTTGAGATATTCTAGTTCGGTCAGGTTTGCACATTTGGTTTGCCTCAATTGTCAAGAGTTGAGGCCGAACTTGGTTCATGCAACCAACAGCTGTTGGCCAGCTGCCTTATCGTGATAGCACATTGGGCACACCTTCATTGAGTGTCCCAGTAACATTGGGCGTGCAGACACTCCGGCCTGGCCCTTGGGATGCCAACTTGATCCAAAACGGGCTGTGCGCGGCGCCAGACTGATGGTATGAATGTTGAAGCGCGCATGAAGACCGCAAAGCCCAACGAAGAGTTTGGTAGCTTGGTACAACCTGAAATCTACCGACCGTGCGCTGCTCACCTCCCAGATGATAGCGTCGAAGCCAATGGCAATGGCCAAGCCAATATCAAGGCTAACAGTATACAAAAGACCATCGGCCTACACCTGTTGCTCAGGTGGGATGCGTTGAGGGAATTATCGGGCAATGGGAGCATTCACTGGCTCTGTTGCGCAACACGGCCTAGGATTAACAACTGAACTGTTTCAACCGATTTTGGCGTCAGAGAAACTTTACTGAGAAGCACTTCATGATGGGTTCGTGTACGCAGTATCTTCGATTTAAGAGTCATTCAAATGCCCTTTGAAGTCCAGAGCATCTGATCCTCTGAGGAGCACTGCCCAAGTTGTTTGGGAGACCTGACCTGCTCTCTTGGCACGGCTCTAGGACCCCGGTCCATCTCCTGACGAGACCCCGACATATCCGGGGATCATCCAACCTCACGGGTTCGGCTGACGCGTCCGATGCATTAGCGGGCCCGTACATCGTTTCAACAAGCGTTGGCAGCTCGCAACACGTGCGTCGGAGTCGTTTCTGCAACCTGGTTTAAGCTTTGCTGGTTTGGCCTTGGTGGCAGAAACAGACCAGGGCTTGGCTTGTTCGGGGTGACTATGACAAGGGCTAGAGGGGCTGGAGGGTTCGGGGGACCCATTGAATTGCGTAGTCACATCTAATCATGGTGTTTTGTCAGTCCAGTGGGCTTGTTGCAGAAACTCCTTATCTCGGGCCATTGCCTTTGTGATCTAACCCTTTGTACACTCGGTTTTCTGGCTCTTTCAGGACGAGTAGTTCGTTCCATGAATGGGTCTGAGTAACTACAGTCTACTCTCGTGAAAGTCTACTTACACGATAGTGCTCTGTTCAAAGCAAGGCCAGGAAGATCAATTTATTCTGGCTTATTCAGTCCACCGTTAGTGACATGCCTGCGGAAAAACATCGATCAGACACTGACATACGCAAGAGAGCTCGGTGAATATTCACTGTCTGGAGAACAGCGCCGGCGCGAAATATTACGTTTTTTGGGTATCTCTCTCGCTGGGAGCCTACACATGCAACTCCGACTCTCACGAATCAGTTTTGATAATTGAAGTTGGGGAACGAGCCATTGATTCTCATCGCGTTGACCACGCGGTAAACGCAGAACCACCAAGAGCCGGTTCGCGGTCTCATTACCCAGAGATAGCGACTTCACCAAGACACCAAGCTTGCTAGTCGCACGTCATGCCATCAGTGTCATTCGGCCATCGAATATCCTATCCAGGTATCATCTGGGCGCTCGTGCTGCTCATGCTGCTCTTCACGCCTGGCCTGCACGCATTGCCTTACAATGCCATAGCTCCGTACCCGAAGCCACAATGGCAGGCAACGGCAGGGATTTACTACCACCGCTGCTCTTCGCCGACCCAGGTGGAATGGTCGAAGAACCAGCGCCAGTGGTATCCATCGGCGATATGTATGCGTGGGACGTGCTGCTCGAACTTGGCACAGAGTCCGATGTGCTCCAAAGAGGCGTGCGAGCTGGTCCCAAAGGAGATGGAACAAAGCGAGGCGTATAAAGTCAGGATGAAGGCATGGGGGAAGAATGGCTAGTATTGGCCACGAGGGCAGGGCAGAGTACAAAACTCGGTTGAGTCATGCGCTTTGCTCTGTAATCCCGATTTCGCAAGTGACCGATATTGATATGAGTGAGCGAGTGAGTGGGACGTGTATCACAGCCGGGATTCTATACAAGTAATAGATTCACTGCACTCCTGTCAGTCGTACTCAAAAGGTAGAAGGTACCGAAAAAGCAAGTGTAAACCCCCACACAAGACTTGCGTAATATTCCTGAAGGCGTGCTCGTATCGTGGTTCATTAAGTGTTGTTACATGTGATGGAGCACGACTCACTTCAGGCCACACGAGGCCCTGAGATGAAGAGGCTATTGCCCGGCATGTTTATATATCCCGTCATAGACGGTCCCTATCCACCCGTCTGCAGGCCCAGCACGAGCGACCACCCCGAGGCCCCCAGCTGCCCACACGCCGGCAACCAGGGCAGCGAGGCCGGTGATTCCCCACCACGCCCGCCTTCTCCTCCTCCTCAGTTGTTTGTCTATCGTAGTCTTCTTCCAAGCCGTGGGCGGCGCGACTCCTAACCAGGTTGCCCATCCCCATACCATATGCCCTGCGCCGACGGACAGCAGCAGTGCATAGGCGATCCAGGGCTGGATGCCGTGCCTTGCGAAACCGTGCGCCACGTACTGCAGTCCAATATTCGAGCTGTCGCCCTCGACGACGAGCGGCAGCACCCGGTTGATGAAGACGTGGGCCGCCAGGGGTACAATCAGCACGTAGCCGCTGATGCTGACGTAGCTCAGGGGTGGCCACATGCGCAGGGCGCTGCGCGAACCGCCGCTGGCGACGGAGCTGCTTGTCTTGGACGTGTTGGCCCTGTGCAGTGCGTACATGCCGGGCGTCTCGCCGCCATAGCGCTTGAGGTTCTGGTGGCGGCGGATCAGGCGCAGCGAGAGACCGGAGAGGATGTGTGCGGCGATGGGGAGGCCGATGAGCAGCGGCTCGGAGATGCGGGTCTGGTAGATCTCGCGGGTCATGAGCAGGAAGGGCTCGGAGTACGGCACAGACTGATAGATGAGCGGTATCAGGGAGGTGTTGGCCATGTGAAGGCCGGCGAAGAGGGTAAAGGTGTAGGAGGAATAGCGCTGGACCCTGGTCACTGTGGCAGTCAGAATCTAGGCTCATGTGTAGGGGCAGGGACAATCGGCGGCCGAACAGTAATATATTGGCCCACGGCCGCCGCCGCTGAGGCCAATGGCCGACGGCGACGCCGGCGTGTGCGAGGTGGAGGAGGTAGGGTGCGACCTGAGGGTGTCGGTCGAGGCCTCTACCTCTTCCTCGGGCAGAGGAGGGAGCTCCTTGTCGGTGGACGGGCTGTCGATAGGCGAAGGATCCAGCTGCAGGAGAGATATCAGCGTCTCCTGCGAGGCCTTGTGATTCAAGGGCGTGCTCGAATCCATGGCGGCGGACGCAGGATCCTGCACAAGCCGGACTGGGATCAGGTTGGACAATCAAGTTCTCTGAGAAGCGCGGGTGAGGCTATCTTCAGGGTCGATCTCAGGCGGGCTTCTTTCGAGGCGCGACGCGCTGGAGTCGGCTACGTAATGGCCCCTAACACCGGGGATCCTGAGTGGCGCTGCGCTGCCAAAGCTTCCAATGACAGAGCCCCAATTTCACAGCTGGGGCCCCTGGCAACCTGGCTATAACGGCTGAACGGCTGGAGCTGCAGGTCAGCGCTCTAGCTGCGATGGCCTAAGTTGATCGTGGGGGCTTAAGTTACCTACCTAGGTACCTAGGTACTGTCGGGCACCTCCAACGTTGAAGCCAGCCAAGCTACAGCACACAATGTAGAGCCAACAGACCACCCCAACATCACCAACTCGCACGCCCGCCATACAGCACAGCATCGCGCACTCGTCTCCTGCGCCAGCAACATAGAGCCGCCTGTATGCCAGTACCCGCAGACACGTCGGCCGCATCGCTACCAACATGCCGCCACGCCACCAGACCCTGCCCAGCGCGCAGACGGCCTCGGCCCGCGCCGCCATGCAGTCCTTCTACTGCGACCTGTGCTCCAAGGGCTACAGCCGCATGAACGACTACGAGGCCCACCTGTCGTCCTACGATCACTCCCATCGCCAGCGCATGAAGGACATGAAGCAGATGGTCAAGGACCCGACGGCCGCCGCCCGCGCCAGGAAGGCGGAGCAGAAGACCGAAGGCCTGATCAGCATCAAGCTGGGCGAGGGCGGCCCGGGGAACAGTGGTGCAGCCGGCCCTGCCAGTGGCTTCAAGAAGGGCGGCTTCAAGAAGAGCGGTTTCAAGAGCGCTTTTGCCCCTGTCGGCGGCGATGAGGACAAGGTCGCCGACCAGGGCGGTGCCTCGAAGCACGAGGCAAAAGAGAAGACGGCGCTGGCAGACGAAGACGAGAGCGACACCGCCGACGAAGGATACGACGTCTACGACCCTAGGAAGCCGACGGATTGAATTCTTGCCTGTCATCACATCATTGCTAGCAGACTACACACTCGCCAAACGTGCAAGCCCGGAGCTCGTACTTTCATGTCCGCGTGGTACTGTTTGCGCTTGATATCGGAGGGTCACTATGACAATTGATCAAGCATCCAGTACAGGATCTCGCGCCGCTGAGCACAGAAGCGGGTCTTTGGCATCATAGGAACCCGGTACCTAGTCAAAGGCAGCTCCATCAGGATTTGATGATGGCTGGCAGGCGTCTTTACGTGCTCCTTTCCGCGAGAAGACACTGCTACAAGCCCATTCAAGAGGGACTATGTGCTTGTCGTTCCAATACAGTGTATGCTGTACAGCGATGGGTGGGATTGTAGGCCACTGTTACGGCTGCTCTTCTACACCGGAAAGGTTGGCAGGCAGTCATGCATCTGACGCATCCCAAAGGATTTGGTGATAGGATCCTCCCGGCTCGAGCCGTGAGCCATAGATATCAAGCTTCGAACTGCGGCAAGCGATTTGCTTTGGATTTGCCATCTACGTAGGGGAATGCGTCCAAGACGAGCGTCGGACTAGCTGATGAGTTGCCGTCATGTCCGGTCTGTAGAGAATCGAGTCTTCTCACCATCTCTGCCTCTTGTACAACCCGCCATATGCACATGCGGTCAACAAGCGAGCCGCCTTACCCCTCCCGCGTCGCTCAAGACGGGATCGCCATGATATTGACTTTGACCGGGGTGGCGCCAGCACCCCAAATAAGACGAACCCCAAGGTCCATCCATCCCTGCCCACCGAACTGCGCATCCGTGCAGCCGTTCATGTTGCTGTCCTGCATTTGCCCCCCTCTTTCTATGCCACTTGACGTCTCTCGCAGCGCATGCCATCATCATTGCCCCGCACTACACTGTAGGCTGGCCTCTCTTGTATGAGCGGAATAGCAGAGAGCCGCCGAAGAGCCTCCAGCCGGGACAGGACTTGCCTGCGCCCTCTCCGCAGCTGGTTACCGTAACCAGCAGACCCTACGGCGATTATCCCAGCCCGAGGGTTACTGCGATCAATGACGGCCGAACAGGGGCGCCTTAGACCGTCCCGCTATTCGTCTGCTGTGTGAGCTAAAACTTCATGTCTGAGCCTATACCTATCGGTCCCATCGTGAAGATGCAGCAGACGGCTACATATATGAGCCCGCATGTCTGGCCGAGTGAAGGACCAGTGGCCAGCTACCATATGCACCTCACTGCCCCCTGGGTCACATCGCTTCTCGAGCCCACCACTTCCCTATATCGACTCTGGTATGAAGCATTGAATCCTACCTCACGCCTCCTGTTCGTCTGGACTACGATTTTCTCGTTCGTGATCACCACCCGCTACTGCTACGTCAAGTACCGGAGGGGACGCAACATGGCTCGTTCTATAACCGTGCTCCTGACGGCATATTTCCTTGGTTGCTGGACTCTTGCCAGGTCTCAGACTGCAACAACTAGTTCGCCGGGCGATGTCTTCACCGTACCGGCTGATGCCGACATTGGCCAATCTGTCATCCCAAACATTGCAGACCCCCAGGCCGTCAATCCGCAAGATGTCTGCCCTGGTTACAGGGCATCCAACGTGGTCGAGACCAAGAACGGCATCACAGCTGACCTGACACTTGATGGTCCTTCTTGCAACGTCTATGGCACAGATATTGAAGATCTCATCTTGAAGGTCGAATACCAGGCCCTTGATCGTCTGAATGTTCAGATCCGACCAAGGTACATTGGCCAGGAAAACTATACCTGGTTTGTACTTCCAGAGGAGCTGCTACCCCTTCCGGCTGTTGAGACCGAAGGCTGTGCTCCCGAGAGCGACCTTGATTTCTCTTGGAGCAACGACCCCACATTCTCGTTCAAGGTCACTCGTAACAGCACCGGCGACGTACTCTTCAACACGGAGGGCACTCAGATCGTATATGAGGACCAATTCATCGAGTTCAAGACTGGCTTGCCAGATAATTACAACCTCTATGGCCTTGGTGAAGTGATCCATGGCTTGAGGCTTGGAAACAATCTGACGAGTATGATTTCCGTGGGCTCCCATATATCAAACGTTACTGACCCGAAATTAAAGGAACGCTTTTCAATGCTGACGTTGGTGACAACATTGACGCAAATATATATGGGCATCATCCCATCTACTATGATACTCGGTACTTTGAGGTAGGCAGCGACGGGATGCTGTCATACGCAGCAAATGCATCGGACAAGTCTGCCAAGTACAAGTCGTACACACACGGTGTTTTCCAAAGGAATGCGCACACCCAGGAAGTCCTTCTCAGAGAGCCAGGCGTTACATGGAGAGCACTAGGCGGAAGCATCGGTAAGGAGACCAAAGAATGGTAGTAACCATATCAGACCACACTAACGATTATGCCCAGATCTGTACTTCTATGAGGGGCCGAATCAAGACGCCATTACGAAGTCCTACCAGAACAGTGTCATTGGACTACCTGCTTTCCAGCAGTGGTGGACGTTTGGGTTCCACCAGTGTCGCTGGGGGTACAACAATTGGACACAGCTTCAGGAAGTCATTGATAACTTCGGAAAATTTGAAATTCCACTGGAAACGATCTGGAGTGAGCTGGTTCTGGTATTGCTTACATCTGGACATGGAAACTGACGATGACTACAGCTGATATTGACTACATGACCAAGTACCGTGACTTTGACAATGACGCCGAACGCTTTCCATATGACGAAGGTGCTGAGTTTTTGGCCAAGCTTCACGCAAATAAACAGCGCTACGTCCCCATCGTCGACTCGGCCATTTACTCTCCCAACCCGGAGACCGAAAAAGGCCTGTATCCCACCTATGACCGCGGTGTTGAGCAAGATGCTTTCATACTCAACCCTGATGGTAATGAAGAAATCCGTCCCTATGCCTGATGTACAGACGAACTCTAACGCTGGACAGGCTCCCTATATGTTGGTGCCGTCTGGCCGGGATATACCGTATTCCCCGACTGGATTGGTGCTCTCTTCAACGGTACTGGTACAAATCAATGGTGGACGTCCGAATTTACGACTTGGTACGAGAAAGTTAAGTTCGATGGTATTTGGATCGATATGTCGGAAGTATCGAGTTTCTGTGTTGGTAGCTGCGGGAGTGCTAACTTGACCCTTAACCCGGCACATCCACCTTTTCTACTGCCGGGCGAACCTGGAAACGAAGTAACGACTTATCCAGAGGGTTTCAACATTACCAACGCAACCGATATCACCACATCTACAACATCGACCTCAACAGCTGCAGCTACATCCACGTCAACCTCAACCTCATACTTTCGAACTACTCCTACTCCTGGGGTTCGAAACATCAACTGGCCGCCATATACCATCAACAACTTCAACGGTGACCTTGCTGTTCACGCAGTCAGTCCAAATGCAACACACCACGGTGGTACTCTCGAGTATGATTTCCACAATGTCTACGGCCATCAGATTCTGAATGCCACATATCATGCTCTCCTTGAGGTGTTCCCTGACAAGCGACCCTTCATCATAGGCCGCTCCCAGTTTGCTGGTTCTAGCAAGTGGGCTGGCCACTGGGGCGGAGACAATTACTCGCTCTGGGCCTTTATGTTCTTCTCAATCCCACAGGCTCTGTCGTTCTCCTTGTTTGGGTTCCCTATGTTTGGAGTTGACACGTGCGGGTTCGCCGGAAATTCGGATATGGAGCTTTGTGCCCGGTGGATGCAGTTGTCGGCGTTCTTCCCCTTCTACCGTAACCACAATGTCCTGGGTGCTATCAGCCAGGAGCCGTATGTCTGGACTGAAGTCGCTGACTCCAGCAAGAGCGCCATGAAGATAAGATACGCACTTTTGCCGTACATGTACACCACGTTCTACCTCAGCCATTCAACTGGATCAACCACAATGCGTGCCTTGGCCTGGGACTTTCCTGATGAGCCATGGTTGGCTGACGCTGATCGTCAGTTCCTCCTCGGCGACGCGATTCTCGTTACACCGTGCCTGGAGCAAGGTGCCACGACTGTGGATGGAGTGTTCCCCGGAGTGGGCTCTGGCACGATCTGGTATGACTGGTATAACCAGACAGCTATTACGGGTGTCACAGCTGGCCAGAATGTAACCATCGACGCACCTCTCGGCCATATTCCTGTCTACATCAAAGGTGGTAAGGTGTTGCCCCTTCAGGAGCCCGGCCTGACCACCACCGATGTCCGGAACAGTCCGTATAGTCTCTTGATTGCCCTCGACGGAGACGGCAAGGCAAGTGGTGGGCTGTATGTTGATGATGGTGAAAGCCTGAAGCCAGAGAGCATCTGGGTTGACGTAAGTCGCGCTTCTCTACAAACCCTTTAGCCATCCAAACCAAAGGAAAATGCTAATTCCAGGGCAGTTCGAAGCAACTTCCAGCAGTATTAAAGCTAAACCTAATGGCACCTTTGTCGAAACCAACGCCCTCGCCAACATCACTGTCCTGGGTGTTGAGGGCAATGTGTCGAAGGTTCAGTTGAATGACCAGGATGTCGGGTCGGTCTTCGCATTTGACGCCAACGCGCAGAAGCTGAGTATTACTGGACTTCATGAGCTGACGAAAGACGGGGCATGGGGTCGGGAATGGACCCTCACTTGGAACTAGAAAGGGGAGTGTATAATGAAGATTTGATACAAATTGGCATAGTATGTAGATGAACGAAGTCTCACATACTGCTCAAAAATATGTCTTGGAAGTTCCACACGCGGGTGACTTGCCGTGCAGGCTTAAGCCGTGTTGAGTATAGCCCTACTCCAGGCTTGGTAGTTTGTACTGATGAATCCACGCCGAGACTTTATTACACAGTATAGCGTCGCTGGTGTCCGAAAGCGCCGCGTTGGGGGGCGGGTTTACGCGTTTAGGGAGGGCCGCGATAGCAAATCATGTGGAGAGGGGTTATCGGTCCTCCGAAGTCAGCCAGCGGGGTGACCATGTACCGGGGGTCAGCTTACAACTTCCAGAAGGGTATGATCCATAGCTTTTCTATATATCATGTGCTCAGCGTTTGAACGATCCGTGGCGGCCTTGTCTCGAATATCTGCACTCACAATCTCTCACTACCCGCATCCTACATCCACACATGGTCAATAGGATCTAATTTATAGACAACATGGTCGAGATCAAAGAGCTTACCGTGGCGCAAGCCCACGATGGATTCAAATCTGGCAGTTTTACAGCAAAAGACCTCGCAGCGGCGTTTCTGGACCGCATCGCGCAGTTGGACAAAGCCGGACCGCGGATTAACGCCATGATGGCTATGTCAACTACTGCTTTAGAAGACGCTGCTGTGCTCGACGAGTACTTTAGAAAGACCGGCCAGTTCAAAGGACCACTACACGGGATTCCTATCGTAGTAAAGGACCAGGTAGCTTAACCCCTGGTTACTACGAGACCTCGCCCTTCCAAGGCTTCGACTGACTGACCCGGTGGACTAGGCCGACACAAAGGGCATGGTCACAACCTACGGCTCTGCCGCAACCAAGAACAACGTGCCCGACGAGGACGCCGTCGTGGTCACAAAGCTGAAGGAGGCCGGCGCCGTCGTGCTCGGCAAGACCACGGTCGCCGAGTGGGCGTGCGTTTGGTTTAGTGCCAACGGCGCAACGGACTACGAGTTCACTAAGAACCCGTACAACCTCGCGCACGACGTCGGCGCGTCCTCCGGGGGATCGGGAGCCGCGCTGGCGGCCAACTTTGCCATCTTGGCCGTGGGCGAGGACACTGGCGGGTCCATCAGAGTACCTAGCTCGTTCTGTAACCTGGTTGGAATCAGGGTGACACCGGGCCTGATCTCGCGGACGGGCTTTTGCCCCCTGGTCAAGAACCTGGACACACCCGGGCCAATGGCGCGGACAGTGACCGATTGCGCACTGATGCTGGACTCCATGGTCGGCTTCGACCCGAAAGATGGGTTTACCGGCTTCGCGGCCACGGCCGCAGCTCTCGGCCTCCCTCGTGGAGGTAGCTACACTGCGTACCTGGAGGAAGGCCCATCCAAGATAGCGAAAGCCAAGGTGGGTGTCGTGCGGCAGCGGTTCGGGTCAGACTCAGATCCCCTGTGCAAAGCCGTCAACACCGTCATGTCTTCGGCGATGGCGGCGCTCGCCGCCGCCGGCACCACGTTCGTGGACGTAGAGATCGAGGACCTGGAGCACCTCCTCGACCGCGCACAGACATACTACCAGCGTTCACGCGCCGATATCAACGCCTTCCTGGCCACGAAGCCACACCTGCCGCAGGACGTCGCCGACATGGTCCCCCTCAGCCACCCCGACAAGCCGTACATGGACTTTGTCTGCGGTGTGGCGCACGGGCCGACCGACCCCGAGACGGACCCGAGCTACGCGGGCCGGATCCTGGCCGGGGACGAGCTGCGGCGGCGGGTGAACTGCGCGCTGGCGGCCCAGGGGCTGGACGCGCTGGTGCTGCCGGACGTGCAGGTGCCGGCGCCGCAGCAGGCCGATGCGACCAACGAGCGCTTCGCGGGCAAGGCGTTCCCGACCAACACGTTCCTGGCCAGCCTGGCCCGGCTGCCGGCGGTAAGCGTGCCGGCGGGCTTCACGACGGCAGAGCAGGGCACGCTGCCGGTCGGCATGGAGTTGGTCGGGCTCGAGTTCCAGGAGCAGAACTTGTTGGAGCTGGCTAGGGGCGTAGAAGTATTGATCGGGGCGCGGAGGCCACCGCCGGAGCTGTGAGCGAGTGGTAGAACTGAGTTACCATAGAGAAAAAGAGACTTTCGTGCGAGTTGAGTTGAAATCAGATATAGCTCGTCCATCTCTTCAGTTGTGGTTGTTACGTGACCTCGTCTGAACTATAGACATGCCATGGCGGCCTAGTTCCCGTCTCTCGCGCGCCCTATGTACGCTCACCGGACAGACGTGAAACCCCGAAGTCGGGAAAGTGTTCTCCATGGTCCGCTCGGGTCTGCTATCATCACGTTACCGCACTGTCGCTGGACAGGCTCCATCAGTTTAGATGCAGCTGAATGCATAGGCACTTATTCAGGTATTTACCAGGTATGTATGCAGCAAGCTCATTTGCGTGCCAACCTGCCACTACATCTGAGTTTTAAGTTAACTCTAAGTAGTTGGTCGAGGCCCTGGCCGTGCTACTGAAGATTCCCTGTCGGCCCCGAAATTACCATCCAATGAGTGCGGGGAATGCCCTCGGTCCAGGAGGACAGGGGGCCCACCTGGGTACGGCGGCGCGACTCAAGCTCACAATGCTCCAGGGGGGCACCCCCCTTGGACGCGGTGCTGACCCCAGCGGAATCTCCAGTTAGCCTCCCTTTCTTCCGGGTGTGCCTGGCGTGGTCAAGTTGGCATGTCGACCTTGCATTGAGCGGTTTTTATTTTCTCTTGCTTCACTCGTACTCGCGTTGGCATTTTCAACAGGCTCGGCGCCTTGCCCTTCGTTCCCGTGGCCCTCGTCTGGCCAGTTTCAGTCGTTCCTCAAGTCTCGATCTGTGCCATCACGCAACGACTCGACTCGACATTGCCAATCGTTCCGGAAACCCCTCTGGGACCGTGTAATAATAATCGTAATAACACCAAGCCCTTCGAGCGAGCTACATTGGACGGGGGCCACGATGCTTTCGACATCTTCACTGGCTGCCATTGCCATGTTGGCGTCTGCCGCGGCAGCTGTGCCGAACGTCAAGGCCCGAGCTACCGATGCTGAATCACTCACGCCCTGGGTCACTGTCGGCGACAACGGCACGCCCGTGACCATCACGCCCGTTCAGACGACCATTGACGGTACCGCCACGGTCATCTCTGGCGCGCCGCACGACCTGACCGGCACCGTCTTCACGCAGACCAGCTACGGCGAGATAACCACGAGCACAGGCACAGCGCCTGCCCCGACCGCTACCGCAGCCGATGGCTCCGGATCCTTCCTGAAATGCAACAACAAAGATGGGGCCAATGCGCCTTGGTGTAGGCCCGACGAGGGCGCAATCATGTATCCCGGCACTACCTACTACCGTTCGTCCACCCAGCTACCTCCTCGGGTAATCTCTCTTGGGTGGCATGATACTGACCCTGATTCTACAGTCACCTGGGACAGCACCTACTTCACCCCCAATACCACCGTCACGGTGCAGGGCAACTACTTGAATGCCACGACTGGCGAAGTTACCAGCCAGGCCTTCGAATCCGACAAGATGGTGGCCACCTGGGGCTACTGGAAACTGGCCGCCACCTCGGATCTCATGCAGGGCCAGTCGGCCATGAACATCTCGCTGCAGATCGTCGCTCTGAATACCACGACAGGAACCAGGAGCACGTTTGTCAAGGGACCGACCATCCAGATTGCCAATGTACCGACGTACCACAAGGCGCCTGCGGCACCGCCGAGTGGCGCCGCCCTGTACATTGCTCTGCCGACTGTGTTCGGTTTCATCATCTTGTGTGTAGTCGGCGGCTGTCTCTGGAACCGCAAGACGCGCAAGATCGAACTAGGCAATGTCATGTCGCGCAGCCGCCACGGCTTCGGCCTCGGCAAGCCTCGCGCCGGTCTTAGCCAGCGGCGCAAGGAGAGAAAGGCGGCCGAGCGAGTTCAGCTCATGGAGAGGGAGATTGCCGCAGGTGGCGGCCAGGTGTACCGAGACCAGCCGGATTGGATTGACATCCCCAGACGCGATAGCGATGCGCTGGGCAGCTTGGCCGGGACCCCGACCGACGAGCGCTTTCACCAACCCGGTGCGCGCGATGGAAGTGCGAGGCCTCAGGCTGGAGCAGAGAGAAACTACTTCCGGGATGAGTTGCACAGACAGGACGAGGACCGACGCTAGGAAGTCCCGAATGTGCCCAGAGGCGGATCTGATAGGCCATAGGGGAAAAGAGCGGATTGTAGCGTCCTCGATAGCATGGGATGTTGGACACTGAGGGCCCGGTGGCATATCTTCAATACCGAGTCAGAAGTCTCATCGAACTAGACACCACCCATGATCTGGCCTGAGGTAGAAGTGTATTCGATGAATTCGGCTTTGTCACTAGCTGGCCGCACTGCCTGTATCAGAGGGGGTGCAGCACCATATGGCTTTGCGTCGCCTGGATATGGCACTTAACGACGGTGGTGGTTGCCGTGGTGACGAAAATAGAGAGTATCTCGCCGCAAGTAATGAATGATAATGGACAAGCCAATATCGAAAAGGCCACTGTGGTATACAGTTCAAACCCCCATGGTTTGGCTGGCACTACAGGCCGAGGGAGAACGTCGTGCATAGAGCTGATTAATGGGTGAGCCTCAACGTGCACCCTGGCTCAACCTTGTGGGCCCACCCCGAATTCTTCCTATAATAATCTACACAGCCATGGGCTCTCGGAAGCGGGCTGTGCATCTTTTAGACACCTCCCGGTTTTGGTCTCGTGAATCCCATTTAGCAAAATTCCTCAACATCTGTCGCAGCCATGTAACGGAGCAAATTTGCCAAGAGGTGGCCGTGGAAAGGTTAAACACGGAGTGGGTTTCGGCATGCACCGGGCTAACGCAGGCAAGCTGGAGGTTGGCCTGGTGCCAGACCCAGAGGTCTGCTTGGCACCCATTGGAAGTTGAGCCCGAGGTGGGCCAGGCCATCCATCGAATCATTAACCTCCTAAACTCGGGGGCGTAACGGTCGTTTCATTCATTATAAGCCTCAAGCGCCGACTCTGGCTCAACTCGCCTTGGATTTCCCTGACCTCCCAAGGCCACTCACTGGGTCGACTTACATGTGCCATCCATAATGACTGGGCAGAAGTGCATCGTCGTCGGCGCCGGTCCGGTCGGATCCCTGGCCGCACTTTACGCTGCGAAACGAGGACAGGATGTTGAAATCTATGAGCTGAGAAGCGGTAAGTCCGAACTGCGAGCCCATGCGATATAGGCCCAGCCATATAATATCCACTTCACAACCCTATACTGCAGCTTGTTCCCCACGGAAGACAGGGAACAATCACTGCATCGATCCGCCGAAGAACTGTGCCGCGGCGCCGCATGCAGTAGGAAAAGCCCCACGAGAGCTGCGTCTGCACGATGAAACGCCATACCCACCATCATCCAGCCCAATGTCCCTGCATGTACGAAGAATACCTTGTACTGATGGAGCTGCAGACCTTCGCGATCCGTCCACCACTCCGCTGAATTTCACAAAGTCCATCAATCTTGCCCTCTCGGAGAGGGGCATCAATGCCATGCGCCATGCTGGCTCGGACAAGCTCCTTCAACATGTTCACTCGGCCACCATCCCCATGAGAGGACGCATGATCCACGGAAGGAAGCCCACGGGGGAGTTGTACGAGGAGCCCCAGGACTACGATATCCATGGCAGGGTGAGCCCATAGACTCTGCGACACGGCCATTTTGGCACAGACACTGACCCATCCACCAGACAATCTTCGCCGTTGACAGGGCTGACCTCAACAAGCGGCTGCTGGACATCCTAGAAGAGATGCCCAACGTCAAGTTGTTCTTCAACCACAAGCTTACGGGCGCTGATTTCAGGCAACGGAAAGCTTGGTTCGAGACCCGTAGCGCGCCAAACGGCGACGCCTCGACCCGCCCGGACGAGATCGAAGTCAGCTTTGACTTCATGCTGGGTGCCGATGGCGCACACTCGGCAGTCAGATACCACCTGATGAAGTACGTCCGGATGGATTACCAGCAAAAGTACATCGACACTATATGGTGCGAGTTCACGATTCAGCCCAAGGACGTCGGCCCCTCCGATGATCCGATGGCCAAGTTCAGGATCTCGCCAAACCACCTCCATATCTGGCCTGGGAGGCAGTTCATGTTCATCGCCATCCCGAGCGAGGTGCGGACACCGAACCGATGCCATGGTTTTCCTAGCTAACGGACCAGTAGGACGGTACTTTTACATGCACCTTGTTCATGCCTAGTAGCAATTACGCGGAGTTGGAGGCCGACCCGTCCCAGCTGCCCAGCTATTTCGACCGCTATTTCCCAGGAGTGACCTCATTGATCTCCCCGAGCGATCTTGTGTCTTCTTTCAAAGCAAACCCGCATCTACCCCTAATCAGCCTCAAGTGTACGCCATACCACTTCTCGAGCTCGGTCGTCGTCCTCGGTGACGCGGCACACGCCATGGTTCCCTTCTACGGCCAGGGAATGAATGCAGGCTTGGAAGACGTCTACACGCTGTTCTCCGTCCTGGATAAGCACAGCGTGGAGGAAACCAACAACCCGGTCAACCCATCAGTTGTCGACCCTGCCATACAGCGAGCATCGGCCCTTGCTGAGTACTCGGCGATTCGCACGCCCGATGCTCACGCCATCAACGACCTCGCTCTGCAGAACTACATTGAAATGCGTGCTTCTGTTCTGTCACCCGCCTATCGATTAAGGAAGGCCCTGGAGGAGTGGCTGTCCGTCTATGTGCCCAGCCTGGGCTGGCAAACCAAGTATTCGCGCGTCAGTTTCTCTAATGAGAGATACTCCGAGGTCATTGCGAAGAGTGATCATCAAGGCAGGGTCCTGGTACGTGTGCTGAAAGTGCTGCTGTTCGGCTCTGTCACAGCTACCGTGGTTGGGCTTCGCTGCTGGAAGAACCCTAAGTTCTTCAGGAGGATGTTTAGTAGTTTCCAGGGATTCCTGAGGGGTGTCAAAGGTTGAAGCATAGCGGCGGAACATGTGTATATTATCTTTCGACTTATGTGTCGGCTGTTCGCCCTAGCCTGTCTCGTCTCTATTCCATCGGCATCGCGGCTGTGTCGCTACCATGCATTCACCGCAGCATAGCAATTTCAGGGCTGCTCACCGCACGCCCAACAGGTCAATGGACCGCATCTTCCCTGCAGCGTGTAAGACGGTTGAAACAGAAGGTGGATCGATGTCTCCCCACGTGGCAACGAAGAGAGAGAGGACATGGAGGAGCTGATTTGCCCTGCATGCAGCGTAGAATGGATAAAGTTGCGGCAAAGGAGCGTTTGGGGAGTCTCGTCTCTGACGGTCTTTGTCACTAAGTTCCGAGTCTCTGCTTCTGTAAGCACGCTCCACTGCTGCTTACACGCTAAGTTAGGCCTCCTTGGCATGCGCTGGATTTCGTAGCCCAGCTCGCCAGCCTCTGAAATAACCATATCGAGTGGGCTCGCCAATTTCGCTTCAGCGAATCAAGCAGCGCTTGGGGTCGCTGAAACCCGCTCGTAGGGCGGCACAGCACCCAACGGACCGGGCCAAGGAGCTGAAAATAGCACACAGCCCACCCCGACCTGTGAGAAAAAACGCGGGTCGCGCCCAGGCATGCTAATTTCTTACATATATCACTCGCGTCGGGTGGAAAGCATGCGGTCGGAGAGGGGAAACTTATTCTGCCTTTTAAACATCCGCTAGGGTCCTCTCAGCCGTCGCAAGTTTCTGGTTGCCCTTCAAACACTGCCTACGAAGTTCGTCCTCGTCGCGGCATCTCTGGGATAATAAGGGGATCAGAAACACCACGACCACCTGTCGAGTCCAGCTTTGCTCTTATACATCTACTCCCCCACAATGCGCCGGTACGAGGGCATCTGGCGAAAGGCACAGCTGGTGCCCTGCTGGGTCCTCCAGTGCCTTGCGTCCGGCATCTTCTTGATCGCCGCGGGCCTATTGATCGCAGCCGCGGCCTATGTGTCCCAGCACAGCGTTGACAGCGACTACACGTACTACGGCTACACGGCCGACGATCTCGCCAAATTCGCCGCCATCAGCGGCGGCGTCATCTTCGCCTTGGCCATCATCACCATCATCTTCGACATCATCGAGTGTGTGCTGTACGCCCGCCGCACGCTCAGTCCCGTCCTCCTTCTGGTCTTTGCCGTTTTGAAGACCTTGGCCTGGGGCGTCTACTTTGTCCTGGCCATCATCGCCGCCGCCAGCGGTACCTTCAGCTGGGTCGACTTCCTGCTCAGCCTGGTCCTTGTCGCAACGAGTCTGGTGCAGCTCGTCTTCGGCGCCAAGAACACGCACCGCAAGCGCAAGGGCACCCTGGACAACCGAGGCAACTACAAGGCCGCAACGACCGGTCATGTGGAGGGGCAATACGCAGGTGTTCAGTACCCGCCATCCTACCCGCAGCCCTACAACCCGGCTCCGTACGCCGGAAACAACTTGAACCCCAATCCTTTCAACGACAGCACCTATAGGTCGCCGAGCCCGGCCCCTTCGTACAACCAGCAGCCTGCGCAAACCGCTTACGGATATGCTGGCCAGCAGGGTGTTGAGATGCAGCCGCAGAAGCCAGCACACTATCAATGAGCTTTGTGACTATGTCTAGCTGCAAGGCTATTCGAGGTGCGATTGGACCTTCATGTATTTGTATGGGCAATGGCATACGCAGCAGTCAAGCACGGCTTAAGTATTGTTGACGCACCTTGGCACTTCTCCCAACACCCCATTTTGCCACTCTTGCAGAAGACGGCAGTGCTCACGTGTTTGGAGCTATGACTTGTTGTCCCCTGAGGTGGGCGGTTCTGTATATAATGATGGAAATGTATAATGCACTGTTGATGAATAAAAATACGTCTTACATGTTGCCTACTTCGGTCTTGTGGGTTTCCGCCATGGGCTGAGTGAAAACTCGCAATTACAATCTTGTCTACATTGGTAAGTATTCACGAGGCTGTATTTGCTGTTTTGATTCCATTACACCACCCGGTTTTTTATGTACCGCCGCACCGAGCTCCACCCAGGATTACGTACCATCATTTTTTCCCAACTCACGACTCGAGCGCAATCTTTCCGACCAGCTTCCGGCCTTCATTACTCCCTTGGATCCACTCCTGTGGCGCAAACAGCTCAAACATGCCGACCTTCCTGAGGAGTGGAACTGCCGTACGGATTGCCTCTTCCAGTCGCGCTGTCGCGGCCGTGTCTCCGGATGAGAGAGCTGCGTTGTATGCTTTGATATTGACAAGTAGAGCTCTGATAGGCCGACTGGCTCATTAGTTGATTGACTCGTCACTATGGGGTAGAACAGTTCGCCATGGGGAGCGTATATGACACCATGCACAATCATCCAAGGGTAACTCGCCCGACTGTGCCCGTCTGCACTTTGCTCCCATCCGGCAGTGTGATCTCGGGCATCGTGACGCCGAGGGTGGCGGAATTGAGAGAGGCGAGATTTGAGTCGGACATAATTTGTTGCGTCGGGAAGAGGTGTGGTCAATATGTGATCTACTTTGTGTATAGTGTGTGAAAAGACAGGAACCAAGTAAAGAGTTTTTGAACTGGCGTGCCTGGAGTCTATAAATCATGGGCCGGGCCGGCTGCTGACTGTTGCCATGGGGCCGGTGGTGCGATTGCGGGTCATATCCAATGGCACCGTGCCGGTTCGCCGGTGGGCATATGGCCAGGTTTCGGAGCCCGCGGGAGGTTGTGTCATTCTTCACTCAGCAAATCCAAGGGCGGCAGCAGACTCCATATCCACGTCTAGGCATAAATGCCTAAAAGTATGTACTTGTCAGATCATTGCAGTGTTCAGTATCCTCGGTCCAGTGATTTCGGGAGACTCTCAAGGGTGTGGCATATATCCGGTCCGGTCGGGTCAGCCGGGATAACTCTTTGAGTAATAGTCATTGGAGGAGTAACTTGAACTCGGAGTGCCCGATATCCAGTTAATCAAATCAACGTGGCTCTCATCAGGCCGCTCTCGCATTTCGCCTCCCGCATGCGTGTATCTGCGAAGATCTGCCAACTACAGGTGCTCTACTTTATCTTGAGCTTCGAGGCTGTTACCAATTGTTACCAATAGGGTCGACGTTAGCACTACCCCGGACTTGGCCCCCTCGCATGAACTCTCCACTTAGTGTATTATTGCCGGGAGGTTCATAACCTCCGAGTCAGCCAAGTGCGTTCCAGAAAGCTTATTGTGTAAGAAACAAGTCCCGGATTGCCTATTCCAGCTTCCCGGCCTAAGCAAACCCCCAGGATATACTTTGTTCGAGCCCTCTTCTCCGCACGCGGGGCCCCGCACCACCCACCCAGATCGTGGGTGCACTGCCGTTGATCTAGGTTGCTTGCATGGTGATATCGTCATATCAATCCAAGAAGCCGGTACTATTTTATTACCTCGTATGGCCAGTATTGTCGTCGGGAAGTTTCTATCTCGTGACACTATATATCGAGACCCAGGGACACGACCCTCGAGATCAAGCCTCCCTTCATTACTGTAGTACATGCTGTACAAAATCTGCCACTATGAAGCCCTACTACGGCCTTACAGGGACGAAGCTGAATATTGCCATCGCGATCATTGCTGGCACTGATTTTGCTCTATTTGGATATGACCAGGTATATGATAATTGTAATAACTGACGGGTACTCTCTGCTGACCTAAAGTTAACAGGGTGTTATGGGAGGGCTGTTGACTCTCCCTTCATTCCTACGAATTTTCCCCGAGATTGACACGCAGCACCCACCCGCTGGAAGTAATGCTAGCCAGACTTCCAATGTCCAAGGTAGGGCCGTTCTTGCGTATGGTGAACCTCTTGATGAACCTCTTGCTGATCACCAAAGGCATCACCGTTGGTGCTTACACCCTTGGTTGCTTCTTCGGTGCTGTGGCGACTATATGGCTTGGAAACCTTCTTGGCCGGAAGAGAACAATTTTCACAGGATCATCGATCATGATAGTTGGTGCTGCTATTCAGACTTCCTCATTCACCCTGCGTCAGCTTATAGTTGGTCGTTTGATCACTGGATTTGGTATGTGCTCAAAGCCAACATCACTAAAGTAGCAGGCATGTTGTTAATAAGCATCAGGGAATGGGATGAACACTTCCACAGTACCAACGTGGCAGTCAGAAACATCAAAAGCTCATCGCCGAGGCCAAATGGTCATGATAGAAGGATCGCTGATTGTGTTTGGTGTGATGCTGTCTTATTGGATTGATCTCGGTTTCTCCTTCCTTGAGCCCTCAACTATATCTTGGCGCTTCCCCATTGGGTTCCAGATTCTACTTGCGCTGTTTATTGTCATTATGATCCCAGGATTACCTGAATCTCCTCGGTGGCTGGTCCTGAAGGGGCGTGATGAAGAGGCAGTGAGAGTGCTCTGCGCGCTATCTGAGCTCCCTGAAGATGATACCAGGATCCAGAACGAGTATAAGGAGATGAAAGACGTCGTTTTCGAGATGAGCAAGGGAAGTTTCGGTGATTGCTTCAAGAGAAATAAGAATAGGCAAGTGGACCTCATTTCACTGTGAGTTCGCATCTTTCTGACAAGCCGGTGTGATTATAGAAATCTACACCGAACTATACTGGCTTATGTCAATCAGATGTTCCAACAAAGTAGGTTCCTCATACTTGAAACACGAGCATCCATATTCCCCTCTCCCTTCCGATAAGAACACTCATTACGGTCCCTTCCACCCCAACGATTGTATTCACAAGATGCTTCCCTTGGGATTTGCACGCTGGTGCGAGTTTTAAATACTTACTTTCTGATGAAAAGGACTATCTTCTAACAATCGGTTTTAGTATCCGGTATTAATATCATCACCTACTATGCTGCTACAATTTTCGAAAACAACATCGGGTTGAGCGGGTTTCTCAGTCGATTACTTGCTGCGTTGAACGGGACAGAATACTTTATCGCTTCGTGGGTAGCCATATTCACCATAGAGAGGTTCGGCCGAAGAGGTCTCATGCTATTCGGTGCCATAGGGCAAGCATGCTCAATGGCAGGTAAGTGCGATCCCAGAATTTCCCAATGATGCAACACACAATGAATCCGACATTCTCGAGTAGAAGAGCCCACACGACTTGCCCGTGTCTCTGCTAACAGATTGATATCAAAGTTCTCGCCGGTACCACGTCCTCTGTGACCACTAGTTCAGGAATCGCGGCCGCCGTGTTCCTATTCGTCTTCAATTCCTTCTTCGCAATAGGATGGCTGGGCATGACATGGTTAGCTTTTCTCCTTTCATCACAAGCATATGGCAGATCTGACCATACCTATGTAGGCTGTATCCAGCTGAAATTACACCGCTGGCTATCAGAGCCCCTGCAAACGCAATATCTACTACCGCCAACTGGATATTCAATTTCATGGTAATACATTCCTGGACTTGCATCAAATCATCACATGCTGACTTTCCAGGTTGTCATGGTAACTCCAGTTGCGTTCGCCAACATTCAATGGAAGACCTACGTCGTCTTTGCTTGCATAAATGCCTTCATGGTTCCCTGCGTGTACTTTTTCTTTCCGGAGACAGCTGGCCGCTCTTTGGAGGAGATGGATGAGATCTTCCACGACATACATGGTATCAGGGGCGCGTTTGATGTCGTACGTGTCGCCAAGACCAAGCCCAGACGCTACGGCAAGCACGGTGAGCTCTTGATCAACTACGAAGAGACAGCTGAGGCGCACCACGTTGCAGAGCGTAGGCGATCCAGCGTTGCAGCCGCCCAGGATGCTGAAAAAGCCCACGCGGAGCATCATAACGGGGGATCCTAGGTCAAACACATCAGAGTCGGCATTCGGTATATATCTACCGAAAGGTGTGGGAAAAGGCCGAACAATATAGGGAGAAGCAAGACCGGGATATTGAGACAACATAGCTTAGAGCGCAGGCACTACGAGGTTTTCAATGCGGTAAAACAGAGTATGGTAAAGTTATCAACGCAAGCAGGTATTAAGAAAATCACAAGTCATACAAAAGACGCTGGCGTGCACACAAGCGATAAAGCGCCGTATGCCATTAGTTGCATACAAGAATGTATATGTCTCTGGACGCGCAAGTTTACTATGTACCGCACCGCCCAAATCTTGGGGATTGTGTTAGGGTATTAGTGGAAATATCGATCTTGATCAGTATGTGTAGAGTTGGAGGCTCCCAGGACCAGTTATGTGAACCACTTGCTGAAACATCTTTTCTCATAATGATAAAGTCAACTTGCAGACGATGAGACTGGCCCCAATTGGGTTGTGATGAATTAGGCACTCCAGCAAGACCCTCAACCCCGGCTGCGCCGTTCCGCCCTTCCTCTAAAGAGTTTGAATGAGAAAATGTAATTCACCATTCTATTAGTTCGGTATGATATCTTCAAAGTATCAAGACGAGAATAGTTTATACAACCGCAGACCAGTTTTGCTAGCGTATATCGATACAGCAGGATGTGGAGCAAGGTCGAATGGTGGGAGCTAATACTAAAAGAGTCATGGATTTGGATAAGCGCAAAGATTACAATTAACCAGTTGCTCGGCTAGCTCAGTTGGTTAGAGCGTCGTACTAATATCTCCGTTTCGGAAATATCAAGTTTATGCGAAGGTCCTCAGTTCAATCCTGTGGCTGAGCAAGTCTTTTTCGTTCAATTTTTTTTTTGTTCGCACTCAATTTCAGGCCGACTTTGAACTTGTCCTGGCCGTGCATGTATCAGCCGGCCACTTTGTTCATAAATAAAACTCTTGTTTATTTACTCTACAGTGTTAATCAAGTGTCTGTCTTTTTGGACTAGTTAAATTACTCCCCAAGTCAGGCTAGGTTGGAGGTCCAATTTCAACTGTTGAGAAGATCCAGCAAGACAAGCAAGCATGCAGGCAATGTTGTGAATTCTCACAGGCTGCGTTTCTCACGCTCTACGAACATTCAGAATGCAGTTCGATGTGGACAACTCGGGCTGGGTCCAAATAATTTATTATTTATTATGGCAGCGTTGCGTTCATCGCATTTCATTCAGTTTCTTTGCGCATGGATGAATCTTGTCCATGTGTAATGCCTCTTGATGCTCCTTTGATCGGGTGACTACTTCGCAGGTTGGATCGATTGAGGGTAATATATAACTTCATTGGGATCGTATGCTGCCTTGATCTTCTGCAGCCTTGGCAGATGTGAGCCCCAATAATTTTTCTGCGCCGTTGTGCGGTTCATAGTCGGATCCTACGCAAAATATTTTAGAACAAAGGCCAGGGAGTAGGTATACAGAAGAACAATAAGACAAAGAGGTTGTGATAACCACTTACCGCATAGTTGATGTACATGCCCCACTGCTCAGGCTTTAGGTTACTGGTGAATGCATTGACCCAGCCATCGAGGAATGAGAAACCATTACTTGGGTATGATCCAAAGTTGACACGATCGTAGAACTCATACAGAAATAATTTATCCCGTGGCTGATATGAAGTTGCATTGGCAGCTACCGCGGGTATGGCTCCGTATTTACCGCCATGCATGTCGATGATCAAATACCAATCTCTGCTCTGTGAGCGCGCAGTACTGAACCAGTAATTTGTTGCTGCCGTCATGGCCGCTGCAGGCAAAGCGGAGGTCGCCAGGGACTTTGAATAGAATGTTTCGTGCTGAGATACGTCAGTTGCAGAAATGTCTTCAGCCCCTTGGGTCAGCATACCATATTGTAAGGATGCGACACGTCGACAGGGTCGCCGTTATCGTATGCGGCAAAGCCGCCCGGCCAGTCAGTTTGCCGCGATTGGCTTAGGGATGCCCCGAGAGAGCTCATAAGGGGTTGTATAGCTGACTGTAGTTGAGACGGGCTGCCAAAGTATAGACCCTGCAGATTGGTACCATAGCTGTTGACGAAGAGACGGAAGTTCATCTCGGCTGGCATAGTGTTCTGCGCATAGTCCTGGATCTTCGTCCAACCACTCGCAGCAGCTGAAGCACTACCCCATCCCAATTGTGAATTGAACACTGTCACCTGTGATGGCGCAGCGAAGGTGTTGAACTTGAACGATGTGACGACACCGAAGCTGGATCCGGCACCTTTAAGCGCATACAGAAGATCGGGATTCTCGGTCTCCGAAGTGTTGACTACAGTTCCATTCGCGAGGACAACGGTGGCCCCAACAATCCAGTCCAGAGCTAATCCATGTGTGTGTGAGCTAAAGCCGAACCCTCCGTGGAGAGCATGTCCAGCGATGCCGACTCTGGTAACACAAGTTAGACCTATTAGCTAGTCGGTGTCTATATAACCACTCACCCTGGACAAGTTCCATGACTGATTGCACGTTTCCCTTGTGCATACAGCGCGGTGAAAACATGTCCTAGCCTTGCGCCAGCTTGGATAGTGGCAATATTGGTCGTTGAGTCTACGGTGACAGCATACATGCGATCAAGCTCGATCATAAGGTGTCCGTCCTCTCCACCAATGCCAAAAGAGGCATAGCTATGCCCACCACCTTTCGGGCTGACTTTCAGACCAGTCTTGACCGCACAGGACACTGCAGCCTGTACATGGGCCACCGTAGTAGGGACAGCAATAGCAGCAGGCGTGAATGGTACCCTATTATTGAACGGCGCGACATCACTGTTCCAGTCGCTAGACCCCTTTGCATCCACTGGCACCGAGGCTGCCTTCAGACAATCATCTATTGCGGCAGCATTAGTCAAGATAGCCAAGCTACTCAACGCAAGTGGTGAGAAGATCCGCATATTGAGTACTTTTCGTTACTTCGAGCCCTAGATAGTGACTAAGACCGTTTGTTTCAATCTCGGGGCGATGGATGGGGTTGTCTGACATTCGAGGGCCTTGCTTCCTAATATACCCCAAAGCTCTGGGCAACGAGGATTACTCCATTGAGGCTATACTTTACTTTTGTGCTTACTTAGTCTGGGCTCCTGTGGCCCGGCTAATCTAGATTTTCTTACAGCTAAATCACTCTCCGCACAAATCTGACACGAATGGCCGAGAAATTGGCTTTCCTGGGAAAATGTCGTGATGTGCCACGGGGAGATATCACCTGGCTAGTGGGGCATCCCACGTTGCATGATGCAGTGGAACAGAACCCCATGGGGAACGTAGACCCTTCAGCGTGCGCACGTGGATGCCGGGAACTCCATGACAGACCGCCGGCAAGAAGTAATGGTTCGACTTTCCGCAAGGAGCGATAAGTAGTCAAGTACAGAGGTGAAATTGTGCATGTGACCAAACCACCTCTGTTGGTATACCTAGTTTTCCCACGCGGATAGCAGGTCCGGGGAACATCAACATAGCCGCCGCCAATTCATGTACTTACTCAACAACGCTAGAGTTTCTTGGGTCTCTCAACCCAATATTATGAAAATGTCCCATGCACCTTAAATTAGTCCCCAGGGCGACGCTCGGAACCCGGCAACTAGGACCTGTCTAGATCGCCGGGTGTTGCATCACGACAATAGGCTAAACTTGATTCGCCGGAATTTATCGCAGGAAGCCGCAGCCCCCAAGAGGTCATCTTGGTAGAAAATAATTACTGAGAGTGTGGTCTACTGGACGGGCATAACGAGAGGTACATACAAATGTTGTTTTGGTGTACACTCTGGGTTTTTCCCACTTGTTTTGTGTCGATGGCCCGGTTTCCCGCGTACGGCCGGAATTATCAACTTACCTTTTCAAGGCCTTGGGATAATATCTGCCAAAATTCTGTGTGCCAAGCAGTAACTTGTCTGCCAAAGAAGGAAAGACTCGCAAAAGTCTTTCATAGCTCATACACTTCCGCTATCCATTTTGACATCTTACATTAAGGAAGGTCCCTATTCCCGTCACAGTGTTAAAACAAATCCCCATGTGACGGATCAAACTCAGTACTGAAAGGCATGAATATTCCCATGAGACAGATTGGGGAACGGCTTGGACTCGCAAGGCCTTTCGTGGAAACCAGTGACTGTTATGCGTGTCACAGATCTTCAAGCTTGTAGTTTTTCTCGACTTATATCATCTGCTAGCTGAAAATTCGAGATGACGGTGATGACTGCTTTCACTTGGTATCCCAAAGGGAAGACATGCCCGATGCTGAGTTGTGCACATTGATACGGCGCCAAGGCTGCCACAAGGCTATTGGTATAATCTAGGACACCTGGACATAGATTTGAAAATAGAGTTGAACCTATTACAAGTATCTCCATTCACTCGCTTCGTACTGTGCGTAATGGTATATATCTGTGTTAAGGTGCAGTTGTTAACTACCAATGTAACTCAAAGCAATGATTTAATCACCACCGTTCTTGCTACTGGTGCGAAGAAAATATCATGGCAGCAAGCCTCAACAGTTCTAATCAGCCCCCGATCAGCAGCCTCGATGCAATGCTGCTGTCGAAGCAATCTGCAATGAGCGCTTCGCGGATCGCGTATAACCCGGCTAGAGCACGCTCACTCCAAGCGTTGTTAGCGAGGATAGTGCTGCTGTCCCCAGTTATGTTGAAACTCTGACGGCCATAGCAACAGGATGAACCGCTACAAAAACTGCTCCAAGGACAACATCATAGGGGCCGGAGCAGCAGCAGCACATCGGGTACTGCATCGTCAAACACCAACACTTCTTCTGCCAACCTTTGTTACCATCAGCTAGCTTGAATGGTTTTGATTACACTTAGATACTTTTCTAAAGGGCACATGGCTCCGAAGAACCTTGAATCATCCTTAGAATAGGAAATCAAAGTCGCTAACAATTATTACCGTCCAAGACCTCTTCTTTGAACTATTAAGAATACTATAATTCCATTATTTATTTATCATACATATCAAAGGGGTTCAACTAGAACATGTCATCTGGAATTATGCATCACGACGTTGTCCCTTACAATTCGAGGGTACCGAATGCTACATCCAGCTGCAGCCCATGACCATTGCCCACCCCCCATAGTCAAGTGGGACAGAGCAAGGAGTTTTGCTCTCGGTGGAGGCACTAGCTACACGTGCAGCGGATTCGTCGCTCGGCGTCCCTTCTCAATGTCGCTTCAACCGGGCCGATCTCAATCGACAAACCCCTTAGACTGAAGTGGCCTAATTATTTGCCAAGCAAAATGGTAAGGCTTAGAGTTGCACCAGCCCCTAGGGTGGAACACACTAATGGGGATCCACGACGCACTGCCGCCTCATTGAGTGAAGTACTGCCAGGACAGGTTTCACTCCCACCCTCTTCTCTTCCTACGACCAATCTGAGCCGCATTTCACACACAATTGACGTTCCGGGTCTGAGCAAGCCACGGTTTCTCGGCATGTCGACCTCAAGCCTTCGAGCGATCATAGTCGGCGGTGGTCCGCTTGGACTTTTTACTGGTCATGCACTGGAAGCTGCAGGTATAGACTACGTAATCGTCGAAAAGCGACCCGTAATAGTGGATGAATCAGGCGCTGGGATTCTCATTTTCCCACATACTATGCGCGTCTTAGATCAACTTGGCTTATTAGAAGTCGCCATGAGAGTCTCTTTGCCGGTACACACCAAGACAAATATTCTGCAAAGTGGAGCGGCTTACCTGAGCGAGCCTGTCTTTGACGCATTAGAAGAAAGGTACCTATCACTTGGGAGAAATATATTGCCTGATTTTGACGGAAACGACTAACGTCTCACAGCCATGGCTACCCATGCAGAATATTCACCCGAACGGACTTGACGAAGGTTCTCTTCGAGAATCTCCCCCAGCGAGAAACGAGAATCAGGACAGCATGTGGCCTTTCCGACATTCAGTTTACCGAAAGCGGCGTAAATGCAACACTAGAAGATGGCAGTACCGAGAAGGCATCTTTCATCATTGGGTGCGATGGAGTTCATAGCAGAACAAGAGAGATCATTGAGCGTCTTTCGATGGATAGGACTGCTGGTGCCAGGTTGCAAGCCAGTGAACAGATGGTGTCTAGCTTTCAGGCGCTCTACGGCCGCGCTTCTTACCTCGATGGCGTCGAAAAGGGAACGTTTTTCGAATCACGTGGCACTGGAATGACTACTCAGTTATACGCATCAGACTCAGTCTCTACGTTTGCCCTTTTCCGAAAGATCCACAGTCCCACGAACGAGAGAAGACGATATACCCAAGAAGAGACCCGAGACTTTATGCAGGCATTTGCAAACGTGTCTGTGGCACCAAATCTCAAAGCCAAGGACCTCTTAGCAAAATGCACATGGTCAAGACTGGTCAACCAGGAAGAGGGACTGATGAAAATCTGGCACTATGACCGCGTAGTTCTTGTCGGAGATTCTGTGCATAAGATGACCTCGAACGCTGGTATGGGGCTGAATTGCGCCTTGCAATCGTCTGTTCTCCTTATGAATGAGCTTCAAAAAATCTCCACTCAAGCGGATCTGGATGTGGAAGCTTTTGGGAAAGTTTTCGCGACCTATGGCGAGACTCGCTTCAGAGAAGTTCAACCTGTCTATGACATGTCAGCAAAGGTAGTCCGTACCACAACTTGGAGTACCTGGGGGCTTTGGTTTCTCGACCAATACGTTGTACCACTCATCGGCTTAAGAAGGGTCATAGGCAGCATATCACAGACTGTCATTCGTCGTGGGCGGTTGCTGAATTATGTTACAAGGGAGGGCCGGCAGGGTACACTGCCTTGGACTGAGTAACATAATTATGACTTGCCCTAAAATCAATCAATATAAAGCAGAACCTAGTGCTGGGAAGTTTCCATAAAGGTTGAGGGTACAGTAGACCGCGTGTACATATCTTGCGATATTTTGAATATACTGAGAATTGGCAGTTTATTTAGGCAGGGGGCCTAAGGCGTTAAGACTTGTGTGGGATATCAAGACATCGTTGATTCCTTCCCGTTGATGACTGTCGACGCGTTGTAATCACATGTGAGCGAATTGTGTGATCTCATTAGGTTCGATTGGGATATTGAAACCGTAATTGTGAAGTTGGATGGATATGAGCATGAAAACACAGAGTAAAGGAAGGCTTTGTCCAGATTGTATTTCGATTAGTAGGCATCGGGACCGATAGCAAAGATCAAATGGATACATGCTCCAACATTTGCGTCTAACACTATTCATCGTCATCATGATGTAAAATTCAAATTTGGTAAAAGATTGGGCGGTTGAAAATATTTGGCCATGAACTTTATGACATATTAGTTCCGAATTTCGATCAAACAACGGGTTGTAACTCAAAACAAAAGGCATCAGCTTTCCTGTGTATATTGCATGATAGTCGATCTTAGGCCAAAACCGACAACCCTCCACCCCCTCCCCCGGGAGTCCCTAGATATCATTTAATGTGGCTGTGTAACAAGGATATGTGCTGTAACTTCCGAAGGAGTCTAGGGTCTCACTTCCCACGCTTTTCTTGCATGTCGATGTTGGAGGACGAGTGCATCCGGTACTAATTACCACACGCTTAGGTTGTAATTGCCGGCAATAGTACTTAATCAAGTAACAGACTTGTAGCTGACTCGGAGATTTATAGTCTTGAAACGAGCTATGCAACCTTTGCTGAGCAAAGGCGGCCGATTTGTTAATCAGAATGACCGAAACAGAATGGTTTTCGCGCCCAGCTGGCCCACCGTCCGATCAGCCATCTACACAGTACCAACTGTACTAGTTTCAGATTGGCATCGTGAATCCTTCCTTTGCAAGGGCTAGTGTTGAACATGAGCTAATTTACGCTGTTCCGTTCAGGCGGTCCGCTACCGCGCTATAGATTGCGCCGTTATGATATCCTTGGAGACACTAGAGCCCACTAAGCACTAGCTCTGGATAGCGGATCTACTATTCTTCTTCTAGTTTCGAGGACATTTCGAAGCATGGAGACGTGACTCATCCTTGTAAACTCACGCAATGTTCTCAATCTGTATGAAGTGCTGGCGGATCGTCACCAGTCGGGGCATATTTGAATGGAAGAACGTGCATTATCGCCAATTGGCTCGTAGATTGAGATCGGATCGTATGCAGTATCACATTTTGAGCCACGGCCAAAACGGCTTCTACCTGCCGTAGACATGCCAGCTCATCTGACAAGAGCAGTCCCTTGACAGCAGAATATCATTACCCAGTCTGGAAATGGTCAGTTACTACATTAGGAGTATCGGTGTCCGATCATGGCGACGTTTGAAACGATTCATTGCAGTGGCGCCACTGTCATGAACCCAATTTTTGTACGCTTAACACTTGGCTAAGCTACGTCCCCTGCAAGCGTATACACCAACTTCGGGGATTATTTGTCTCCAATCTTTGAGCATCTTCTTGTCTTCGACCATTGAAATCCTGATCGTACTTTCCTTCGCCGCAAACCGGAATTTGATCTCTGAACTGCAAACCAGTACGTTTCGGAAACACGCAGCGGATGAAACTATAATAATCTTGCTGTTCATGAAACCATATATCCCCTTCGGTCAATCCAGATTGTGACATCGTCTACAATAGCATCACAATTAAGCAGTCAAAGGCCCACCGAGGCGGGGAGACTTGTGGATACTGACCCCTGGGATATAGGCAGGGTTGGTCTTTGGACAGTTTCGCACTAGAGGCCCTATCATCGGTGTGGACTGGACGGGTAGATGCGTTCCGCCTGGGAGAGAAGTAAAGCCTAGATAAGCCAAGTAAGATTGATGTGACACGATGTGATATCCACACTGGCATGTAACTATTCCATGGCGTAGCCTTCAGTAATTGTATTTACAGATTCGAAACAGAAAGAAGCCCGTTCCGTGAGGCGGCATTCAACAAAAATAAGTCACTAGCTTTTCATTGTTAAAGATAAGGCTGGAATTCTCCAACTACCGGCTGGGCAGGCAGTAGGCGGTCGTTCTGCTAAAAGTTTAGCATGTTTCGCGTCTTTCGGGACCTTGTGGGGGTAATCATCCGGACTTGCATAATCGGACACTTTACGACAGGGTCCTGGGCAGGCAAACAGGGGCATGTTGCCATGAAGATGGGGAAAGGAGGTCATGGCTTTGCGCTATGTCATCGGCTGGGTCGCGTGCCGCGAACGTTCCATATGTTTTGAGCAGCCCATTCCCCTTTATTGAGCACTTCCCCGGAAATCGTTGCTGTAGTATATAGTCATCAGTGCTGCATCAACCCTAATAAATAATGCATAAAGGGCAGGCAGAGCGCGACAAGCTGCCCAAGTCTACAGTGTAGTTAGCTACCCAACCATTGAAATTTCCATTTAGAACATGTAAGCGATACCACTGTTCCAAGAAGCAAAACGAGCCGTCTCTTACTACCAAGACGGTGCGAATCGGGAGCTGGGTCTCCCCTGACTAGCGCCGAGGACCCATTCCCAAACCAACCCTTCTGCTGACTGATTCTTGAATACCAGCGCTGGTCTTGTCTTAGCTTCTGTGGACAGAAGAGATCGACGAGGAAAATTGGGCCGTGAAGAAAGATGCAATTCACTGTGTTTGATATGATCTAGTTATCCACTTCCCGGCGACGCGGCTAACTAAGAGAATTACAAGATCTAGATGGCACACCTACCATCAGGACGTACAGCGGCTCCCACTTCTTAATAACCAACTGTCTGCCTACCACGACATTATGGTGCGACTTAACTAGATGGAAAGCCACAACATTCTGTACCTTACGGCAAGAAAGCGACAGTTGCATTGCGCTTGAGAGTGCGTCAGTTTAGGGACTATGGCGGCAAGCAAGCAGACACTGATCAGTCTTCTCGGCTCTTTCGACAATTTTGATGAGCCCGTACCATCTTGGAACCGGCCTTCGACGATCATTCCAACACTGACTTCCTTCTTGGTGCGAGCTTCTCTGGCCGAGCGCAATGAACAGGATCTTACAGTTTTTCCCAGGCTCTTACGTACGTCTGCGTTATCTTCCGATTGTACACACGATTTCGAATTGTGAAGTCTCCAGGCTGGGATGACCTTTTCGTTGTGCTTGTTCTGGTGGGTATACCAACCCATGTACGAGACTTATTACTGATTACACCACTACAGCTATCTGGGACTGGTGGCTCAGTATGTATCTGTCTTGGTAAGGACCAAATTTTCCCTCGCCATCCTGAGTGAGATGTGTAAGCTCACTGCAAATAGCAACACAACATGGCTTTGGTCAGCACTTCCTACTGCTCCAGTATACTGAGATGCAAACATACCTCAAGGTAGGTGTCGTCGTGCCCCCTCCATTTCTCTCCTCTTTACCCAGGGATGCTGATGAGACGGCAGTTATTCTATGTTGCAAATGCCACCTACGCAATGTCAACTGCATTAGTGAAGTTGGCCCTGCTATTCCAGTATCTTCGGATCTTCACGAAGGGGTTTCTTCGCCACGTATGCATCGTCACGATTGTATTTACGTCGCTCTGGGGAGTTGCATACTCATTTATGGCTTGGTTTCCATGCTTCCCTATCAGAGGATATTGGACTTGGACGATAGGTGCAACGTGTTACGGGTACGGCTCGCTGATCCCCTCCATCTTTTACGGTACCTATTCTAGCGCTGCTGCGATCAACATGGTCCTCGACATCACTATCCTCATAATTCCAATGCCCCTGTACTTTAGGGAAAATACGGGGAACAGAACGAAGCTCTCGCTGATAGGCCTTCTGTTTCTAGGAGGACTGTGAGTATTGCCTCCAGAGTGAACAAGCCGGGGCAGCCTACTGACCAAGGCAGGGTTAATTTCTTGTCTATCTGGCGAATGGCAACCATTGTTGAGCATACGGCCGCAACAAAGCCCACGTTCGACCCCACGTGGTACGGCCCGATAAGCATTCTTCTTGCATCTTTGGAGGTAGATGTTGCAACGATTTGTGCATCCGTTCCAGTGTTCTGGCCTGTCTTGACGTCAAAGCTCGGTCACATTTTTGTGACGCAAGAGATCAAGATAGAAAGGGCCCATCGCTTCTCCACCATCGAAGACGAATACGAACTGGAACGCGGCACCAGGGGAGGGAGGCGTTTTCGAGAGCGCCGCCGCCGAGCGAGCGGATCGGGTCCGCACACCCAGGGCTCCAAGATTATTATTCAATCGAATACGATACATTACAAGGACAAGTATGTCGTGGCCCAAGTCGATCCGCTGAGCGACATGGGAAGGGTGGAGTCGGAAATCACAGCGCAGCCGCTTTCGCGGAAACAGTCAAGAACTGGAGTGGGAAAGTCGTGGTTCATAGACTCCTGATGCTCTAGAGTTTAGGTGCAGTAATGAGAGACTGATCTACGGACCAACCTCTTCCCGCCTTTCGCAAATGCATATCTACCAGGCCAGATGATGGAGGGTTCAAGATGCTCTTGAACACCCAGGGCTCACACAGGTTTGATTGGGTGAGAGCACGGCTACTCATATATTCCTATGAAGTAGGTGCCTTGGTGTTCAATCCAGGCTGGCGATTCAAGCAGCCAGTCCGCACCCGTCTTACCTTGCGGGCAGTGCAACAGATGACGAATGGTATGGACAAAAAGTCCAAGCAATTAAGCAACCAAGCCCGGTCTTGCTTGCAACACGGTGATGGTGCTGTTTGGGAGTCTTTATCACGATTAGAAAAGTTGAGTTTCGTGTCGGAGCCAGGTGCTGTCGTCGTGATGACGTCACAAAACCCAACTACCAGACTCCCGAATCTGCAGCTGTTCCTGGGTACCCTCAACTTTCATTTCCATCTTTACCTCTCCATAACTGACAGCATCTTCGAAGGCGATCCACGACCCTGGCGTCAAGATGTCGTTCGCCGCATTACGCAAGTCACCAGAGCATGAAGATCTCGCCAAGCTGGCAGAGGAGCATATGCAACATGACCTTGACGAGTCCGACCGAGAGGTTCTCAAGAAAGCGGCCGGCAAGGTGTCACTCCCTGCGACCATTGGCACGCTGGTAGGCTTGGGCCTCGGCGTGTACGCCGCCTTTCGACTGCGCAAAGTCCGCATGGACATGTTCCGGGCATTCCGAGCATCGGAGAAGCCTACACAGGTTGTCTTTGCCGGAGGAAGGACTGGTAAGTGATGGACCGTCTCTTGGCGCACGCAGACATAACGGACATTTTGTGCTAAACGGGCTCACAGAATCTGTCCCAGACGTCACCCCTTACCTGCGGCCCACGCGCTTTGGTGATATCGCAACCTACATTTTCTTCGGACTTGGGGGCACCATTGTGGGTGGTGAATTGGGTTTCGTGATCGGCACCTGGTCGGCTGCGCGGACAATCTCGAGAGACCCTGAGAGGAGAAAACGGATCGAGACTGCGTACCGCAGATTCAAGGCCGATTACCTCAGGAAGGAGGCCAAACGCTTGGACGATGGAGGTTCAGTGTTCTCCAAGTCACTTCTTTGAAACAGCGCGGTGGAGTTCCTGTACATACCTGAACCAGACTACTTCAGGTTTCCTATGTGACCATATTATATACGACCTAGGAGAAAGATATTCCCTCCCCGGAGGTTGTCTCTAAGACTATTGGGAATCAAACTCAATGTATGAAGCCATCGTTGCGCTCGGAAAATGATGCGTGGGTTGTACCGCAAGCTGTCAGATGTGGGCTTCGGTTCCGGAGAGTGGCATCACCTATACACTTAGAAGGGTGCATTCGGACTGGAAGATATACAGACGTCTAGACATTTGTGGTCGAAACTCTTCAGCTCAGCCTAGCTTTGTCCTGTCAGGCCAGACAGGTTCATGTTTTGTGCGGGTGCCTCAGTGGTAAGCTAGCTAAGAGCTTATTACGGAGCAGTTTCGGGCGCAAGTCTTCTCCACGATGGGATTAGATTCACCGAGCTGAGAGGGTGGTCAATTGTACTGACCCGCTGGTTCTTATATAGGAGTCCTCCCAAGCCGGCAAACCTACCATGTCGTTGCCCCTCACCACGGGCCAATAACCCGTGTTGGGTTAAATCGACTGCTGTGGATGCGATATCTTACAGCGGGCGCATCGGAGTTTCGTGCGCTATGAGGGGCCTTATCCGCCGTAAGCGGGTAGATGCGCAGCTAAACGCCAATGAAACCCAACCGGCCCGCGGAACGCTAAGGCTGCAGGGCGGCGTGAACCTTATTCGTCTGCTGGAAAGCCCTGGCGGACATCGCAATCCCCGAGGTGGGATCTCACGTGGGAGTGCAAGCCGCGGGGTAGACCTGTTGAGATCTGGTGCGGTGAGGAAGTCAGATGAAAAGCAAGCATCTTCTCATATCTCTTCTCTTGCCTTCTCCGCATTCAAATCACATCCTAGCCGTGAATAGCACGACCTAAATCTGTCTCGACTTCCCATCATCTCTCTTGACTTACACGCCCTTCACCATGGCCAACAAGCCCGTCTCAAACCTCCCCCAGCTTCGCCAGTTCTACACTGGCCACAACAAAGATGGCAAGGCCATTGTGGTCGCACAGCAGGATTTTGACTGGGTACCCGTTGCCGAGAACCAGATGGGATTCGCCGTACCCTACACAACATCTCAGCCTATCACGGACATGAACGACGACAAGGACCTCGAGCAGCACAAGAAGACTATCTCAGGCACGCTCGGTCTTGTCAACCCCAATGGCTCTGTTCTGCGTGCCGTCGACTTTGCTCCTGGCTATGCCTGCGATATGCACCGCACACAGAGTCTGGACTACGGAATTGTGCTAGAGGGAACTATTGAGATGGTGTTGGACTCGGGTGAACGCCACCTCCTGAAGAGGGGGGACGTCGCCATACAGAGAGGTACACAGCACCAATGGCGCAACCCATCGGAGACGGAGTGGACCAGAGTCATGTTCGTTCTTATGGACACTGCGCCACTTGTCGTGGGAGGGGAGAAGTTGGGTGAGGATTTGGGAGAACACGCTGTTGTGCCTCCCAGTCAACGATAAGTCAAGAGTTAAGAGACGCTTGGGACTCTTGAAGCCATTGATTATCCTAAGTTTTGATCTTGATAACCCTTTCTACAAAGAATTACAATATCCATATTCGTCTTATCCCGGGTCCACCTCTCGATCAAATCCACGCGTGGCGATCAATATGTCAGGGTAAATTGTCCCCTGATATCCGTAATAGGGAACAAAGACTTCCCTGACTCATTCGAGAAATCTCACTTTAGATGACGGTACTTTCATTGTATAATCCCGGCTATTTTCACCTCTTGCTTGATATGCTCCTTTGTGTAATGGCCCATGCCATTGTTCTCCAGGTTTAAAGCAGTAAGAGACATTGAAGCGTCTCGGTATATAAGCGTCACTCTGTTTCGCGGATACACTCCGAAAATAGAAACTGCCCACTGAAAAACACAACGGCTCGAACTACCTGAGGAGCTAAGTTGAGCCTTTTTTTTCAGTTTTGCAATCATTCTCGGTCTAATCAGTTGTATACCCGACTCGACGACAGAAAGTGTCGACAATGCTCTCCCGCTCGAACTCAACTGCCTCTACGCGCTCTGTCCGCGGAAGCAAGCAAGTCTCCTACATATGTCGACACGAGTTAACAAACAACCGCTTCAACTCATCGGTGGCTCAACTTCCCATCGATGTGAAGACGAAGAAGTGCCCAGAGTGCCAAACTAACACAGCCGATGGCGCACTGAAGTTTCTTCGCGCGATAGGCAGCTCAGAGGGCTTGCGACATGCAGACCCTGTAATCTTACAACGCTTGGCTGAGTCGCTTTTCGAGCGGCTGGCCAGCCAGCGCCGATCGACTACGAATGGATTCAAAGATTCCTGGGATGATATCTTGATGGCTTATGCGAGAGTATGCTACCTCTTCGTCCCCGTTACGGAGTTACGTAGCGCGTGTCAAACGTTGAAGAGCAAATACGGGGCCGGCCTTGGCAAGCAACTTCTGCTAACACTTGCCAAAGCTGCCTGCGTTGAAAACCGTGTTTGGGAGTGTCACATTCATACCGACGTGGTATTCAGCGTTTTGGCCCCCCCGATCAAGTTTCTAAGGCAGCATGCGGAGCAGGTTGATAAGTTTAGTCATCTGGAGGACGTGTTGTTGCAGGCCAGGGACCTTGGTAAGTGGGCGGATGATACTGTGGCGCGGCTCACACATATGACCCGTCGGTTCGATCGGTGGGGAAAATCTGTATAGGAGAACGCAGGAACTGTCGACGATATCAAATGTAGTGTTGCTGTAATCTGACGTGTATGCTATATATATCGCTGCAATTACCAGATTGGCAGATCCTCTTGTTTTTAGATGGCACCACGACTTCACTTGCGCCAAGTGTGGAATCTCCGACAAGACATGCGTCCAGTTGGGCTTGACAAAGATCTGTCTCGCTTTCACGTGTTTGGGATGGCCCGTCCCTGTATTGCCGCCTCAGAATGTACTAAAAACTGGTGCAAAGTCGTTAACGGGGTAAAGGTCACGATGCTCTGTGGAGCCATCGGTCTAGGTGGTGATTTAAAGGATCTCCCACAAGATTCTGCCCTGCGGCAAGGCAGCCAAGACGGATACAGACCCGAACTCTCCGTTGAAGGCTGAGTTCTGGCCGAGCCGTTGAGCGCCGAAGTGGATCTGGGGTATCTTGCGAACCTCGGCAGGGCCCACATTAGCTGGCATAAATAAACTCAACCCCCCTGCCAATCAACATGGACGTCCGTAACACAGCGTATTCTCATTGTCGTTGCTTTGCCCAATAGCATGGCTGAGACCCTAGCAGAGCAACTCGCCGTTGAAGAGACGGGTCCTGGCCAATATGTCTCCCTCACCACCCCTGAGCGCATGGGCAACGCGCTCCCAATCGCATATGGGGGCTGCACTCTAGGTATAGCGACTCATGCGGCTTACCAAACCGTCAAACCAGCGTATTCTCTTTATTCTCTCGTCGGCCATTTCTTGGGTCCAGCATCGACGAACGAGAAACTCAAATGTACAGTTCACGAAACCCGGACGACCAAGACCTTTGCCACACGGCGGGTGCAAGTCAGCCAGCTTCAACCAGACGGGAAAATGCGAGCGTGCATGGAATTGATAGCCGACTTCCAAGTCGAAGAGCCCGCCATGCTCAGTTACACGACGCCTCCTTCCAGGAAGTATTCGGGAGTGGAAGGCGGTGTCTCCTTGGATGAGATGAAGGAGTCGGCAGTCTCTCAAGGCAAGGTGACTCGTGCGGCAGCAGAAAAGTTCCACAAGGGTTTCCGTATGATGGACACTTTCTTCGACTCGAAGTATTGCCCCGAAGGAATCGCGGCCCAGAATGTCTTTGGCGGGCTGAAGAACGAACCCACTTCCCAAGATCATCTGCCGATCACAGAGAAGAGCTCTGCCGACTGGATACGGACGCGCGTGCCCTTGGAATCCCGCGGTGAGAGGATGGGAGCGGTTTCTTTCCTGATCGATGGTGCCATCGCATTTACGCCACTCGCGCACAATCATATGTGGCTGGATGACTCGGCAGCCTGTAGCACATTGGACTTTGCCTTGCGGATATTTGTACCAGATATCGATATCAACTCCTGGCATCTAAGAGAGCGGAGGACCATGGCCGCTGGGTACGGAAGAAGTTACTCTGAAGCGCGCTTGTGGGATGAACAAGGGACCATGGTGGCTTCCATGACTCAGCAGTGCATCTTGCGTCCGAAGCCAGAGGCCAAGGCCAAGGCAGCACTTTAACCACGCCGGAATCCACAATGCGATACCAATGGTTTGAGTTCCTTCTATTGTTATAAAGCGTATAAACTGCTTGCTATTTAGTTTCATTAGACATTGGATAAGATAAGATTTGGAAGTGGTGTCGACTGCACAATTGAAGTATTCATATGACCCAAGCGCTGTCTGAGGGTGAGAACTTGGCCTATGGCGCTCTCATCATGCTTGTTGAGCTAGGCTGTGGTGGAAAGAGTTGTAGGTTCGTGAAAGACTACTGCTGGATGAGATTGCAACCCCGGGATAAAATTTCAATCAGCTGCCAGAGCTATGCCATGATGCAAACTCCCAGATACGCGTATTGCTGATGATGGATATATCATGCTTTCTCCGTCTCAGGTACCGAATTGTGTTAATCAATGCTAGGTGTGCACAGAAAGGCAGCCCCCCTGAATCCGTATCTACCTGCCCGCTATGTCGAGTGTGCAAGTATTTTCCAAGCCAATTTCTCGTCGTGAAGTCTACGAAAGACAAATCTCAACTGAAAAAGTCAGTGAATTTTGCGTTGCTTCAATGATATCACTGAATGCATGGCAGGAAAGAAGTATGCATCTTGCCAAGCAGCGTGGTCCGTGTAATGAAGTGGGTATCTCTTCGTCACCTAAGTAACTATGTGTCCACCTAACTCCTCCGTCTAGAAGTTTATATCAAGAAAATGCCAACTAACACGCATATAACCAACGACCCGAATACACCCCATTTATTGTTGACAGCAGAAGAAGCACCTTGGGTCACACCTTGGCACGAATATTGACCAGGGAAGACCCCATTCGTGCGAGCCTGGTTCAACGGCGCGCAAGTGGAATTTCGGTCCGTGGAGGTTACTCTGAAGTTTCCTGCTACTTTCCGTATGTTCTCGGTTTGATTGACGATTGCTTCACTGCTCTTACGTCAGCCACCCCCAATGTCCACGCAAGTTGACCAATGTTATGACGCAGGTATCTTACAAGAACTCTGTCCGGAACGGACCCTCAAACTCAAAGCTCGACGCAGAAGGGAACTGCGCCGCAGAAGCACTGCCCGTGGCTCCGAGGAAAGTCGTGATGTCAAAGTGGCCCACTGCGCTCCCAGGATCGAGAACCGGGTTACCGGTGATGGCGACGTTCGTCCAATTTTGTCCTTGGGGCAGGCCAAGCAGTTCCATGTAGGCGTTGTCTCTAACATCTAAGTTTTCAATACCCTGGATCGCGGTAATATCCAGTCTGCTGAAGGTGTTGCCAACAGCACTGAAAGATGCCACGTTCCACGGTTGAGTTGTGAGGCTGCGTGCCCCAGCAACGGAGAGTGAGCCCACCGTGACGCCGCTTTGAGTAGCGTGAACTGCGAGGAGACCATTTCCAGTGATGTCTAGACTGCGAAAAGTCCCTGTCGTGTTGATGTACAGTTGGGATGCATTACTGAGTCCACTCAGAGCCACGGAGTCGTACCTAGTAGACCACAGGAAGAGCGAGCCCAAGTCGTCAAGACCTGTGTATCCAATCGAGATGGAGCCCAAACTCTGGGCCTGGTGTTGTGGTACTTCAAGATTCTGCAGCTTCGGCGTATAGAACAGATTGAACCTCCCGAATCCCAAGAGAGATGGTACACTGACACTCGCCAGCTCTGGCATCCCGTCAAGGCTGAACGTCGTGCCAACCCATTTCAGCTTGGGCAGCGTGACCGATGTCAAGTTCAGCTGTGCGATCAGAACCACATCCTGCGACACCTGATTGAGATCCGGGGCGACGAAGTGAGCGAGGCCACTGCAATTGTTCAATACGAGATTGCGGAAGTCGGGCGGGTCCGTTTGCCAATCGGAGGTATCAGTTGAAGAGTCGGACTGGCATGGCTCAGTGGTCAAACTCCCCTGGATCGACTTGACGCCAGGCAGAGTGAGATCGCCGCGGTAAGACTTGGATATCGTAACGGAGCCTGCAATGGTCTCACAAGATTGCAGGGCATCAGCGTCCCCTTGGCTTTGGATATATACGGACTTGCAATCAATCGCTGCGCACACAAGGCCTTTGCGTAGAGTACATCAGCAGACCGACCAGGGCTATTACCAATTGTTCACCTACAGTACAAGCCGAGCAGTGCCAAAGTTTTTCGTACGCGCTGCGGTGAAGCCATCGTTGCTCGACTGAGGGGTCCCCATCGTGCCTCTCGACCAGGGCACTACCATGATGATAAGGTGTCACATTGTGACTCGCCTGGGTGCGGCATCCCGTGCACTGGAAGCGACTCGCTGAACCTCGGGCCAGAACTATCTGGGGACGTGATGTAGGGCACCTAGGGAGTTAGAGGGTTACATGATAGCCGATGCAGCAATTACCAGGATTTTTACCACGAATCCGGGCTTTGTCAAGCGATCCATTGGGGCTGGGGTCGGGGAAGTATGGTACGTTCCGGATCTGCGTGCAAGGGGTTGGGGATTTAGTATCTGGGGGTTTGTAACCGCCCAATCACGACCCAAGACAATGAACGAACAATCCCCAAGGACGCGGCTACAATGCGTGGGTCCTCGTGGGCCAAGAGCCATGGGTGTCGGAGTTGGAATTAGTTGCCCATCGGAGTATATGGCAAGTTGCTCGGACGGAGATGGGCCACCGTCAATAACTACCTAAGCTTGTCGTCGGCGTGTCTCTCGCGATTGTCCTCGCAGAAACCGGGCTGCCGGCGAAATCTACGGTGGTACTGCACCCCAGTGCTGCAGATGGTGAGTGGAGGTCTGCGCCGTCCCACAGCGCGATTGCGGGGAGATTTGGGGTCGAAGCTGGAGCAGCATGGGGCTTTTGAGGGGCAAGTAGAGGGAGTCCTGTTGGGGTTGCTGGTTGCAAATACCTAGGTAGGCGCTAGGGTGAAAAGAAACGAAGGTTTGCGTGGAGGTTCGTATCTACGCTTGCTACGAGCAGAACAGATTACTGAAAGCAAAGTTCCCCGTGACGGAAGACCCACGTAGAGATCAGCTTGATGCGTTGTTTTCTTCATCCCTCGACCAGGCCTCTCGATGGAAATTTTCCCCGTATGAATGTATTCATCAACTTCGTGTCTGTTTGTTATGGGCTGGCTGATGCAAGTGGTTGCTGTGGTGGGTACGACAGGTGAGGGGTGGTTCACCCCACGCGTAAATAGTGAACGCCATAGCTGTGGAGAGAGCTCCTCTTACCTCTCTTCCCCGGCTTTAGATTTTTGCAATATTACAGTATTTGCAGCAGAATATCAATTTGCCTGTGGTGCCGTGACAGGTAGATCAAACTATAAAACATCGACGAGACCCTACTTCAAGGCATCGAGTTGGCACCACACGGTCTAATAGTTGGTGGATACTATAAATATACTCCTTCTGATCCTACCATGACATGTACGTTAGAGATTTAATATAGTAGCAACGCTTTTATACCTTGAATCTAGAACCATGGACCCAACCAATGTGTGGTGCGGATGACTCCCAACGTAGATACGTCGGAACAGTCATCATTTTACTACTATGCTCTCCGTGCCCGCTTTGACTTCTTCAGCGATATCCGTAGCTTTTCCAGCTCCCGAGAAGACTACGTGCCACTTCTTGTTATCTCATGGGCGGAGCTCCACCTGGACATCCTGACGCGGAAGGCGAATACCCCCATTAGTCTGCGTATATCCACCAGTAGACCACTGCCCATCGACGGCCTTGAGATGAAAGCGCAGGAGCATCATGGTGGCGAACGCCAAGATCTCGGTAGCTGGCGTCCGGGGCAGAGAGTAGCGCCTCCGCCGAAGACTCGGAATGCCACTGGGTTGTGCGTCTTGATTCCGGGCACTTTGAAGAATCGCTTGTGGTAGAACTCGTTCACATTCGGGCCCTACGCCGAGGGAGACATGTGCTGGATCTTACCTGGGATCATGACAGTTGCGCCTCTGCTTTATCGTTAGTCGGATTCTTCAACACCACGTACGAGGACAAGCATCATATACGAGACAGACGCGGGGAATACACGACAGCGTAGCACATTGTGGCAACTTACTTCTTCAGAAGGTACTTCCCGTCAAGCATATGATCCTCCACCACAGCTCGCATTGCGAGGTCAATGCTGTGGAATCGCATCGCTTCTTGCATCGCCGAGACCATGATGGGGCAGGAATTCTTGACGTAAGTCAAGTCCAAGTAAGCCTGGCCATCTTTCTCGCTTACTGCTCCATGAAGCTCCCGCCGGCAATCTGCAAGAACGGCAGGATCCGCAACGGCGTGGTACAGCGTCCAGAATGCCACCGGCATGGTGTTAGCAATCAGGGCGAAGATACCCCCAGCTTCCATCTTCGCCACATCCTTTTCAGGCACGCCATGGTCTCGTGGGCATGAATATCTGCCCCGAGCAAAGGCGGACGATCTTGTCTCGAGGCCGCCTTCGGCGTAGTACTTTTCAAATGCTTCAGATATAATCTCGAGTGCTTGGAGAGGCTTCTTGGCGAAAATTGGTTTCATAAAACCCATGAGCAGTCTGAGCAAGTCAGCCTGGAGATCACTATGCCTATAAGTTCACGTCCTTTTGACTTAGATCTTATACTTGGTAGTATCACTTACTAGTAGACTGTGCGAACTTTCGTATCATTAAACGGGTTAAGAGGACCATAGATGGCACCGGTAGTGGCCATCATAGCCTCTTGTGAAGCCCACTCGAACAGGTTCACCGTCTTGGGGTCTTGCGTAGCACAGATCGCGCTGAAGGAAGTGTTGAGGATATCCACCACCTCGGAATTCAGGTGATCCAAGTTCGGCCCCGGAGCAAGCGAATTCTTGCTTTCGGTTGTTAAGCGATGCACAAATCCATGGTCTTCGATCGGATCGCGTCCCATGATTTCGAAGGCTTCTTTGCTAACGTCCATCAAATTTGAGAACGCTTTTACTGCGAATGGTGCCGCGGTGAGTACTCTCAATTGTTTGTGAATGACGGGTATACGACGTAGACGCGAGTGCCCGGGAGTCTTAGAGTGTGGATTGGATATCCATATTTGTCTCTATGAGTATATTATCAGCTTTAATCTAAATCATAGCGATCGGCGGTGATGAATGCTATATCATATGTTTGGGTACATTTGCAATCACGTACCTCAAATACTCGTGGACAGTAGTCCATTTCGTGAGCATCACGATTATGGGGCCCAAGAATGGAATCGCGGTCTCTATCATCGGTGGCTCTCTCGCATCTTGTGTGAACCATAGCAAGGCCCGCAGAAAAATGTAGCATCCGGCCAAGCCTACTACTGCGGCGGTGATATTGGATATGATGATGTTGCCTGCGTGGTTGTCCAAGGATGGTGAAAACAAATGACGGGCACGCAGTTGCGGAATAGGGAGGCTTTACGGCACAGCGATGTCTGAGGTCTTCACGGCCGCCGCATGCATGGAGTAGAATCAGAGCTAAGTCCTTATTTTGATCCTGAATAAGCCTCAACCCATAGCATTGTTAGCGAGAATACTATTGCGGACGTACCCAAGCACTGAATACCCTGGGGCGTAAACATACTATGTCAGCGGGGATATACACTGGAGTAGCTTCACAAGTGATGAACGCTAGAAGGAAAACAGTCGCCTGGCTCACGTTGCTGTTGACGATTGAGATCGCGAAAGTGTGCCTGGGCCACCCAAATAGGAATAATCCAAAACGCCGATGGCTCACAAGTGGTGGCACCACAATTCCACGACATTGAAGTTTGAAGGATCGAAGGACGCAGGAGTATCAAAGGATGATCTTACCCACGGATAAGACTCCTAATAGTTTGCTCGGAGCGCATGCAGGGCTCAGTAGCTTGCGGAAGATTGGTCGTCGCTCTGATCTGGGTATCCTTGTTGATCCGATGCTTCAATATATCAAGACAATGCTGCAAACGCCGGTGTAAGAAATGTATACCTGCATTCATTATACTCATGAAGTCATAGTACTAAACTGCTCATCATGATCTTCACTCCACCTTCATGGCTCCCCGCCATTGAACATGACCTATCCACCGTGGGAACAGTGGCAGACTTTGCGCTTCAAGGGACGCTGGGCAGCGCCTCTGGACCAAGGGTAGACGAGCCGACCTTCATTTCTGCTTCCACGCAGAAGGGGAGAACCCCGGGACAGATCGCGCAGAACGTCGAGGCGTTGGCTGCTGGCCTTGCACACGAATTGCAATGGTCTCCCAATGCACCCGCACCAGGCGGCAAAGTGGTTGCCATATTGTCCGAAAATACTATAAGATCCTCAAACAATTGTTTTCTTTTAGAAGGGTTCGGTTTCGATTTGGACAACAAGCTGAATCAATGTGTTGAAAGGTGGATTATCTGGTTTGCTGGGCGGTCCATCCTCTCAGGGGCACCTGTCTTCTACTATACGGCACTCCTTCTCCGGAGGAAAATGCGAAACATCTCCAGCGCAGTGACTGCAGAACCTTGATTGTTTCTCCCGCATTGCTTCAGTCTGGCCATGCTGCTGCCGCTGCTGCTTCTACCAGCAAAGCCGAAATTAGATTGTATCTGACTGAGCGGGTGGCCACCGATGGCGCCCAAGCCAATGGCAATGACAACACCGGCACCGGCTTCAAAACCATTGACGAGCTTGTCAGCTTTGGGGAGACACTGGGTCCTCTGCCAGCGCTCAATTGGTCCCCAGAGGAGGCCCAATCTAGTATCGCCTACCTCTGCGCGACCAGCGGAACCTCGGGGGTGCAGGTAACAAGGATTAGACATCCATGCCCAGTATATACTTGACTAATTCCAATCATTTATACACAGAGACTGGCACGTTTAAGTCATCGTGGCATCATACTGAGTTCGGGCTGGTGAGACGTGGTATAGAATTGTGGCGTGAAAAATTGTGCCTGTGCTTTTTCGCGTTTTACTTATCTAATTTCCCTCTTTTCCGTAAACTTTAATAGAACATCGCACTTTTTGCCTTCATTTTACGACTATTCGGTTTGGCGACCGTCGATTTATACGTCTATTTTAGCCACACGATCAATATACGTTCGATTCGTCGACACTGACGAGGAGAACTGCGTTGGCTGAGGTTGTGTTACTTGGGGAATATGGCCCAGGAGCACCACTCCAGTCCAATAGGTGAAGAGATACGAATGCCACATGCTGTCCACAGAGAGTAGACTCGAGTTATAAGTTGCATATATAGAATCGAATGGATGAGATCACCTACACGTCCATTGTTGCGGCTGCAATGGAGGAGCGAGCGGCTTGAAACCTGTGGATGACTAGCTTGAACAGAAACAACGTCAATAGCGGTGGTATAGCCGTGCCTTGTTCTACTACCTATCGTGTTTATATAGCTTTATGGGAGATTTCAGGGTCCAGTCTTGTGCAGAAAAATAAATATCCCGATTGACATAGCTTTCCCGGCCACAGGGATATCTATAAGACTTTTTGGATGGCATATCTCGAGTGATATTCTGCAGATTTCATCATCATATCAAATATGTAAACCAATCAACAGACCGAAAATAGCTTAATGCATAAGTAGAGAAGGTGTTGGAAATAGTTTGGCTATAGCCAACGGATTTATGAATGAACTGACACTTCATGACAGCGCATGAACCATCATGGGCAATCTATCTTTAGACGTCCCTACAAGACCCCTGGGAACAGACTGCAGCGTCTCCAAATCTTGGTTTCGGAACTCAAAACTGGATATCAGCGTATATAGGACCTGCCGCATCACTACCACATGCATTAGCTCTGGATAACACGGGACTATGAGTAAAACAAGATTTGGGTCCACAGCGAGACATACTATAATCGGTCAAGTGGCTTCCCAAACACATCCGCGGACCAGAACAGAACGGCCACAAGACCTGGTCCGGCTCGTGCGACGATGCATAACCTGACTCCCTCCCGAGGTCGTGATTCAATATCCGCGAGCACGCGCTGTGCCTCACCGCGAATCCATGCGGAATGGCATTCCATGCGCTGGATCAATCGCCACGGTGCTGGTAGCGATAGCGGTTTTGTAATTGCATCAAGCAGATGCCTAGTTGCATCCCGAATCGAATGCCTTTCTCCGAATTGCTCTCGAGTTCCAAACCATCCATGGGCAGCCATTAGCCTACCTATAGGTGCCTAGGTTGGGTACAACATTTTTAGTGAGGTGGTGGTGGGTAACGTTAGTTAGGTACTGTACCTGAACTTGGGTCATGGTGCCCCACTGGAGCTGTGTCTCCCCAGGAATTTCCCATCTTCAAACACCACCAGCCAACCACCAAGCTCAACCTGCCTTCCGGTCACGACAGCGACGTCACCCCTTGGATACCTACAGACGACACACGCACACACGCACACACGCACACGAGCAGCTAAGAACATCTCGCAATCCCATACGACTGCACGCGCGCCCATACACGCAATCTCTCTCTCTTTCTCTCGGCACCGGGCACACATCATGGCGGTGGCAACGACGACGACCACGCCGGCGACGCCCGGCGCCCTGGCGCAACAGATTCTCTCACACACGGCGCCGGCCTACAGCTTCACCTTCAGCCCCTTCCTGCGCAAGACGTACGGCCATGGCCTGGCGCCCAACCGGCCCGTCTGCAAGGCCTTCGCCGCCTCGGGGTCGTGCCCCCAGGGCGTCAACTGCCCGGACCGCCACATCAGCGGGCCCGCCGCCGCCGCCGCCAACTCCAACAACGCCTCGTACAACAGCCTCGTGTGCAAGCACTGGCTGCGCGCCCTGTGCAAGAAGGGCGAGTCGTGCGAGTTCCTGCACGAGTACAACCTGCGCAAGATGCCCGAGTGCAACTTCTTCGTGCGCAACGGCTACTGCTCCAACGGCGACGAGTGCCTGTACCTGCACATCGACCCCCAGAGCCGCCTGCCACCCTGCCCCCACTACGACCGCGGCTTCTGCCCCCTGGGCCCCGAGTGCTCCAAGAAGCACGTGCGCCGCACCCTGTGCCCCTACTACCTGGCCGGCTTCTGCCCGGACGGCAAGCAGTGCAAGGAGGGCGCCCACGCCAAGTGGGAGAAGAACCTTGACCGCCCCATCCCCAAGGCCGAGAAGCAGGCCGAGGAGGAGGCCGCACGGCGCGAGAGGGAGGAGATGGGGCTCGCGGACGATGATGGCGGCGGCAGCGGTGGCGGGTTCAGGAGGGATGACAGAGACGAGGGACGAGGATTCAGAGGCGGCCGAGGCGGTCGTGGGGGTTGGAAACCCCGGGGAAGGGGCTTCGGCGGCAGGGGGAGAGGGGGCCATCGTTAGGAGTCCCAGGCTCTTGTTCGTGGAGGTAGTGACCGAGAGAGCTTGGATGAGAGATCACGATGATGATAATGATGATGTCTACACGTCCGCTGCTCGTCTCACCAGAGCTGCTTGTGTTGGACAGGCCCATCGCTAAGGGGTCCCATCCGCGGGCAGCGATCACCGCAAGAGGTGTTGTAATCCTAGACAGAAAATTTGATACCCGAGCCATTTGATTACGTTACATTTTGATTCTATTATTTGCGTGCCAGAGTCGTGAGCCTTTCCAACCATGATAGGGGCGTGTCGCAGCTCCTTCATATATACATATAGCTTGGTCCGTCCAGAGATGCGATACGAGGGCCTGCTCCATCATCGCCAGGCCGCTCTGTAGATAAGTGAGGTCCATAATTCTTCTAATCCTCCTTCCACACGTTAGCCCCTCCATCGGCGTCCCTGCCAATGGCAATAAACTCGCTGGCCTCTCCGTTCTCGCTGCTGCCGCCGTCGCTGCCGCTACTTGTGGACGAGCCCTCGGTCCACGTGCTGAGCTCTTCGACGTTCCTGATGCCCATCATCCAGGACACCAGGCCCCTCGGTACCCAGCGCCCCACGAAGCCGTACAAGCCCGCGCCGAGGCCTATGCGCACGACGCCGCTCTGGTCGGATCCATCGATCACGTCGAACACGGCGTTGTGGAGCTCGCGGAGGGAGCTGCCTCGCAGGCCACGGATGCGGCCTGCCGAGATGGCAGAAGAGGACTGCGCTACGTAGTTCTTGCCGTACACGTGCCGTGCTGATTCCGGCCAGGCCGTGGTCTCGGCGGCAGGCAACAGGTTGGAGTGGCGGGTGGGGACAAAGCCCGCAAAGTCGAACGTCCCCAGGTGGATGTGCGTCACGGGGATGGCCAGGGGCCGCAGCTCGCCCGTGAGCACTTCGGTGAAGGCAGACAGCGCGGAGCAGACCGTGGCTTCGGGTGCGTGGAAGGGCGGGTTTATGGAGGAGATTATGGAAGGCGTGAAGACCAGGACTTTTGGCGTTGTCGGTGTCTCGCCCGGAGGCGTTATCCTGGACGTCAGGAGCGGTAGGAATGACTGGATGGTGAGGATGGGGTGCAGCAGGTGCGTATTAAACAGGTCCGCAAAGGACGAGGGCGGGATGGTGGCGATCGGGGATGTCTGATAGTTGAGTGAGGGGATCAGGATAATGGATGTAAGTGTTAGGTAGTTTGCTCTCGTCCGGGGGACTGCGGCATGCGGTGTCTGGAGGTAGGTGGCGAACCGCTCGATCGACGAGCCGGCACTCGGAGGCTGTGATGCTGTCAGTTTCGCCGTCACGGTCAAGGGGCACGGGCTTGGTGATGCTCACGTCGGTGATGTCGATGCCGAGCGGCCGGATGTCGGGCCTCGACAGATTCTGTACCATGACCTCCTCCTCGAGCGATCCACAGACGACGTAGACGATGAAGCCTTTCCTCTCCATGTCCAACGACAGAGATTTGGTCAGGGGCAGGGTCGGCGACCCCGCGATGACGACAACCTCGAGCCTCCCTCCGTTCTTTGCGCGCTTAGCCCGCCTGGATTTGCGCATGGATTTGCTCGTGCGGACGGCCTTGTATGTGACGTAGGTGACGCCGAGGACCATGACACCAGTCAGGATCTTGTGTCTCGAGACCCAGTCCTGCAGCTTCTCGTACGCCGTCATGGGGACGATGGCAACGGGCGGCGGGCGCGGCGGCGAGGGTCTGATGTAGTCTGGTAGCCATGCCACCGACGCGAGGCTATCACGCACGCTGTCGGCGGCTTTGTCGACCGTCTTGTCAACATAGTCGGCCACGTCGGTCGAGTAGCGGCGGATCTGGTTGGGCAGAGACGAGAGCTGCGAGACACCTAGGTCAGTCAACTGCTTCAAGTTTCCCCATCTCTCGCGGCCGTCTGCATCGGCTCGTGTCGGCGCTTACCACGTCCAGGAACTGTTGATCGTCGGCCGACATGGTGGCTAGCTTCGGCGGTTTGTGTTCAGTCAAAAGCTGGGAGGGTGGCGATAGATGGGTCGCTCATTCGAGACCGAAGTCGAGGTCCTGGAAGGGAAACCCAGCGTCTCGTCTTCCTCCTTTCCGGGTCGTCTCGGGCGAACAACTGCTCGAGCACGGTAGCCTCTGTCGAATCCCCAGCAGCAGATAAACACAAGTCCGTCCGGCGAGACCTATCCGGGATGCGACGCTGCCTACCAGTGCAGTTCTCTCTCTCTTTCTTTCTTTCTTTCTCTCTGTCTCTCTCTGTCTCTTGAATTAACCGAGTTAGCTACAGCCTTGGTGCTAACTTGGGATCTAATCCACAGCTCCGTCAAGAAGGGCGGTCCGGCGGCGTCGATTGATCGATCAATCAGTCAATCATTCATTCATATCGGCGCTGCGGCCCAAAGTTGTGACGTGACGTCTGGCTCCCGGCCTGGTCCGAACGAGATTCTGCCCCAGCTGCCCTCAGCTGACGGCGGACTGCAAGCAGCCCAGGCAAGGCCCACGATCTGGCCTACGCTCTCAGGGCACTCAGATGGTAATTTAATGCGAACGGGGCCCTGTCATGCACGTCTGTATGTAGTAATGTGCTTTTAATTGACTGTTGTCAAGCGGGTTGGCGCGCGTGTCGTGTACTGCATTCGGCCGCTGTTGCATGAAATGCTTATGATCATGCACTCTGCCACTGTTATGGCGCCGCTCTTATCCTTGCCCATCTCCAGTCCTCCACCCTCTTATTAGTCTCGGCATATGCAGCCATCACGCACGTCACGCAGGTTTTCGGTAATCCGGCTTACACAACACTCAATTGAAGACTGTCTAGCCCTATCTCTCTCTCTCTCGTTCTCTTCTCCTTCGAATAATCTCCAAGCCGCCAATCTCAAAGTTCTAGCTGATGGGGGGGGGGGGGGGGGGGGGAG